CTACACACATATCTCCTGCCTGTTCCTATCAACTCACACACAGCCTCTGCACCACACACATCCGCACCAAATTTAGGCCGCTGCTAGAAGACGCCAGGATGTGACCGTTATAGTGACTTCGTTTTACAGCCATTTGCTGAGCATTAACTTTGTAAACATTTGAGCATGAACACGACACGAGCTGAGAAAATTACACAGTCTGAATTAAAACATTTAGAATATGAAACAAATAAACAGAGAGCGCTCATGTTCATTGGCTGCAGACAGAGCAAACACACTCAGAATGTGGCTTCGGCAAACAAGGGATGCCTTAACTAATACAGAGTCAGACTGAGCAGTTCATGAATGATAGAGAAGTGGGGGGAGGAGAGGAGAAGCAGATGCTCATCATTATAAAAGATGGATGGATCAGAAGGTGAACCTGAGAGCTCCGGAGCCTGGGACAGCCAAGACGAGATGTAACACGGAAGAAGCTACAAAGTGGAAGGATGGTTCATGCTGCGTTCCACTGTGCTTGGAACTCAGGAATATACGACCTCTGAATTGAAAATGCACAACTGAACAGTCATAGTCAGAACTCCCAAATGGAAAGACCCACCTTGCTGATATAAGTGCATTTGATGTCACAGTGACAATGGGGGCATGCACAGTGAAGAGTAAGCACACTCGCTTTGCATAAATTAGCATAAACTTGACTGAAATGTTATTTGTACAGATTGCATCAGCTCTTAAGGACTTAGCATTAGCCCATTAAAACAGTAATCATTAAAGATCCACTCTGTACTGGGAAGATGCAATGCACATCCAAATTCATTTTGGTCTTTGCAAAATATATTTTTAAATATTTGAGCAAGATTAATCATTTTTTATACAAACAATCTACTGATTTCTGCTATAAATGACACTTAAATTATATTTCCAGTACCTACTATCCATGAACCCTTCAGCCAAATGAGGAGTGAATGCAAAGGTTCAACCTGCAAAGTGTAACAGGCTGAGGGTCACGAAAAAAGTCTGGTAAATCTATGCAAATATAATTAATTCAATTCTGTGCTGTTTAAACCAATTTGACTTGTGTTTCCTCCACACACATTACTAACAGGTGGATAAAATTAAGCACACAGCCTTGCAGTCTCAATAAACATTGGCAGTAGAATGGGTCGTACTGATGAGCTCAATGATCAAACACTTTGGCACTGTCATAGGATGCCACCTCTGCCACAAGTCAGTTTGTGAAATTTCTGTCCTGCTAGATCTGCCCCTGTCAACTGTAAACTCACAGAGTGGGGCTGCTGAGTGCTGAAGCACACAGTGCCTATCCTCTGTTGAATCACTTACTAGAGTTCTAAATTGCCTCTGGAAGCAACATCTGCAAAAGAACTGTGAATCAGGAGCTTCAAAAAATGGGTTTCCATAACTGAGCAGCTACACACAAACCTAAGATCAAAATGCGCAATGCCAAGTGTCAGATGCAGTGGTGTAAAGCACATTGCCACTGGACTCTGGAGCAGTGGAAACAAATCACGCTTCTCTATCTGCCAATCTGATGGACGAGTCTGGGTTTCATGAATGCCGGCAGTACCTCACTTGCCTGACTGCAGTGTGCCGACTGTAAAGTTTGGTGGAGGAGGGATAATGATATGGGGCTGCTTTTCAATGGTTGGCCTAGACCCCTTACTTCCAATGAAGTAAATCTTAATGTTTCAGCAGACCAAGACATTTTGGACAAGTGTTGGAACAGTTTGAGGAAGGCCCTTTTCTGTTCCAGCGTGACTGAGCCCCAGTGCACAAGCAAGCTCTATAAAGGCATGGCTGGGTGAGTTTGGTGTGGAAGAACTTGACTGGCCCACACAGAGCCCTGACCTCAACCTCATCAAACACCTTTGGGATGAACTAGAACAGAGATTGTGAGCCATGCCCTCTGGCCCAGCATCAGTGCCTGACCTCACATTTGCTCTTCTGGATGAATGGGCTAAAATTCCCACAGACACACTCCAAAATCATGTAGAAAGCTTCTCAGAAGAGTGAAAGCTGTTAAAGTGGCAAAAGAGGGACCAACTCCATATTAATGCCTATGGATTTAGAATGGGATGTCATAAAAGCTCCTGTAGGTGTAATGTGTAGGTGTCCCAATACCTTTGTCCATATAGTGTATGACTGTATATATGGATCAAATTGCACAAGTGAAATCTGATTTGTCAAATGTGGTACTTTCAATTGTAACTAGCAAATATCAGCATGATAACTGTAGTATCTACAGTATGTGTTTGAACTATGCATAAAAATGACTTACTTTGAAAGTATTCAGTTTTTAATTTATACGGCAGGGCATAAACGTCTCTCGTTGTTTACTCTGGGGGTCTGTTCTTCCTGCCAAAGAAGACACTTTGATGAACATGAAGCTGAAGGTTAAAGCTAAATATACCCAAAGGATTAGCACATGTTTACGTTAACCAAATATCGGTTCGCATTTAATTGAAAAGAAACAGCAAGAAAATAGAAATTTCAAAAGAAGGCAGGGCGTCCAGGCAGCGCAGGCTCTCCATAATTGGGTAAACAATGCTGCCCAAGTGCTTTCAGCTGTCCTATGATGTTGCACAAGCATTAGTTTTGGAAAGATGCAGTAACTAGCTACACGTGTCTGCGAGGAAGCACGTGTTAGCCCTCACACTCCAAGGTTCGTAGTCATTGTGTGATAAGTGAGGACCCAGATAGCAGGTGGGAGAAAATTAAGCAAAAAACACACAACAAAAAGATGTCTGAATGTGTGAAAACAGCAGTAAGCTGTAATTTGTTTTTTTGGCTGCTGTTCATTGCAGTGCAGGACTAATATCATTAACGCCATGCATGTCTCCTCTTAGCTTGAGGATACGCAGCCGTGCCTCCTCCAGCAGGATAGAAATGCTGAAAACAAAGAGATTATCTCTCGAGAACATCTGAAGTGTAGCGTTCGGAGGCTCGGGCATGATGAAAGAGCACTTTCTCTTCTGAAGAATTAGTGAAATTGAGCCGAATCAACAAAACAGCATTGCTAATAAACTGGAAGGGTTCAAAAGGATGAGATGCACGGCTGCCTGGAGCCAGCGAAGACATCTGGCGTGTGTGTGCTTGTGTGTGTGTACTGTACACATTTAGAACGAAGCCTCTTTGTGCTTTCTTGCACGATTCACTCTGCAGCTATGTGATTTCAATTGATGGCAAAACTGGCACTTCATAGGATGCCCGCATGTGAAAGGGGGACGAGTCACGTGGATGACTCTGAGCAACGCTGCCTCCATTATTTATCCCCGAACGCATTTGGACAGGTGTCTGAGTCCCGGCAGCGCCTGCGGTTTTTAAGGCTCGCTGTCAGACGTCAGCTCGCCTCTGATTTAGAGGCTGTTTCCCAAAGCTCCGTCACTCGGAATAATTCACACACTGCCTCGTTAACCCTATAAACTCTGAAGGACCCGCCTGCAGGACCACACTCTAATTACTCTACTCTTACTACTAAACAGTGGTGTGCAAAAGGTCAAACTTCATTTATTTATCTTCAAGGCAAAAATGCCATTAAGTTATCTATTTTTCAGGATATTTTGGAGGAGATTATATGCAAGATAATCCATGTGCATGAGGACGGTGGAAGTCAAGTTAAAAAACAGGAGTTTCCAAAAACCTGAATACAAAAAATGATTCAAGCGGCTTCAGATCTGAAAACATCCACAGGTGTTTCTGTCCATCCTTCCACTGTGAGAAGACAACTCAGCGCTATGGGTCTGAAAGGATGTGTGGCTGTCAAGAAGCCTCACGAGAAGAGACAGACACATCAAACAAAGAAGCTGAACAATGGACTGACCACCCCAGAGTCCAGACTTCAACATCAGTGAATGTGTTTAAATACTTGGATTGTAAAAAGCAGAAAATGCTAAACCATTTTCTAAGACTGAACTTTGGAGGTGTGGAAAAATATCCCTGCAGATTTTTTGGAGAAACTGAAAGTGAGTCTACTGAAAAGAATAGAAGCTGTAATAAAAATAAAGAGTGGACAAACTATATACCATAAAATGTATATTACATTTAGTTGTTGACTCTTCTGTGTAATTTTCTATTAAATATGTTTTCTGTTAAATAAATAAATAATGTCCATTAACCTCTTATATGGCCAGGGCCCACTGGCAGACCCAAAGTTTTATTACACACTCCTATAACTTCAGAATAGCTCAGCTAGTTTGCACTGAAATCCTTGCAGCTACTGAGTAATAAGCCTTAGTATGGAATCAGCCTGGGATTTTAAGAAGTTAATTCATGGCCGATATGACTGGACAGAAAATAAACAACTTTTTCTTTTGATAATTGCACTGTGCCTGTAGGCTTGAGCTGACTCACAATGGTATTGTGAATGAGAGACAAACTGCATCTATTGCAATGGCTATCAAGTTGGACGATTAAAATGCCTGTAAGTGTGCTGCCCACAGCTTAAGATGCACTAAAGTAAACTGCCGTGTTTCCTAATAATGTCTAATCCAAGTTCTGCTCCAGCACTAATGTCTTGTCTGGCTTCAAAACGTTCTACAGCAGCATCTTCTCATGTCTGTCAGCATATGGTCAATTACTAAAGACAACAAATTCAGTGCAGAACAAAAAAGAACAGAAAACACACATACTCAAAAAACACACTTACAATAGAAGACAATGCGCAGATGTTTCAGCACAGGGAAATGCACCAAAATGATTTGTGGTAACTGACTGAATACTACAAACACCTCAGGGAGCGATAACGTTAATAAATGCTGGAGTATTGCTTTAAAAAATGAATAATCAGGGGTTCTGGGGGTTAAATTGTCCTGAATGCCCTCAAGCTGCTGCCTACGCCACAGCAGCCAATCAGCTGCCCAGGGGGTGGGCCGTCAACGAGCCAGGAGACCGCCTTGGGCTGTGTGATTGACAGCTGTTCTGCGTCACTGCAGCAGAGAGGAGTTTTATGAAGTGTATTCACCCACAAAACGCACACACTCACTCACCTGCCATATGAGGGGGGCATGTAACGATGACGGCCTTGCAGGTGATCGCACTGACAGCGGTCCTCACTTCCACACTGTCTTCACGCTGCGAGGAGGAAACACACACACACACACAAAGTCTTAACTCTGTGAGGCGTTCGGAACACACACTCAGAAAACTGCATATGAATACAAACACCACGAGAGACACACTGCAGCCAAGAGGAGCTTTCTGAAGACTCGCATAGAATCCAAGTGGAGAAATCTCTCTCTCTTTGGCTACATTCACTAGGCCTGTCACAATTATTACACATTCACCTGATCATAACTGTTTAAACTGATAGCAATAAATTTTATCAGTTGTTAGCTTTCACAATCATGTGTTTAAGTCACAATAAATGTTAATGTGACAGAACATAAATTCTGTCACAGAATTCACAAAAGTTTTAACTTCTGACACCTTTAGAGGGCGGCAGTGAGTAATGTTTGCTTATTAGATGTTTGTTAATAACACCATTAGGGGCCAGTGATGAGTAAAGTATATTTATTTGCTGTTTGTAGATGCCGGTGGTAAGTAATGTTTTTTTTTTATTTAGTATCTGTTAGAACACCTCTAAAGGGCAGCGCTGAGTAACATTTGTTTATGTGATGCTTGTTAATAACATCTTTAGAGGGCGGCAGTAAGTATTGTTTGTCTGTTTGGTGTTTGTTAATACACCATTAGAGGGCAGCAGTGAGTAACATTTGTTTATTTGGTGTTTGTTAATAAGATCTTTAGAGGGCAGCGGTGAATAATGTTTGTTTATTTGGCGTTTGTCAATAAGACATTTAGAGGGCGGTGGTGAGAAACATTTGTTTACATGGCATTTGTTGATAATACCTTTAGAGGGCAGCGGTGAGTAACGTTTGTTTATTTGGCGTTTGTCAATAAGATCTTTAGAGGGCAGCGGTGAGTAACGTTTGTTTATTTGCCGTTTGTCAATAAGATCTTTAGAGGGCGGCGGTGAGTAATGTTTGTTTATATGGCGTTTGTTGATAATACCTTTAGAGGGCAGCGATGAGTAACGTTTGTTTATTTGGCATTTGTCAATAACACCTTTAGAGGGCAGCGATGAGTAACGTTTGTTTATTTGGCGTTTGTCAATAAGACATTTAGAGGGTGGCGGTGAGTAACGTTTGTTTATATGGCGTATGTTGATAATACCTTTAGAGGGCGGCGGTGAGTAATGTTTGTTTATTTGGTGTTGGTCAATAACACTTTTAGAGGGCGGCGTAGAGTAACGTTTGTTTATTTGGTGTTGGTCAATAACACTTTTAGAGGGCAGCGGTGAGTAACGTTTGTTTATTCGGCATTTGTCAGTAACACCTTTAGAGGGCGGCAGTGAGTAACATTTGTTTGATGTCTATTAATAACACTTTTAGAGGTTAACGTTCACATTAGTTCAAATGCTCTTTTACAGTTTACTCTCTACACTCTTTCTGCTTGGTGGTTCATATTTGTATTTGTAATTGACCTTTATCTATCATTACAGTGAAGGAGGAGAGGGCAATATAACTATGTGTTATACTTATTATAATTTGCGCCACAATATGCTTTACTGAATATGTGATGGATATCATCGGTACTTCTAAAACACCGAACGACTGCATGGATGCGGATTTCGATCAGTTATAGACAGCTGATGCTCAATGTGCCATTTTCTTATTTTATTCATTTATTTTTTTAACAGATTGTTTGATTTCCTGCTCCTTCTTAAGTAGTTGATTTTTTTAATACAACATATGCAAAACAATCTCTGTACTCAAAGTTGTTTTTCAGAGCCTTTTTAAATGTGGCACTACTTTGCTGGTGCATTTTGTCTGTTCCAATTTGTTCACAAGCCTCTGAAAAAGTAAACATTATGATGTTATATTTTTGCAATATCGCCTACCCATAGTGTAAACAGAAGAAACTACATATGTACATCAAAAAATCCTCTGCAGACACACCACCCACACTGGATGATGACAGTGATATACACAGTACTGTGGAGTTACAGACCACAATTCATTTAATTTCTAGTCAAAACTGCCATTAAGTACAAGTTTCTGAATTTTCAGTGTCAGAAAACAAAACAGAAAACATTTTACTTTGCTATTTTTATTACACAGAAGCCTCAACAACTAAATATTATATTTTTAGTATTCAGCCCATTTAGTACAGCTTTCATTCTTTTCAACATTTTTTCTACACTTTCAAAGTTCAGTCTAAGAAGTTGATTTTGCATTTTCTGCTTCTCACCATCCAAACACATTCAGTAAGGTTGAGATCTGGACGCAGCGGTCAGTCCATTGTTCAGCTTCTTTGTTTGATGTGTCTGTTTCCTTCTCTCAGTAAGAGCTTCTTGAACAGCTACACATCCTTTCACACCCATAACACTGAGTTGTCGTCTCACAGTGGAAGGATGGACAGAAACACCTGTGGATTTTTTTCAGATCTGAAGCTTGATTTTCTCCTCTCTCTCAAAGATGAAAGCTTTAAGTGCTGTTTATCTGATGGGCACAGTTTTGGTGGTCATGTTAGGAGTGCGTTTTTCTGATAAAATCTCCTGAAAAATGCATAACTTGTACTTACAGGCAGATTTGACTAGAAAATAAAAAATAAAGGGTGGTCTCTGACTTTTGCACCGTACAGTGAAAGTGCTAGGACGTGTGATATATGAAAAAAACACACAGAAAAGCAACTTTGACTTGACAATACAGTCTCAATGGTCTCATATCATATCACACATGTAGCAGTTCTAGCAGCACATATGAAAGTGTCTCTGACCTGATTTGAAAAGATCAGATTTTTGTGTTCACACAGTGCTGACATTATCAGATCTGTGTCATATTTAGGTAACAAATCAGATTTGTGCCACTTCAACCCTGTAATGTGAACGCAGCCTCACTTTCTATCTCTCGTGAGCATCTAGTTGTCTGCTCAGAATGCAGGCAGGTTGCGGTAGTGGGGGCATTAGTATGCTTGGGTGGGCAGTAGTCTCTGGAGGGCTGTTTCTGAAACACACCCTGCGGTCCCTCCAACGCTTCTCTGGAGACGAGGGGGAGCCTTTCTGTTTGACCTCAAAACCACGGATGAGTCTTCTGGGAAAAAGCCGCCAAAGCACTGCTAACATCCACTGTGAATGTAATGTGCAGTAACATGCCTGCTATGCCTAACCTAGCTTATAGCCATGCTAATGCTTAGCCTGAGCCTGTTGCAATCATTCTATTATCTTATACACACACACGTCAAGGCTGCTCAGCACCACATCAGGTTGCCAGATTGGGTAGGATCAGCAACTTGATAAGTGTTTTTTTTTATCATCTTGTTGCAGTTTTAATAAAAAGTAATAATAGTGCAAAAAATAAAATGAAGCCAAAATAATGGACATATTTTTTCTGTGCAGTTATTAAAATAAAGTATTTTCTTATTCTTATAGAATTTTCTAAGATCACATTTTATGTTTTATTTTTTCCAATATGTTACATTTAGCAAATAAACAGTAATTGTGCATTAGAATGTCCAAAAGTGTGTTCTCTCTTGTTGGATTGTGGTTAAGTATCAGAATAGTCAATCTGTCCCTAAGGGCCTGATCCTTTTTGGTCATCTTAGAATGTTCTGTACTTTTCTATGTCTCTCTATCACAGGTAAACAACCTTGATACTTAGCGGTGGGGAAATTGTTTGGGCCAGTTGAGGATGATAACACTCTGTACAATCAGTGTTTGCTCCTGCCTTTCTGTGGGAGAAGGAAGCAAGCGGTGACCTGTGAACATCTCTGTATGAAGACATCTTGAAATAAATCTAACCTTCTCCTCAAAAGCGCACAACTCTGTCTAGTTTATTTCTCAATAACTTCTATAATGACTCCACAAGTCAACACTGTAGAGGATGTGTTCACTTATTTACACTAAAATCAACAAAACTTGCAATTTGACCAGGGAGAACCCACATTTTTTGCATTCAACTAGTGTTGAAAACATTCATAAATACAACAACAGCTGTTATTGCAACTTCCGGGGTGTATTACATCATCCGCTTCCCAAAACCAAATCTCGGGACAAAGCCATGGTGGTCAAACTGCACAGAACAGTCTGAAAGCAGATGCTATAGTCAAGGTTTCTAAGCATGCAGGTTCGCTACGGCAGCCCGAGAAACTGTGCTTTTCTGCATGAGCATGTTTCACTCACGGGTTCTTTCTCCATCACGCAGAGTTGCCAGATTCGCAGTTTTCCCAACAAATTCAGCTGGTTTAAAAGTCCAGTGTGGGTGGATTTTATATACCTGTGGGGTGCGTCTAAGACAGGCAGTAAGAGAGAAGCAGCAGAAGAGTGCGGTGGTGACGATGGCCATTCTAAACCTGAAAGTGGACTAAAATGCATGTCATATCTTGACAAGAATCGTCTTGTCATATCATACTATGTATCTTTGCTTTTATATAAAATTTTAATATGTCAGGCTTTATTTAATTGATGCACATCTGAGGGGTGGGTGGAGTGGGTGAGCTCAGAGGATTGGTACTGTTTGTACTTTGTATATGCTGAAAATCTTTAATAAAAAAGATTTGATTAAAAAATAGATTCCTGTAAGGCACCACTGATGACTGTTAATGAAAACACTCATTTCAAAAGAACAATAGGCCTCATTCACCAACCGTTCCTAAGAAGAAATTTCTTAAAACCCACTTGGGCAGTTTTCACAAAGACTCTGACATTCACCAATGTTTTCTTATTGGTGACAGAATCTACACACACTTAAGAGCACAACGGTGTGAGCAGTTCTGTGGTTTAAAAACACGTCATGAATCTGACGTAGACTTTTTCTTAGGATCTTTCTTAAGAACACATTTAAGAATACTCTTAGGAAGCTCTTGGTGAATGAGACCCAATAAGAGTACTCATGAGTGATATGATTTATAGATGATTCGCACAGCTCGGTGCAGGCAGCACAGCCGCGTGACTATTACAGCTCACACTCAGTGGTCATTCACACATACAGTATTTGTGCTGCTGACTGGAGCAGCAAGCAAGTTCTACAAATATCATTGTACCAAAGACATAAATAGTCAAATCATCTGCTTTGCTAAAGAAAAATATAATTCTTAAAGGAGCACATTTATTTACCCTCGACAGCTTTAAGACCATATTTATTTATTTATTTATTTTTTGCCCCACCTCCAACCCAAGTTGGTTCTAGTTTACATTGTGACTTTGAGAAGTGAATAAGGTCACAGCCCCTCTCTGTGTGTGTTGTAATCTAAGCTTCTATGTTTCCTGTTTTCATAGCTGTTCCACACGTGCATGTTAGTCCCGCCCTGTGCAAACGCTGGCCCTCCCCACGTTTTGTTTTGCCCTCCCTAGACAGTGACCGGCCACACAGCACTGTGCTTACACCACTTAAGCTGAAACAGGAAAATTTGAACAATAAGCTGATGCACCGAAATGTAGTATTAACTGCTACACCTTTTAAGGTGAAACGAGAAAATCTGAACCAGAAGCTGGCAAAAAAGTAGCCGACACTGAGTGTTGAAATGCATGAAAGGGATGAGGATGTTGCTCCTGCTTGACAAGTGGATAACGTTAACCTATTTTTTGTCCCATTTGCGAATGTTTGTGACAGCAACTGGTCAGTTTCACAGCAGCAATTGTAGCGACAGCTTGCTAACCCACAGCCTAACGTTAGCTACATTACTTACTGCGTCGTTGTTCGCGCTAAGGTTATGTAATAGCATTTGTCTGTACAATGTTTGCAAAGGGTTTTATGGCCACAAAGATCTAAAAAGGCATTGTTTGCCTAGCAATGTGCGTCCATGAATCTGGGGGTGGAGCTTCTGAAAGAGCACTGAAGGAAGGAGTGTATTTAATTTGCTGTTGAGTTCATGTATCAACAATCACTCTCCAGAATCGTACACAGCACATTTAAAAAAACTAAAGTCAGCCAAAAAAAATCAGCCAATTTGGCTGAAAAAGAAATTAAAATTGGCCCTAAAAATTAATCTGTGCACCTGTAGCTTCTACCCCCTCTGCCTTTCTGTACACTATATGTTTCTAAAAATTCTTTATATTTGCTGTCCACATAATACTTCTTACAGTAATGCTCTGACCGTACTGTCCGATTTATACTACACTGTCCTGTATTGTTTGTCACTGTACTGCACTTCAATCTTTTATTTAGTGCTGTGTCTCCTTTGCTGTCTGCTGTATTGCTGTGTGTATCATACATGTTGCACCAGAGAAAACCTTTCATTATATCCCGATATAATGACAGTAAAGCTGAACTGAACTGAAGAGCAGGCTAGCTTCTGGCATACAGAGAAGACTGAAGGCCACTTTTAACACTGTTCTGAGAACAGCTTCCTCGAACACAAGTCCAACCTTCATCTAGAAACGCTGGTCACAGGTCAGTGCCGAAGGGCCATCTTCACCTGCTGGCTGCCTTATTATGGAAGAAGACAATGGCCTGTTACAGCTCAGCCGGGCAGAGAAAGAGAAAAAACTAAAGCCTCGCTCTGCTCAGAGCCGGTGATGTAACTCAGCAGAGACCATTAAGCAGTCTAATGGATATTCTCTCGCACAGTGAGAGTGGCTTCGTAACGTTCGAGGCTTAGGCCTATTCATTAAAGTGATTTAAAAGCTCACAAAAAGATTTCGTTTCACCAAATCTTCAGCGGGTGTGGTGTAATACAGCAGCCTCCGAGTTGGCCAATTAAAACGTTTAATGATTGTAAGCACTGCGGTCTGCAGCAATATTTCTGTCACCCAAATAAGAATGTATGTGTAAACACAGACGTGAGAGAGAATGTATAACTGAACTGAAGGCCTAGAAAATGTCCGGTTTTACTACAGCAGCTCTGGTTCTCAAAGGGTCTATATTTTTCTTGTGTTTTTGGTTTTATTTTTCTCTTGAGGTCCACTTACATTGATTGTGTACCAAAAACGGTCATTAATTTTTTCATGACCATTTTCCTACCTTTATTTATTCCTTCCAATTAAACATGTTGTTTTAGTTACTGTGCCTTTACAGGCCTATTCGAGCTGGCTAAAATTTGCATGATTATCGATGAGATCTGTGATTTTAGTCCAATATGAATCTGCCCTCTGTAGAAGTCTGCTAAGAAATAATTCCAGTGCAAATTACATTGCATTATTCGCTGAACCTGGAACTCCTTTGGTCCTGTTCGAATTGGCCGCACAGTAATTACAATAACTGCTAAAATGAAGTTCGACTTGGCACTGTTCCTTTATCTTCAAGTTCAAAACAGGACTGCTGTAATCTACATCAATTTTGGTGATGGCTGCAAGAGACGGAGAAGGAAAATGAAATATCTTGCGAGGCAATGTGATTTGTGTCCTGTTGGGCGGCGTTTGCTCAGAATATGCCTGCTAGCCTACCGCTATCTGATATATGTACATGACCTGTGTTCTGATTGGCTGCCCTGCAATGCGCCTGAGTCTTCATACCTTCAGCATGAATGGGTGAGGCTAATTGGGTCAATTCATCCTCTGGAACACACTTAGAGATGTAATTTTTCAAACAAAAAAAGTTTAATATATGGGGAAAAAAACAGATATTAAATGTGCAATAACTTTTGCACAGGATGTCATTTTATGTTTTATTTTCTTTTTCAATGGATTAAACACATTAAATGTGCAAAAGTGTGTTCTTTGTAGAGGATATGGACCTATTTTCACTTAGAAAATGTACAAAACGTAATTTGACAAGGGTGCCAAAACTTTTGCATATGACTTTATGTAAACTAACAATGTTCATGCTACATCAAAATATTTTTCCCTTTAAAGGAGAATTCCACCAACTTTTCAAAATTTTTTGCATTACTCTATCTATTCAATATAAATAAAGTCATTCAGAGTGGTTTAATGTGAAATGCGCCATTCCAGAGAAAGTTACTGAGTCAGGTTTCTTTACAGTGGTGGTGATAGGAACCAGGGGTCATAATGTCTACAACACATAAAAAGAAATTTTATTTACTACCCAAAACCACCAGTGAACCTACACGCATCTTCTGTATTTTTATATGTGATGTTGATGATAAAATAGTGGTAAGTCTGCAAAATCAAGGCTCCACCATGATTAGATTTTAATACATGTCAAAAGCTGTTTTCAAAACTGTCATAAAACAATGTCTCAGGCATCAGACAGCATATTCGCAACCATTTTAAGTAATAACTTTCTGTAAGGGAGCTTTTAGAGGCACTCCTTAGTGGTCTGGTTCCTATCACCACCATTGTAAACAATTCTGACACTGAGTAAGTTTCTCTTGAACAGAGTATTTCACACCGAACCACTCTGAATGATTTTGTGTACATCTTTGCAATTTAATTATGCACAGATTTTTAAATTGGTGGACGTTTCCTTTGCCTTATGTGTGTGCATCTGTGTGGATCGCCTCCACTCTGATAAAGTCGTTACCTGCCATATAGCTGTCACAGCAGACCCCAAACGCACATTCTCCTTCCCGAGTTGCTCCGCCAGCCTCTCAGACAGCTGCTGAGTGCCCCCCTGTGGACAGAAACCAGGATTACACTCAACACCTGCATACAAACACAGCAACAGAGATAAGGGCTAACGCCTCCGCACAGCAGCGAGCAGCATAACAGCCCACAGCTGCCTCTGCAAAAACACCAACACATAATACCGCCACACAAAAGAAACGAGTTTGAGGAGAAAGTTCAGCAATTCTAATGGAGCAGAAAACTAGCATGGCTAAGCTAGTTTCCTTCCTCATCTGGCTTAAAAGGATCTTCTGACAAGCGAAACCTTCATCACTGGACTCCTTTTGATGAGGGTTTTCAAGGTCAGGTGGACATACATGAAGGGTATCAATAAGCAGCCTAAATGAATGCTTCAGTGCTTCATTGCTAAAACATCATATTTTGATATATATTGAGTAAATGTGCACTGTATGTGCAAAAGTTTGAAGACACCTGCTCATCCAGCATTTCTGCGACAACAAAGAAAGGGTATTAATAGGGTGTTTGTCTCCCCTTCCCTGCAGTAACAGCCTCTACTCTTCTGGGAAGGCTTTACACTAGATGGTGGAACATTGCTGTGAGGATTTGATTGCATTCAGCCACAAGAGCATTAATGAGGTCAGGTACTGATGTTGGATGATCAGTTCTGGATCACTGACTCTTCTCAAAGGTACTGGATGAAGCTCAACCACTGCAGAGAACTCAGTTCTACTACTACTACTACCAAGTCCAGCGCTGGGGGGGCTTTATACCCCGCTAGTCAATGCTTGGCACAGAGCACAGTGACCTGTGGCTGATGTGTGGCTGCACCATTCTTTTGACTAATGCTTTCCTAGGGAGATTATACAAGTTGTATGTGCACAATTGAACACCTGTGTAATTGGTGCACCTTAAACACAGAGACGTTTGGTGCCCAAAATGTGCTTCTTTATTTTACTGCAGGAGGTACGAGGCTAATGTAGCTAACAGACACTAGAAGTCAATAGTCACCCACATCTTTTACACAAATACTTTAAAAGTATGTCAAAACTTCTTTCAATACACTCAAACTGTCTCCAGGTCTTCATTAAGGTCATGCAGAATTTTTGATGTGGTTTAGGACACAGCTATAAAAATGAACAAAACTTCACTGTGTAGCCAAACGCTGCGTTCAGCCATTTTAGACAACAGATGTTGTGCGGAATTAAATTGCCCCCAGCAGACAACACCTGTTGTCTAAATGTGCTCCCCTTTGTTTTCAACTACATGTTGAAGTCTTGTTAGTTGGGTTGACAGAAGTTTTGGGGATGTATTTACAGAAAGATTTGGGTGACTACTGCCTTTTATTGTTTGTTAGCAATGTTAGCCTCGTAGCTCAAGTGTAACACTAAAAAAGCAAAATTTGTAATAATAATAATTATCCTATTATTATGCAAAAAATGTATGCATTTGTAGGAGTTCTGCCAGCAAGACAGTCCGAAAACCTCTTAAAAGATCTTCCAGAAACCCTTAGTTTATAGAGTTTATCACTGTCACTTAACATAAATAGCACATATCTTGGTGCTGTGCTAGCGGCCAGCGTTGCGCTGGTCTAAGTGGATCAGATACAGCAGTGCTGCTGGAGTTTTTAAACAACTCAGTGCCGCTGCTGGACTGAGAATAGTCCACCAACCAAAAATATCCAGCCAACAGCGTCCTGTGGGCAGCGTCCTGTGACCACTGATGAAGGACTACAGGATGACCAACACAAACTGTGCAGCAGCAGATCAGCTATCGTCTCTGACTTTATATCTATAAGGTGGACTGACAAGGTAGGAGTGTCTAATAGAGTGGACAGTGAGTGGACACAGTGTTTAAAAACTCCAGCAGCACTGCTGTGTCTGATCCACTCGTACCAGCACAACACACACCGCGTCAGTGTTACTGCAGTGCTGGGAATGATCCACCACCTAAATAGTACCTGCTCTGTGAGGGTCCATGGGAGTCCTGACCACTGAAGAACAGGGTAAAAGGGGGCTAACAAAGTATGCAGAGAAACAGATGGACTACAGTCTGTAATTGTATAACTACAAAGTGCACCTATATAGTAAGTGGAGCTGATAAAATGGACAATGAGCACAGAAACAAGGAAGGTCATAATGTTATGTCTGATCGGTGTATTTTGTACATGACCAAATACATGCTTATATTCTTCCTCCATGTTGGAAGCCTCACCAAATCATCTAATCCATCTTAGCAGCAACAGAGTCAGCCACAGCAGAATCATAAACAGGTAGGAGGTACTAAGCTGATTTGCAAGTCACCGGCCGCTAGCGCAGCACCAAGATAAGCCCCTCTCCTCTCACACTTCACCTATTCAGATAGCTTATCTTGGCCAATATTGCGCAACCCCTAACAAGACCACTGTAGGGAGTGGGTAAGGGGGCACAGAAGCGTCGGAGTGAAGTCATCGTGGGGGGGAGTGGAGCTGACTCCTGTTAAACCCTCTACCTGCAGTCTCTGTAGTTATCCTTTCTCTGTCTGTCTGCGTGCATTCTGACACGTTCTGTGTGAGCATATTCATATTCATTCATTCTACATCAAAACCTTAACTGCTTAAACTCTAGGCTTATTATTTAGTCTTAAAACGATAACTTACATAATTTTCCCCCATCAAATGTGCACTTTGTGTCTAAAGTTTGCTTCTTGAAACCCTGGCATTGCAAGCCATACTGTTATTGACAGAAATGGACATGAGTTTTGTAAGCAAATCTATTTGAGATTAATTCAGAAGCTGTGAAAACTATGTAGTATTATATGGTTCTAAAGAGTGCAGTACACTGCTCCTTCCTCTCGTTTTGAACTGTTGAATGTTCTTAAATGGAACCAGATGACACAGAGCATTAGAAGAGCCTTGACACTTTTAAATCAGGGCTGAAACCTGTCTGAGCAGCTTTCAGCTCAGTTTAAAACACTGTGAGTTCCACTGCACTTCTCTCTTGTAGCGACACTTTATTATCACACACACACACATTTTCTATGCTGCTTATCCTCCTGGGTCGCAGGGGGTGCTGAAGCCTATCCAGGCATTCAGTGGGCAGAAGGCAGGAAACACCCTGGACAGGTCGCCAGTCCAACACAGGGCAGAAACACAGCCATACACATTCATACACACACACACACACACACCTAGGGCCAGGGAATCGAACCCAGGCTCGTCTTGCTGTGAGGCGTCAGCGCTACCCTCTGCACCATTAATTAATCAGCCTAATTAAATGTAATTATTAATTCTTTCTCTTTTGTTTTAACTCCTTAACAATCCAGGCTTATTACATACAAAGGCATATTATTCTGTAACTACAGGGACTTCAATGCAAACTAATGGAGCTATTCTTAGGTTACAGAAGTGTGTAATAACGGCAGGCCTATGACTTGTTAAGGGATTAATCTTGTTTAAATCATGTTTTAATCTCCATAATGTTTTAATTTCCATTCTCACTTATTTTATGTTACTTTTTAAATATTTATTATTAAAATGAATTATGTTACTTTTTAATATGAATTATCTTTGTATTTTCTCATTTGTAAAGCACTTTGAATGACCGCAGTGTATGAAAAGCACTATATAAATAAACTTGCCTTGCCTTGCATACTACATCAAACTCTTTCATTTCAAACAAAGTGAGGAAAACTGGGTTTTCCATGATATGGGCCCCTTTAAAATATGCCTGGAGCAGATCAGGGCGTCCCTACTACTGTACGGTAGTGGTAAAATACTAAGAAATGTATGTGTATGTTCTGTAGCTATGAGAATGTATGGACCCACATAAAGGCCCTCTGCAGCGCACAGGGTAAACCTCTCCTTTCCCCTCACACTTATTTATCTTCTCTTATCTATCCTTCTCTCTCACCTTGACCCTGAACTCCTGCGCGGACCCCGGCGTTGTCTCCAGCAGCTGCATGACGCCCCCCGCTGCAGCCGAGTACATGAGGAAATAGAGAAAGGAGAGCTGGGAAGGCTCCATTCCAAATACAGAGAGGGTGCACAGGCCTAACTCCTCCATTAGCTCTGCAGGGGCAGCACCAGAAACAACACACAAGCACATAACAAAAGGCATTACATTTATTGTAAAGCACAATATTTGAACACAAATGCACACACTGGTGCCTTTCCCTGTTTCATTCAGTACCACAGTGAAACTCAAACGGGAACGTCTCTTTTGGCCATGCTAATGTTTCTGCACTACACACTAACAGTATGAGGTTCTTCAGGCTGCACAGCAGGAGAACGCCGCACGTCTTTACATGCTAGAGAAAAAAAATCAGACTTGAGAACAAGTGCAAAAAATGCATTATAAAGTGCCACCCAAAGGTAATAATTACAGTGAAAAGCACCTTCTGCAAAACAAGGTGCACTTTCCATGGCTCGCTTTTTTAAGCAGTAAGTGCTTTGAATAACAGTCATTTTGTGTTCACCTCTTGTCCAGATGTGCTGGTCCATGTAGGATTGAAGGGTCATGCTGTCCAGCTGCTGGGCATTGGGCATTTTCATGGGCTCCTCCACAGGCATGGTCTTACATAGACGCTCAATCTGAGGTGTCACATATGCCACAAAATCACAACATGGCAAAGCCCAAATACTTGTATTTATACATCGTGGTTGTATTTTGTTTTCTTCCCTGAGGTCCATGTGTTACATCTTAGGGCATATTCTGTAATGTTATTTGAACGTGTAATTGGTCTGGTATTGCCCCTTTTCTCTGAATTCTCTGTGGACGTTTGTATGATTGTGCCTCGCGATTGGTCCACATTTGGTGTGAGGCTGGAAAGGCCTAGACCAATGAGCAATGGCTGCCAAAGGGGTTCAATCTGGCGACAGACACCACATGGCTGTGGCAGTTTGGGCTTTTGAAATACTTTGTTAGATTATTAGCCTTGTTGTTGGAGTCAAGTGCTGTCTTTCAGATGTTTTTGATCTCTTGAACTATTTATTGTATATCACTGAGAACTTGCCGCAGTCTTGTAGATCTGTTATGTAAGCTTTCTATTTATATTAATATCTAATAACTAAGACTCATAGGAGTTGTAGGGGTGGGTGCCATTTACTTTTGATCCCTTCATTTTCTCCTATTTTTATCAGCAGGGAGTTTGTTTTCCCTTCTTTTGTTTTGCTTGAGGGAAGGAAGCAAGAAAAATAGAAAATAGAAATATCTGGCTTTAATATTACTCCGTTATGCTGCTCCTTTATATTTTTATGTTGTAATCTCTTAGACCCTAGACTCAAAAGTGAGTTCATTTTCTCCCCACGGCAGTGAGCTTCTAACACACTTACGTCATTTGTCTGCCTTTTTTATACCAAAAACAGTCCTAAGTCACCTTTTTCCAACCTCTCTTTTAGTTTAGTTTAACATTAAACAGGCTGTTTTTATTACTGTGCCTTCAAGATACATGACCACTGTTGTGATTGGCTGCCCTGTGTTGTACGCAGTCTAGGTGGCAACACTGTTTATAACTTCAGCGTAAACTGCTATAGGCTGAATTGGTGCATATATGTAAACATGTTGCTTTTTTCTGACATCACAACAACAATTACTTAAAACAGACATTTTTGCAGGTTAGTTTTCATTAACAAACGGTATGGACTGAGGAGTAAATCAAAATCATTTTGAATCTTTAACAATGCTTACATACTACAGAAAAGCTCTTTACTTTTAAGAATTAAGGAAAAGTTGTATTTTCCTCATAGGGGCACCTTTACAGCTCCAATTACCAAACAATCAGGGTAGCCATGATTTTTAGGTTATAATTAATTACCTGATTATACACATAATCAACTAAAATTTATGTTTTTAATGAATCAGTTTTAGAATTTGAATGATAAACAATGCATCTGCAGGGCATTATAAAGCCATGTTTGCCAAGCTGAAGATTCTCCATGAAGGAGAACTACTAGCACTCAGTTTGCTTCTTTGTGAATCACTGAAAGAGAGGAAACCCACATCAGCAGGATCTCATGAATGCATGCCGGTTTTCAAATTATACCTTTATAAATTGCACAAATATGAAGTAAAATTAAATGTTCGCTGTCACAAATTGTATATAAGAGTGTTTATGCAATAAAATGTTATGCGTAACTTTGTTTAGGCTGAACAGGTGAGCAAACAAGCTAACAGGCTAATTCTATTAATATTCAGTTAGGCTTTTTGGAAGGAACTGCAACATACTAAGTAAAGAATATGCCATTTAAATGTCTGCTACAAGACATTTGTTTGGCCTTAAAAATACAAAAGAATTTACTCGATTAATCATCAAAATCATCTAGATTTTATACATATGGTATTCTGTATCATCACTGTCCAATGACAAACATGTATCTTCATTTTTGATGATATTTCTTTTTCTACATCATTTGAACATGGCAGCACTTTACACTGGCTGTAAATTTCATGATGAATGGACCAACAGAAATGCTCCAAAACACCTTGAAATAAAATCACTTTATATTAACTTACATTAAAAGTAAAGAACATTTTTGCCTTTTCATGCACAGTTGCTATTTTGGAAATACTAGTTTTTCTTTGGACAGTAACGATGTATAGTATGAATAGTATGTAATGTTAATGATACCCTACCATCAATGTCTCAATAATAATTTCCAAATCAAAAGATAAAATGGGCACATTTATTGTGCTCTGTAGTAGTAAAGTAGTATGTCTGTGGCACTCCTTCAGCTAAGCCTGATTAGAGCTTTCCTAATAATATACCTGGATATCTAAAGCTATATTTCACTGTTACAGAAATACACCATAGCATATTGTCTGAGGCATTACAGAAAAGAATAGACCTTAACCTCATCTCCCCCATATGAAATGATAGCCATCTATCAGCCATTTATAATACCATCCTATCATAGAGAGAGAGTTAATAAAGTAATTGCATTTGTGAGACCTACCCTCCAGAGGAACTGGACAAAGTCCAGCAAGACCAGCGGGGAAAAGGAGGGGATGCTGGAGGTGTAGGTGCTGATCTTAGCATTTGCGCCACCCATGTGGTGAACCTTCTTGCCCTCTGTGAATTGTGGGTAAACCTCCAAGCCAAGCTCCTTTATAAGCTCCATAACATGGATCTGTGAACTGAGGAAAAAGAAGACAGTGAACCACCAAATATACCAGGTTCACAAATATGAGGCACATAAAACGCATACATAAAAACCGTTTGCTTGTTTGTGACTCATCTCAAGGCTACTTTATGAAAGTGTAGCACAAAGCACTCGTCTAATGATACAGAAATTGGACGAGCGCCACAAACATTCCATTTTTGAATCTTGTGCTTGCTATGCAGCAGGTCTGTGAGTTCAATCAAATAAATATCTAAGTAAATAAGAAACGAATGGAAATGGCTGGCTAACTTTAAAGGCAGGAGATGCACAAGGGAGTGGAAATTATTAATGTCTTACAACAGTGTGTTCTGACTACACTGCTGCATAGTTTCATGTTTTCCTGCAGTCTACAACTATAATAAATGATCAAGTTCTTCTGGCTTCTGGAGCCTAATCAGGTGTGCACAAACCTGTATAATGTAGGTGGGCTACAGGACTGGAGATGGGAAACACTGACTGACTAAGCGTGGGCAATTTGATGATATGTTGTCATTATAGTGATACATTATACAATTAACTATTCTGTTGACTGAGCCCTGACCTCAACCCTATCAAACACCTTTGGGATGAACTAGAACAGAGACTGCGAGCCACGCCCTCTCGTCCAACATCAGTGCCTGACCTCACAAATGCTCTTCTGGATGAATGGGCTAAAATTCCCACAGACACACTCCAAAATCTTGTAGAAAGCTTCTCAGAAGAGTGAAAGCTGTTAAGGCTGCAAAGGGGGGACCAACTCTATATTAATACCTATGAATTTAGAATGGAATGTCATAAACGCTCCCGTAGGTGTAGTGTGTGGGTGTCCCAATACTTTTGTCCATACATGTAGTTTGCTCATACTGTTGTTTTAACTGCACAAAACTGTACATCTACCTATACTTCTAATATTACAGTATGCACAGTTTCTGCAGCACCTTCTGCAAAGCTCGTCAAACTAACAGTATACGATTTACGGTAGAAGCAGCTCTATTATAGAGTCAGTAGGCGAAGCCACTAGTGCAGCCTACTGTGAACCAGTGCCAACTTACCTGCCCACCCACTGCCCTCCCATGTCCCAGGTGTCAACGCCGTGGGCTGCTGGCAACTGCTGAGCTAAGGTTCGCCCCCCTACACGGCCTGCAGTGAGCAAACATTGAAAAATACATTATCACTAAAAGCCCAAAGTGCCAGAAGTTTCACCTGTGCTTTTCTTCTCATGCTACCCTCGTCAGAGGTGTCGTGTTGCCGCACCTTTGGCCTCCAAAACCAGCACTTTCAGCTTGTCGTTTCTCTTCTTGAGTAGTTGAGCTGCACTGAGACCTGACAGTCCTGCGCCCACCACCACCACATCACACTTTTCCTCACACATCGCTGAAGGAGCCGCTCGGTTTGTGGACCAGCTGCAGACTGTAACCCTCTGCTGAACTTTCGGCTGGTTTTGCTCGTGGCTTTTAAGCTGCCAACGCGATAAACTCGGGGTGAAAGTTCGTCTGGCCCATGAGCTTTATCACTCAGGCACAACCGGTTATAGTACTGGCCATTCGCTGAATATTCGAGTTTTCTTCTAAGATTCCTCTCGGCCTAAATATCCCACCGTGATCATCGCCACATTTTCACTCACTCGAGAAAACAAGAGAACAGCATACAGTCACTTCACAGTTAAGGGATCGTCTAAAAAGTGCGCGCACTGGACAGGCGTGTTTAGTTTGTTTTCCAAGGGTTTTATCTGGTCTGCGGTAAATCAAGCTAAATGTAGGCGTGAAATATAAATTGTGAGTACTAATTACATTTGTTTTGACTATTAATTCTATTGGACTGTCAAGGGGAAGCCCATCCTGATCCCAAGCCCCACCGCCCCCTCCGCCCGCTCCGCCCTCTTGAAGTGGGTGAAATAGAAGAGAAAAACAGTGAAATGTGCAAGGCAGAGGGTACTCCAAATCCAAGGATGGGAACCTGTGGCTGGCAGTAATCAGATTTGCTCGTCATTTATATTAAAATAATTTAATTACAAACCGTTTTGTGTGTGCATATATGTGTGTGTGTTCATAGTAGCATAGGATTTGCAATAATATTATATTATGTAATATAAATAGTTGTTGTTGCTGGTAATGTAAAGCTGTATATATGTCCTTATATCGCCTTGTTGCGCTGAGCTGTGGGGCTGTTTGGATAAGTGGTCACCATGGCCTGGATATGTGTGGCTGGAGGTGACCCACTGTGCTTCACAGCTGTTTAGTATTGCTGAGCAGTGGGTCTATCTTCCCGTTATGTTCAATAAAAAAAGCATTTGTTGGAACTACACACACACACACACACACACACACACACACATATATATATGTTATGCATCGGGGGAATGTTTTCGTGGCATTCTCTGGACCCACTCATCCATGTGGAAGGCACTCTCAACCGATTTGTGAAAGAAATCATCCTTGCAGATCACGTACACCCATACATGCTGATTGTCTTCCCTGGCGCGGATGGGATCGACCAGCAAGACAATGCGACATATCACACGGCTATGACCAAGACTTCCAAGTACTACCCTGGCTCCCTAATTCCCCAGACTTAAACCCAATTGAGCATCTGTGGGACCACCTCGACCATTGTGTTCGCTCTATGGAGCCTCCCCCTATGCATCCTTCATCAGCTGTGGGATGCACTGCAGTCAGCATGGCACCAGATACCTGTGACAACCTACCAGGACCTTATTGAGTAACTCCCAGCCCATCTAGCTGCTGTCCGTGCTGCACATGGCAGTTACTCTGGATATTAATTGGTGGTCGTAATAATGCGACTCGACTGTGTATATTTATACATACATATACATATACCTATATGTCTGTTGTGGTTTTGTTATGGAAGTTGAACAATATATAAAGTATTATTGTGTACAGTCGTATGCAAAAGTTTGAACCCTCCTGATCAAATTACACATTCTTTTACAAGAAACAAATTTTATATGTTATTTCAAGGCAAATTTTAGTGCTGACTTAAAATATAAAATATGTCATATAAAATGGGACTTTTTCACAGGCCACTTTTCAGAGTGTATTTATTTCTACTTCAACAAAATCAACAAAACATGTTATTTGTCTCCATGTTGACAGTCATTTTAGTGCATGGTACTAGGTTGTCGATCTGCCTTCAACGTTGGCATATGATTTGAATTTCAGCTTGTTATGCTGTTGTGTCTTTTACATTTCTCTGCAATATTTCAGTTTTTCAGTTTCCCCACAGTTCCCTCGGTTACATTCTGATGAATAATATGAGATAAAAGGTCCATTAACAAACAATCAATGGTACATGATAAATATTCATCAAAATGTGTCCGTTGTGGTAGGTGTATGTATGTATGTTTTGCAGGTAAGTTGTGATTAGATCATGAATACATACTTAATCGTTAGATCATGAATACTTACATTTAGGTCACTAATTCAGGGAAACTGAAGATTGTGGTAAACTTGCAATGAACCAGAAATAAATGCAATTCAACAGAGTGTTAGAAATTCGGCAAGAAGAGTCAGGAGACTGGAGCTTCGGTGTTGACTGGAGTTTATTTCCACATACAGAGTATGGGTACAGCCTGGTTGATCAGCAGTCAATCAGCAGTATCAGGAGTCTAGTCTTATTCACGTGCATGCAGACAATCAACGATTTTGGAAGGACCTTATATACATTGAAAAACTAAGGAGGGGGAAGGAAGAACAAAAGGACTTTGAGGAGGGGTAAGGAGGGGTTGTAGACTAGGGATATGTATAGAGATGTAGGGGGTAGAGATAAAGGGGCATTGATTGTATCACCCTAAGGTCGTGAGACAAAGGGTCATTTAAATACAAACAAGGAAGTGATCGGGCAAGGTGAGAATGTGACCAGTTTCACCTTTCTGCCATTTGCCTAAATTCTACAATGAGCATGGTTTAGACCTTAAGAAAATAACATAAGGGAAAATAACATATATTGAGAATATTTTCTTCAGCCTTGACCTTTTTTAGCTGAATTTGTTGTGCAAAACATTTTTTGAGTGTTCAGTTTTTAGACTGTCCCTTACTGACTGAAGCAGTGACTATCTACTTTTCTGAAGTTTTCAGTGAATCTCCCTGGATGAATATTTTGAAGTAGACCTATTTGTCGTCATCTTTGCGGTGTCCTTGTCCTCTCCTGACTGAGAGGATTCAGCTTTGAGAAACAGTAGAGAAAAACATCTTTAACAGAATGAACTATTATAGTTGCGTAATCTGCTTATTAGCGTCGGTGAACTCAGCTCAGGTCAAACATCTCAGGCTCCTCCATTTCTCCAAGGCCAGAATATTCAAACAGCATGAAAACAGATATTCCCTGAAGCTTGTCAGGTTTTTAGCGTAACATGCTCCGATGGAATTCATGGCTATATGTAAGATCATGTTGCAGTACAGGCTATACACTCTCGAAACATGTCAGTTCCAGCACCTGAAAAACCCTCTAATGTTCTATGATGAACTATATGTTCCCATTATTACTGAAGTTTTCTTTTTGCCGATTCACGCTACGCTAGGCACCCAATACACTGCAGAAATGATCTTGTCAAGTGGAATCATCTTAAATGCCTAACACTTCTCATTACATAAGATTGTTTTAAGTTGATAAAACCTATTCTCTAGTCTGTATATATGGGCTGTAGGCTTATAGTAGATTCAGAATGATACATTAATAATCTGATGTGAAGTGTATATGCATAGTTTGGTGTCTATGGTCCTGCCCTTGATCAAATTCCATATTTTGTCAAAATATACCAATCTTTTTCTTTCTCTGTCTCTCTCTCTCTCTCTCTCTCTCTCTCTCTCTCTCTCTCTCCCTACATGTACATGTACACATGTACATACATACGTATATATATATATATATACATATATATATATATATATATATATATATATATAAAGAGATAATATCATTTGATCATAATAATAAAAAGTCTGATGAAGCTTTCTATTACGCCAGTGGAATAGCTGCTAGGAGGCCTACAGAATGATAAGAAATGAAAAAAAGTAGGAAAATATATTTATATTTATAAAATTACACAAAAGCCTCAACAACTAAATATATTTATTTTTTAAGCATTCAATGTGTTCCCTTTTTGCCTTTATTATGGCTTCCATTCTTTTCAGGAGACTCACTTTTAGTTTTTTAAAGAAATCTGCAGGAATTTTTCTCCACACCTACAAATTTTAATCTTAGAAGTTGGTTTTGCATTTTCCGCTTCTCACCATCCAAGTAATCAAACACATCCAGTGATGTTGAGGTCTGGACTTGTGGTCAGTCCATTGTTCAGCTTCTTGTTTGATGTGTCTCCTTTTCTCAGTGAGGCTTTTTGACAGCTAAACATCAGCTAAACAGGGTTTGTTAAGAGTCTAATTTTCTGTATTTTTTAACATTTCTTGCTTTATAATCCGGAAACATGAGTAACTTGTACTTAAGGGTCATTCTGAATTGAAATAAGTAAGTGAAATGGGGTCTCTGTCTTTTGCACAGCACTGTTCTACTATACATCCAAAAAATAGGCCTGCTTTGTTGTAAGCTGGTATTTAACCTTTCTTTTCCTCTGATTACACACAGTTTATCCCTCCCCTTTGTTTTCCTGGGTGGAGTAACAGCTCTTAGTCACCTGAGACCTGTCCCAGAAGAGCATGGCCTGTCACCATGGCACCATTTCTATCCCGAACTACACGCAACACGCTCTTCTACCCCCTCACAGAGCTCTTTAGGGGCTTCTGATAGGAGACCGTCGCAGCTCTTTCAGGTGGGAGTCCTTTAATTATGCTAATGCATTTCTGTCTTAAAATTTAGTGGGGGATATTTACAACACCAGCCTGTGTTCCCAATTAAAATGTTTTGACGTTTTATAGCGCTCCTGAGCAACCACTGTAAGCACTTTGCCTCATAAATTATTCATGCCCAGCACGACCTGTAGCTGAGCTGGAAGGCAACCTGTTTGTGAATTTAAAAGGAAGTAAAACACTTTTTTTTTCCTCTGCTGTTTTTTAACTGAGGGATACATGATAGGTTTGTGTGTACCGGAGGCCGCACGGCTGTAATCAGAGCTAAAAGGAGTGGGCCGTGCTGAAATAGGAGCGAGTGATAAAAGGTGTGCTTTTGATGTGTCACTGCAGGAAAGCAGCATGACCAGAGGCTTCACTTTTCGGGCTTAAACCTGGTGGCTTCGAGTCAAGCTGTTGCGAGCATGAACAGGTAACTTGTTTTTGCTGTGTTGCACCAACCAGTTTCGGCCCGTGGTTCAGTATTTGCATCCGGACTGATGGCTGTATTTGCATTCAGATGATATCTCTATATGCTGTGTGAGTTTTTTGTACGTGTTTGGGTTCTTGTGTAATAATTTTGTAGCCATGCCTTTACACCATCCCAGTTATCGGAATGAAAGTACGCAGGAAAAAAGACCAGTGACTTCATCACTGCCCAGAACACACGCAGTACACCAGCAGTGCTCTCCTGCTGCTTTTTTTCTGGTGCTGCTAGATCAAGGACAAATAAAGCTTTCAAAGTGATAATTGAAACATCTTATAAGAAAAAGACAAAATTAAGATTAAGATGTGTTTTTGAGCTATTTGATGACCTATAACATATATAAACTAGTCTTTGTACCTGGAAACCCATATAAAATATTGTCCTTGTGCAGTATGGTGCAAAAGTCAGAGACCACCTTTCATTTATTTAACTTTCAGTCAAAGTGTTGATAAAGTACAAGCTGTTCTCACAGGTTCTATTCTTTTAAAGAGCCTTGCTTTCGGTTTCTCAAACAAATCTGAAGGGATATTTTTCCACACCTCCAAAGTTCAGTCGTAGAAGTTGGTTGCATTTTCTGCTTCTCACAGGTAATCAAAAACATTCAGTGATTGTGAATTCTGGACTCTGGGGTGGTGAGTCCATTGTTTTGAGAACAAATGGATTATCTTATATCCAATCTCAGAAATGTAAAAACATTGGACGTTTTTTCATTGGACGTTTTGACTAGAAATTAAATGAAGGGAGGTCTCTGACTTTTGCACAGTACTAATTTCATTTTATTTTTTAAATAAACATGTGTTAGTATAATAATAATACAATATCATTGTTTTCCAGTGGTCATAACACTGAATTTGTTAAACTGAGCCAGTCTGACCATGCAATTTGCGTTTTGGAGGTCCCTTGGTTTAGCCTTGGATTAGAATATTTTTGATTGAAATATAATTTTAAAAGAAAATTTAGTTACATTTTAAATTAAAATGTTAAAATATTTAACTGTTAAATAACTGTTAAATTAATTGTTTAAATATTTTATATTACATTGTTGCATAGCCATGCCTATATAGGTTGTTCAATAAAAAAGAAAGAATGATTATTCTGGTTCAAGTGGGCTAAACAGGGGCCTTTATTCTAAAAGAGCCTGAATAGGAGGGTGGTGGATTTTGTGAGAAAAGAAAAAAGTAAGTGGGTGCTTTTATTGTTAGCTGAGAGCACACTAGACTGTTGAGTTTTCCTGAGTGTTTTTGAGCTGTTTGGCAGTTTGGATTGAACGCTTCAGTTATGAGCCAGACCCCTGACTCCACTGAGTTTCTTGAGGAGAACCTGAATTTCACGTATATTAATAAAAGTAACATACAAGAATGGCCTCTAAGAGACCTACAGGGGTTAAAATGAAAACATACATACATACATACATCATCTAAACCGCTTATCCTTCTGGGTCGCGGTGGGGTGCTGGAGCCTATCCCAGCTGTCATTGGGTGGAAGGCAGGATACACCCTGGACAGGTCGCCAGTCCATCGCAGGGCAGACAGACAGACATACACAATCACACACACACTCACACCTAGGGGCAATTCAGCATTTCCATTTGGCCTGACTACATGTCTTTGGACTGCGGGAGGAAACCGGAGTACCCGGAGGAAACCCACGCAGACACGGGGAGAACGCGCAAACTCCACACAGAAAGAACCCCAGTTGCCCAGCCGGGAATCGAACCCAGGCCCTTCTTGCTGTGAGGCCATGCCGCCCTAAAATGAAAACAGTTTTTTCAATATTTGTGAAAGGGCTATTGACTTGGCATTACACCATGAAGGACACTTGGTATTTCCTTTATGATACAATATGATACAACCCTGCGCATTCTTTCTTAAAACACATCAAAATGAAAGTTCTTTGTTAAATTTGCAGACAAATGTTATTAATTTAGTTAAGCACATTGAAAGTTTTGAAACATGTTCTGATTTTAGAGGTTTCATACATAAAATCGTGCCAAACTTTGCACATCTTATGTAACGTTATATATCAGCATGTGTGGTCGGATGGTCGCACCATCTGACAGTAGGAAGCATGAGTGCCTAAACTAAATTTTATTTTGATGCATTGAAAATATATTTGTGTAAAGGAGGTATTGTAGAATAATGTGATCAATGTCATGTATTTATAAACTTGTTTTATAGGAAAATAATGGGGGCGAATAAGGCATATCATGTAAGTGACCATGCTGCACTCTTGGTCAATGCGTTTTCTCTCAGTGATAGTTGGACGGTGGGAGAAGGAGGTAAAACGCCTCCTGAGACGTCTGCTGGTGCACAGTGACATCATCAGAAATCAGAAAGCGTTTTATAGACTGGGAAAAAGTAATTACATTTTGATGGCAAAAGGAGATTTTTTTGATGAGTTGTGCTTCATTTGATTAGGTCCATTTTAATTTCAGGTTAAATTTTAAGTTGAAGGTTCTCGAGCTAGTCAAAAGTTGGGATGTATCAATTGTAGAAATGTTTTAGAATAATGAAGACATCAAGTAAATGACACAATTCATATGCAATTATTCCAGGCACAAATATTGGTCTCTTACCAAATAAGGCTCTTTAGATGTTGCCCTCCCTTGACACAACACAGCTGATTGGCTGAAATGCTTTAATAAGGAATTATAATTAGGATGATAGAATGATTGTACTTCCAACTCTAAAGAATAAAAAAATGTGCTTGTTCAGAAAAATATTGCTTCAAAGCAAATGTCTTGTTTTCATACAGAGAATTTAAATGTTATATTTAGTATCTATAACTTCAAGCATAAGCCTTTGAGTCAAAATATAAGAACATACCATCAGCTGCGTCCAAACCTTTGTCCAGTACTGTACAGTTCTAGGCTGACTTTACATCATGTGGAGGTTCTTTAAACTTACAACACTTGCACATCTCAAAATAGTTCTTTGAAGGACCATGAACTGAAATGTACTTCAGGGAAATGAGAGTGCTTCTTCTATGGCATCACTCCAAAAGAACTCTTTTTGGCACTTTTTTGTACAGAAAAGCTGCAGAAACCTGATAAGATCTCAGTGAATTTGTTTCATAACAAGACATTGCTCATACAGTTTGAAGTGCGAGCACTCACCCAGCTGATAGAGGCTCTTTGTGTGCCTCTGCTGTAATTGTGTTTTGATGGTCGGACCTCACACTAATGTACGATCTCCATCTCGATGGAAATGTGCTTGGACAGGCATTTTGTCTAATCATCAGCACACACACTGACTCACTGTGTTTCTGGATAATGCTGGAAATGAATTCTTTCTCTTTTTTTCTGGTTTCTCCGCTTTGCCAGGCAAAAGCATTTGTCTTGAGATCCCCGAGCGATTGAGTGGGATGAAGTCTCACACAAAAGAACACCCAAGCACAAATTCAAATCATACTGCTGCATAGAAACTCCTGCACTCATAGTCTTAAAACTCATCCTACAGGGTTCTTGGCTTGTACATAGTCTTTGGAAAAACCATTCATTTGTCTAAAAACATAATGTGCAAGTTCTTTAAACTTTCAAAATGATCTTTACAGTCACACATCTCACTTATAAACATGGTTCTTTAGAGGAATGGTTCACTGACAAAACAAATTTACACAGGTTTTTTTTTATTTGCCTCAGTTGTAGTTCAGCCAATACATGTTTGGTGCTCCAAGGCTCCTCTTTTAGTTTTGCACTGCAACTACAAGGCTAATATAATAGAACTCTATGGGGCAGATTTACTAAGAGAGGCATTTATTTCTGATGGTCTAAAGCTTTGTGCTGGTGTGGGCAGCCGATTTTATGTAATATCTTCTAAGATCTTCCATATAAATGAACACAGACACAACTTGGTAATAGCACAATATAATCTCTTGTTTGACCCACATGTTTTTTAGTATGGAAGCCTATTTTATCCTTCTGTTTTAGGTTTAAATTGTGCCTTTTTTTTACTCTGACTATATAATAAGTCTGGCTGTGCTTTGCCTGTGGACCATGTCACAGTGTCCTATTGGAGATGGCTGTTTGAGTTTGAGGATAATGCAGAGCTTTGGTTTTTGAACATTTCACAGAGAAAAGGTGTGATTGTTTGTGAAAGGCTGCAAATAGAGTTTTACTCTATTTACTCTCTTCTTTCAATATAGTAAGCCATTATTTTTGAGAAAATAAGACATTATTTCAACACAATAAGTTACAAAATGAACAAAAAATAAGCCATTATTGTGACTTTCTGTTTTGAAACACATTCATTTTCGCCTGGAAGAATGAGCTGAACTTGAGGTCCATGCTGAGTGCATTTGGAAACCACGTGATGTTATAAAATCCTTGTTTAAATTCAATGCATGCATCCTGGTCAATTGGGAACTGTATAAGTTTGAACATTTGGTGAGCAACATTAGCCTCGCAGCTCTAGTACAAACATAAAGAAGCAAACTTTAGACACCAAATATGTCTTGGCTGATCAACTATATTTGGGATTAAGGAGAAGTTGTGTAAATAGCAAGGGCCCACCAGCAGGCCCTAAGTTGTATTACACACTTCTGTAATGTAAGGGTAGCTCAGCTGGTTTGCACTGAAGTCCCTGTAGTTGTTGAATAATAAGCCTTAGTATTAGTATGTAATAAGCCTGGAATTTTAAGGGGTTAAAAAGCAAACTACTGAAAGACTCTGAGTGAATATAGTTCTTCTACTGCATTGCTCCAAAGCACCCTTTGGCACCTCCATATTTTAATTTACAATAAACCTCTGCCTTATTTTCTCTCTTTCTATCACCTTATACAGGAATCTAAAAAGACCCACCACTGGTCAGTCATGGTGGTCCTGGCCCTCTCTTGCCTTACTTGGGGTGGTAACCCTATCTCTTGGTTCAGGTACGTTCTCAGCTGCCCCTTTTCTTCCTCATTGTGCGTTAATGCTGAGTGATACTGGTAAAAGTCCATATTACTGCATAATAATTTATGTCTGCATTAATAAAGATAATAATCCCATGCTTCCTATGTTTGCTACTCTATGAAAAAAGAATGTAATATGATTTTTTGATTACACTGTTTGGATATTCTTTTGCTAAAGTTACACCAAGGGGGTGCCACTGTAATATGTAAATGTCAGCCAGACAAAAGCTAGATTTCCAGGAAAGTTACTGCTTATGTAATTTGTATGCAAAAGACTGAACACCCCTGTGAGAATTACATGTTTTATTGAGTTTCTAAGTGAAAAAAAGTCAGGGATCAAACACAAATATAGCATTTTTTGCAAAAATTAGTGCTCAACTTCTATGCATTTCCTAAATGTAACTTATTGGGGGTAAAAATAACATAAAATATAAATTTTGCATAACTTTTGCACTTGCCAAAATTTATGTTTTATTTTTTTTATCCTGAATTTAGCAAATAAGCAGTACTTGTGCATTACATGTGCAGAAGTGTGTTCTCTGTAGAGGATGTGTTCACTTATTTACACTCATAAAACCAAAAAACATGTCATTTGACTAAAGGCACCCAAACTTTTGCATACAACTGCATATCGCCTGAGCAGCTGTAGTTGTTTCACAGTGTGATGTTAGAGACAGCCGTTTGTTTTGTTACAGTCTGAGGAGAATGAAGAGCTGTGGTCAGTGAAGGTTTCGCTGAGAAAAGCAGTGCTTCGAGCAGAAGTGAAAAAAACACTAAGCAAACTATTTCCTGGAATAAAATGTGTAGAACTGAACATGTTTTTTGTTTCGAGAGAGAAAAATGGCTTTGAAACTTTTAAGCTTTGCATGAAAAGAGAGCCCTTGAGAAAGATCTTGGCTTTTATGTGTAAAATAAGTGCAGTCCACTTTTCTCCATTCTGCTGGATAGTGTTACGCAAACAAAGGCAGCCGTGCCCTTTAACATAGCGCTGGTACACTTTGTATCTGTGGTATGTACTGAATTGTGTCTTCCTCTGATGGTGTGCAGGGACTCTGGCAATGAGGGTGACCTCCAGTGGGCCTCAGACCTTACAGCTGGCCCAGGGGGAACAAGCAAGAGTGGACTGCATCTACACCCCAGACCCTGAAGACGTAGGAGAACTGGACATCGAGTGGTCACTGGTCAGTCCAGATACGACAAAGAAAGACCAGCTGGTAAGTTCACCTTTATAAATAAAGGTGCTTAAAGGGTTCTTTTTGGCATCTTAATTTTTTAGAAATGTTGGGTTTGAGTCCCTTTCATTTCCTGTAAAAATGGCAATTAGGTGATTCATTTTTCAGGAGATATACTTTTGAAGGGATTAGATATAAGATAGTCCACTTGCACGTTTACCCATACAGCATTTAAAGGGCTCATACCATGGTGTAACTAAATATCCTTGCTCTTTTTCCTCAATGTAAGAGTTTGGTGAAGTACATAAAATATACTGTCCACTCCTTGGTCCATATGTAAAAAAAAACAGCAGATTTCAATTAATCAGTTTTGTGATGTCACAAAAACAGCATATTTATATACTTTTGCCTATGCATCCTACAGCAGTTTAGCCCAACCCAGTCACACTGAAGTTTAATTGGGTTGGAAAATAGTCATGTAAAAATTAATTAACTGTTTTTGGTACATAAATGCAAACACACATCAGAAGTGAACCTCAGGGAAATATTAAATATTGGAAAAAAAATTGAAAAATGTATAATATTAGCTCATTACCAAAATACCAGACAATCATCATATTGAGATAATCTCAGGTTGAATGTGCAAGGCAAATTTCTGTTATGACCCGATGCAGGATTTTCTAGATGTGGATTTTATAACATGTAAACACTTTTGTGATCACACATCTGTCTGTTTTGTCCATCAGATCATATCATACTCAGGAAGAAGTAAATATCTCCATGGCGACCCAGCATTAACCAAAGGGGTGGACTTTGCAGCCAGTGACCCCTCTCAGGGAGACGCGTCTCTCTCCATCAGCTCAGTGGATGCTGCTCATGCTGGAACGTACCAATGCAAAGTGAAGAAATCTCCTGGCGTGGACATGCACAAAGTCTCAGTGGTGGTTTTAGGTAAAGCAGTCCAACTAATGACAAAGCTATTGCAAAATTACTCACTTCAGTGCCTGTAGATAACAGACTAATGATACTAAGCAGGCACCGGTCATTAATGCATGTCCCAGTGCACATGTACTTTCTTCTTTGGTGCTTTATTTCTCTTGTTTTTGGCAAAGAATAGACAGAACAATGAGCACACAGTGGAACAAGTTTGGCAGCTTTTTGTGTTTTGCACAGCTCACTTTTTTTAAAAGGCTGCTAAACCAGAAATACAGACTTTTCTTTGAAACAAAGATGCATATCATTAGATAGGAACATGCACTGTGTTCAATTGTGTCTTTCGAAAACAAATGTATTCATATGAAGGAGAATAAGAGAAACATCAGGCTAACCAGGCTGGTTTTGTGGTCATTTTGTAGTGTGACTTAATGAATTAAGAGGCCTACATCACTTATGAGTTTTGCAAGGTTTAGTCATAATTCATTTTTATATGACCTTTTTCCAATCTCTCCTTATTCTATAAGTTCTATATTCTATATTACTGATATACTGATACAAACTCAAAAAAATATTTTTTTACCTGAACTTGAATTTTGTAAAGAACACAATTGCACACAATGAAGTTTTTTTTATTTGACACAAAACAATTTACTAAAATTGCCAAAACTTAATCTGCTATCATATTTCCAACTCAACTTCAAATACATTGAACACTGAACATTGTTCATTTACTAGTGCTGATTTAAGCTCTGTCACTACAACTTTACTATCAGAGCCCAGTCAGTTCCATACTCACCAGTACAGAATAGTGGCGGATCTAGAAGATTTGACCAGAGGTGACAAAGGGATGGCAGGGAGTTTTGATAGGGTGGCAATATTACAGACATTCCTGCAATGTTTAAACCCCTTAAAATCCCAGGCTTATTACATACTAAAGCTTAGTATTCAGTAACTACAGAGTCTTCAATGCAAACTGACTGAGCTATTCTTAGGTCTTAAGGGTACAAAATAAAGCTTTGAGACCACCGGTGGGCCCTGGCCATTTAAGGGGATAAAGTTACCAGGCAGGGGGGCGGGGTGTCGATAGATTGGAGAGCTGTTGACACTGAAACAACTCAACCCTTCATGGGAAAGCTGGACATACAAGAACATCAGATGTACTTGTAATGCAAATGTGGCACCAAGGGGTGTGGAGAGCGGTGATGGACAGAGGTTGCAGAGTTGTTTCGCTATCGGTTACCATTAATGGCAAAGCATGACAGACCAGACATACTTGCAACTTGCAATGCTAATGAGTCACCAGGGTAGGGGAGTTTGGGGGCAGTGGGGTGGTTGCTAGGGGATAGCAAAAACAATTTTCCCTTTAAAGGCACAAACAACCACTCCACAGTGAGGTGGAAGCCAATGATGTGGCAGAAAATTTAGGGTGAACAGTCACATTTCAGGAAAGCCACTAGCCACTCCGACCACCCCTATAAAACCACACATGGTAGGGAATATGGCAACAGGCTTTTACAGCCAACAATAACAACACTAAGCAATTCATATACAATGTAAGCAGGCACCCAGGGGAACACAGCCTAGAGGGAAGGACAACACAGAGATGTTATGTAAAAAATAAGAGGAAAGACACACTCAATATGCAAACAGACAGAGCCAGGAACCAATAAAATCTTGTTTCCTGAGCCAAACTTTCCACCCTCAAGGCAACAGATTACATTTCAATACATTAATCCAATAATTCAACTCAAAGATCCTATTTGAATGTATGATGTCATCAAAAAGAGTTCTCCTCACTCAAAACAGTTAAGTATTGTAGAATACATGCTATTTAAGTTCCAGTGATGTAATATATGTGGGAGTGCATCTTGTGATACCAGGGTAAAATCCCATGAGAACTGAAAAAAATCACAATGCATTCTCTTTCATTAACTTTGGCTGAGTGTGTTCTTTTAATACCAATACTTTGTAAAATGAGTCAATGCAATTTTCTTAACACATACAGAACTTCTATGTTTTTTGAATGATGTGTAAATGAGCTCTGTGCTGATTGGCTGCCAAGTATTGGCCAGGGTTATTAAAGTTTTGACATGTTCATTAGTTTTTATTTTGGTTTAGTTTTTCAGTTTGGTTTTGGATTTCAGTTTAGATTCATTTACTTTCAAGGGGACGTTGATAGCTTTAGTTCAGTTTTTATTTTCTGGAAAGCAATAATTAGCAATTTAACAGTTTTAGTGCAATTTTATCTGCTGTTTTAGTTTAGTTTTTAGTTATGTTGAACGCTGTGATAGTAGATGTTTGATTATCATAAAATAAAATTAAAACAACAGTAGACTGAGCTCTGCTCGGTTCCAGCTTTCCATAAAGTCTAAACACAGAAATGTTCCACCTCTAAACTCTTATTCATGCACTGAAAAAAACTAACACTAGGTTTATTCTCATGAATTCAATTTAGTTTAATTAGTTCTACAGTAGATACTGTATTTGATTTAGAATTCATGTCTGTTTTTATTTTTATTACAGTAAACGAACATATTTTTCACTGATGGTTTTAGTTTTAGTAATAGTTTTAATTAACTATACTGACCCTGGTATTGACTCTGCTGAAACACTGGTTATAACTTCAGGGAAAATGGGCAGGGCTAAACTGCTGGAGGCTAAATAGGCAGGATATATGTACTGTAAACGCATTTGTTTTCGTGACATCACAAAAAGAGATTTCAAACCGATTATTCCTAAAACGATCCAATCGGCTTGCTGGTAAAGCTGCAAGCAGGAAGAGTCCTCTGTCTCTGTGGAGATACGTGTCGCATAGTACATGCTAAAAAAAACATTTTTTTCTGTTAATGTGGCTTTGAGTTTCATGTTCATAGGCCACTTTTATCTGAAAAGATAAAGCCCAGATAAAATGGGCTTTACAACATATGGGCCCTCTAAGGAGTCCATTTTGTGTTTTTTATTTTCTGCATAATTCAATAGTTGAGATATAAGCAAAGTCAGCAGAGTAGCTTGATATGAGATTGTAGACAGACAACTTCAGATTTCTTTACAGTGGTGGTGATATTAACCATGGGTTGTGATGTCTATAGCACAAATATAGCCATTTTATTTACTATCCAAAACCACCAGTCTACCTACACATGTCTTCTGAGTTTTATATGGAATGTTGATGGTAGTAAAATAGTGATAAATCTGAAAAAAAAAATGGTTTTTGTAGGGGAGATATTTTGCCTCACAGCACTCTGCATGTACCTCTCCACCACGAATGGATTTTGAACATGTTTTATGCCTTAGCCTTCTCAGAACTACCATAAAACAGGGTCTCAGTGTATCAGGCAGTGTATTCATAACCATTTCATCTAAGATCTTTCTTTGAGGGAGCTTTTAGAGGTAGACCACCACTGTAAACAGTTCTAACTCTAAGTTTCTCTAGAACAGAGTATTTCACACCAGACCACTCTGGAAGGCTTTGCTTACATCTCAACCATTTACTTATGCAGAAAGTGTGAACAATTGGTGGAATTCCCCTTTAAGTGACAGGTTCCGTGTTGCAGTCCTTTTCCAGCATTCGACTCCACCTGACATGTTGATCCTTTTCACACATTCACCTTATTAACCAAATCATCGTTTCTCTATTTATATCTATATCTACTGTATCTAACATTAAGAACCAGCTATATGCTATAACTATTATCAAAAATATGTTTAGAATTTAACAATAACAAAAACAACAACAATATTACTGTGCACCTTTTGAGGCCTGAAGGACACAGTACAGAATCTACAGAGCATAAATCTAAAACACAGAGCGCTCTGCATCTCTGGATGCATCCCGTGTGCCGTTTCCATTATTTCATCTGTCCTTTTTGAACATCCACCACATTGATTTTTCTTTTTGGCTTTGCCACACTCAGCATTTCCCCCATTTCACTTGTACAATTCAATCTCCTTCTGTATTACTTGGGCTACCACCCACCTCACATTCACTCGCAACCTAATAGCGTCTCCAATCTCTCACACTGCATGTGTCTTCCTTTACCCTTGCTGCATCTGTCCTCCACTTTGTGCATATCTCTTGAAGGGAGCTTTTTTCTTTTAACAACTCTTCTGTTCCTCTGAATGTTTTCCCTTCATCTACTGCAGTCAACGGGAGATTTATTGAATGTTATTGAACTGAACAGTGGGGTTTTGTTATTCCTCTCTTTGTGTCAGAGAGGCCGTCGGCGCCGAAGTGCTGGGTGGAGGGCGATGAGGCCGTCGGTCAGCCCGTGTCCTTGCGCTGTAAGTCTGACCAGGGATCCGGACCACTTCAGTACGAGTGGAGGAGAGAGAGCGGGGGTCCTATTCCTCCCTCCGCCACACAGAGTGAGTGCGACCTCTAGTGCTGATGGATTATTACCCTGACTCATGATTCATGAGCAGCAGGGCAGATTAAAGCTGTGTGAATATTTACTGTGTGAATATTTGCTGTGTGAACCTTAAACTCTAAAGACCCCTCAGGGAGTCCAGACTTTTCAGAGTTTCTTATGCTTATAACTACAGAACCTTTTTTTTTTTTTGAAAATTTATTTTTGTGACATTACAAAACCAAAAAAATAAGCACATGCTGGTTTTGCTGCTTGGATTCCATTAATGAACTGTATGGACTGGGAAGTGAATATGAAGTGATATGTTTTGACACTTAACGATGATTACATGCTACATCGATCTCTTCTTTTTTCAAAAAGCAAAAAGCATTGTATGGGCCCTTTAAGAATAAATATGGAAATTTAAACATTTATTTTGATTTCTGGCCTTTTCTCTGTTGTCAGACTCTGTTCTGGGAGAATTATTAATCAGCAATCACTCTGTGGACTTGGCTGGGATCTATGCGTGTGAGGTAGCCAACGCTGTTGGAAAAGAGCGCTGTCGACTGAACCTACAAGCTATAAAGCGTGAGTGACCCTGCACCATCAACAAACTCAGTCTATATTATTTTACATGTTTGATCTATACTGTTATACTGTGATATTAACATGTTGCTTTAAGGCAGCATTATTGATGATATAATCGGTAGATGATGAACATTATGTCCATTATGACAGTGACTGTCAAGAATTTATTTTTTATTCATAATTTTATTTTGTGCATTTTATTGAGGGTATCCAACAGTAATTACCTTACATTGTTCATAGTGTACAAAGAAAATCCATTAAATTCAAATAAATGGTAATATCCCTTTCTGTACATGTTTTTTTCTGCCTGGTAAACTGTGTGAGGCCATTTTAACAAAACAGTACATCCTAAAAATAGATTGATCAGGTTTGTAAGACATTTTTAGCATAAGCATTTCTTTTTAGCATAGCATAGCTTTATTAATGCAGACCTAAATATCATCTGATACTTTGACACTGTGATATATTTATTAAATATTGTGATATTAATCTTTATCAATACAATCTCAGCAATAAACGACCATTCAAATGCTGTCACTATGGTGGTAGCCTTGATGGTACATCAGCACATTTACTAAGGGCATAAGTGTACTAGATTCTTTTGCAATTTTCTTTTTTATTATATTTGTAACTTGTACTGACTCTATATACCTTGTATTGAATCCAGGCTTCTGCATTATTCAATTAATTATTCAATAATTCAAATATTCAATTATTAAAATGGCAAAATATGTAACCCCTGGTTCCTATTACTGCCACTGTAAAGAAAGACTGCACGTTTCTCATCAATGAACCATTTCACCTCAAACCACTCTGAATGACTGGTTACAACTCAACCACTGCATTATGCAGAAATTTGTAATATTTTGTGAAATTCCCCTTCAAGGTACACAATTGAACCTTAAAGCTGCACTATGTAAAAAAATTAAGTGAAACTGAAGTAACATTAGTGAGTCAGGAGAAAAAAATATGCTAAAGTATGTTGAACGTGTGCTGCTGTGAATCACCCTGTAAAGCCTGAAATAATCATTTAAAAATCAGAGGCATTTGGTTTACTTACAGAGGCATTACTAAGTCATGGCCACGCATTAGGAACTCATTCCCACGCCTTTCTAGGTCGTGGCCATGACTTAATTATATTGTTCTCATGCTTTAAACAAGCATTGTTTCTTATTTATACAGGCTGTCACCAGCAGGGCTCCATAGGTTGGATTTGGCGGGAGTTTTTTTTTTTTGGCCACATCTTTACGTGTTAACATCACACGCACAGGCTCAAAAGGAAGGTCTGCCTTGATGCTTAGATCACAAATGCAAAATCAAAATTATGCTAATAAGGATATGATGACAACAGTAGATAATTCACTCACACCCTCTGAAGATGCGTCCTTCGCAAATTTTGACCGCATTCTCTTTGAAATCTCTTTCAGTGCACATCTTCCGATTCGTCAGAAGCAAAATACACAGTACAAAGTGTTCTTCTGAATGTTGCGTGCAGTTGCACATTTCAACACATTTCAGACCTCCAGAAAGGTCTCCAAATCCCCAAATCTTTCATAGTGCAGCTTTAAGGAGCATATTGGACCTTTTAGCATACATACACATTGTTTGTATCTGTATAGTGCCCTGTTTTCTGATGTATGGCTGATATTGCACAGCCCTGACTGACAATACATGCACTCTCAAAGTGATTTTAATAGTTATAACATAGTAAAAAAAACAAAACAAAACAAAACAAAAAAAAACCATATATATGTATATAAATATATATATGTATGTATATATATATATATATATATATATATATATATATATATATATATATAGCAAGAGAGAGAGAGAGAGAGAGAGTTATTTTATAGCTTGTAGTATAGTATGCCTAGTGTTGTACAGTGTTGTACCTAATTAGTGTCTTTGTGTATGTGTAGCTCCTAACAGAGCTGGGGTGATCGCTGGCACCGTGTGTGGATGCTTACTGCTCATTATAATCATCCTCATCATCATATGTCTCCTCGTCTTCAGATGGGAACGAAAACGCTATGAGAAAGAGCTCTCCAATGAGATCAGGTACTGACCCTTTTCTGCATATTGGACACACTGTGGGGACTGTTGGCTTACAGGCAAATGCCACAGCTAGTGTTTAGAAGTTAAGTAGGTATTGTTCGCCTCCACCTTCAGTTCTGCAAAGGTTCTTGAGTCCATGAAATGGAAACAGTAGAGTTGCTGCACAATTTTCAAAATTATATAATGCCGTTTATGAACTTTTTAGGAAAACAAAAAATGCCATTTGCACCACACAACAGTGCACAAACTCAAATATGCCAATTGTTGATGTCTATTTTATTCAGGTTGAAAATCAAACATGGACCGTTCAACTGATTTAGAGCCCCATAGTAAAAAACTATTTTTAAGAACAATTATGGATTCAGGCCAGAAGGATTATGTTATAATCTATTTAAACACATTAATTAATTGAGATAGTAATAAGCTAAATTCGTGCAAAATCATCATTAATAAGGGGCTTTCTATTGGGAGGTGGTGGTCTTAAACTTTAACACCTAAATTGTAACCCCAAATAATACAGAATTTGTTTTGCTTTTTTACCCTATTTATGGTTTTTTACAAAATCTGTTTGATCATGGTAAATATTTAGAATTGCCTTGAGTTTAAGTTTTAAATAAAAAACTTCACTGAAAAAATGTTTCCATGTCACTACCTGAAACACAAAGAGTATTAGTGTGTTTTAGTGTGTTTTAGCTTGTTTTAGCCACACCCCTGCATTTTAGAGCAGAAAGTGAGACTGTATCCCTGTCCCTCATGGCCACATAGTGAGCAATTAGTCCTACTGTTTTGAAGTAAATGTGTCCAAAATTCTGAAAATCAATGTGGATCATTAAGAATTCTCACTACTGGAACACATACCTTCCGCAATTAAATAAACTTTTGTGTTTTAATGAAAAATTTTATGATTATATGTGTATATGTGTATCCAAAATGATAACTTTACAGGAGAATGAAAAAAACATACTTTACTTTTAATGTAAGTCTATGGAACCAGACTGTTTTCCCAAATAATTTGAGCTGTTTCTTTTGGTTCATTCATCATGAAATTTACACACAGTGTAAAGGACAACAGGCATTTTCAAATTATGTCAAAAACTGAAAAACGATGGAGAAGCGATATACAAACTGTTCCAACAGTGATATACAAACTTTAATGCAGAAATACTATTTGTTTGCTGAGTTGTTTACTTTTTGCAGTAAAAAAGAAAAAATGTCATATTTAAGTGTGTTCTCTGTTAGGATGAATTAACTTATCTTCAGTTCAATCAACAAAAAGCATGTTTAAACTTTTGCACATGACTGTAAAACTATCTACCCAGCCTTGTAAATAATACTCTGTGTACACTGGTCTCTTTCAGAGAGGACGCACCGGCACCTGAGAGCCGTCCAGCCAGCCGCGGCTCGAGCCTCCACTCCAAAGTGGCCTACAGCCAGCTGAGCCAAACCCACAAACACCACCCGTCCTCCGCCAGCACCAGCTACACCGCCGCAAAGTACGACAGCAAATACGGCTACATTGTGTGATACAGACTCATTTAAAGCTCATTTTACCTAAAGATGATGCTCACATGCTACTGTGTCTCTTCTATGGGTGACGTACAGCATATCGTACGTGGCATATTGTTTGCTGTTCAGTGAAACATTTGAAATGGGTTCTCTTTATTAACGCCAACTGTAACATGAAAGTTTTACAACTTAGACAAAAGTTTTTAGAAAGACATTTAAAGTGCATTGCCTGAGGACTGAAGGAATATAGTCTTTGCTAATTATCATATTTTTTTAGTTCTTCATGCAAATGTACCAATTTTCATTGTTATCTTGTACTAATTTTGTAAAGACAGATAAGGACATTATACTGGAATCCTCAGTGTAACACTAAGTCAATTATCTGCAGATAAGATTCTAATCAGCAAAGACTTTTTAAACTCGATTAACATGCCTCTCTCCACTGATACTGTGAATAGGACACTACAGAAATCATGCTTTCCACTTTGTTTTTGTGATCTTACACATTCAGTCAGCCCAAAAGCATACATGATCCTAGATCTGTGGTCTCAAAGGAAAAATCAGTGTTTTTTACAGTAGAGATTCTATATTGAAACAGACAAGCTTCTTGACTGAGTATATGAAATATATATACTTTTTAAATAAATATGATAATTAAAGCTGTGTCAAATGCAAATGTATTTCTGCTGATGAAGTAGAACATCAAATTAAGCATGATATTAATCTGTGCATAACAAGAACTTCCAAACAATCAACTATTTTAAATTTATGTAGATGTTTCTGATCGTTTACTTAGTTGTAACTGCGTGTTGCTTTAACCTGGCTTGCTCTCACTGTGAGTTGTGTACCGGCTTCAAAATGGTGCTACATTACAGCTACCAAAATGCTATGGGAGTGAAGTCTGTGACTTAATTACACAATTCAGTGATCAAAAACACTTACAATGAAAAATAGTTACACAGTCCCCAGGGAGAATCTTGAGAAATATCTCAAGAAATATGATTTAGCCCACATTAGGGTGAGTCCCACTCCCCCTACGTCCCATATTCTCTCTATTTTAATATCTTGTTTTATATCCTCTGAAGTCATTTTTGCTCTGTAGCTTTAGACGTTTGTGAAGCAGAAAATATTATTTTCATTTATTTATTTCATTTCATAATATTGTCACTGTCCAAAAAAGAAAAAAATTATATATAATATTAATTAATTAAATAATTTTTTACTTATCCACATTATTTCAACACAGCAGTTGCCCTTTACATTGTGTGTAAATGTCATCATGACTGAGCCAATAGAAATGCTCCAAAATTACTTGGAACAAAACCTCTTTACTTTAATTGACGTTAAAAGTATTGAATGTTTTTGTTCTTTCCTGTAAAGTTGCCTTTTGGAGATACCTGTTTTTGGACAGTGGCAATGTTTTAATTTCTTTTTGTCTACACTCTTAAAAAAGATGGTTCTTGACAGGTTCTTTAGGAATGACAGTGGTTCTATATAGAAACCTAAACACTCCAAGAACGATTTGCATGCTTAAATTGTTCTACGCATGGTGAAATCGTTCTTCAGATTGATGAAGAATGTGTTGTAGATGGTTCTATATATAGAACTTGAAATAGAAATGGTTCTATAGAGCACCAAGTGTTCTTCTATTGCTATGATGTCAAGCTTATAACAATTGTCTTTGCAATGCACTGACTTTACAAAAGAACCCTTGAAGAACCATTGTTTTTAAGAGTGTATAGTGGGCAAAGTGTCTCTGATGGTAGTGTTTTTCAGTGTTGTAGTGTCTCTGTTGTCTCAGTGTGTCTTTCATTAACAGTTCACTTTCTTTTTAAGAACAATTATGTAACATTTGTCTTCTATGATGTTCAGAGAACATTGTCTCTCACACATTGTGTCTTCTGAAATGTGTCCAGGAAATGTTGTGGTGTAAATTCCAAACCTCATAAAACATCATAAAGGATTCAGTTTATTTATGACTGTTTTCTCAAATGCGTTTGTAAAATGTTGTAATGAGGTTAAATAATATGCCTGTTAGGAGTGAGTGGATCTAAACAGAAGTATCACTGATTCATGATGTTCAAACTTAATATTTGTCATTTTATTAAACTGAAGGTTAAAAAAAACTGGGGGAAAATTGTCACCTTTGGGTCAGAAGTCATAAGATTCTGGCTTTAAACAAATATATTTAGGTGGTTCCACTGCCTTTAAATGTCAAAACTGATCAGATTTACCCTGAACAGTATGCAAGGGTTACAAGGATCAGTATCTGTATAGAAACAGGAATATTAGTCTTAGTAAGCTAAAGGGGAATTCTACCATTTTTTCACATCTCTGAATAATTAATTTGTTAAAATGTAACAGAGTGGTTCGATGTGAAATAGTTATATTATAGAGAAATCTTTCTGCTATGAAAGATTTCTGTGAATGGATATTAAAAGGTACTTTCTAAGCCAAAAGCTTATTACAAAACTATCATAAAACAATGTCTCAGGGATCAGGCAGCATATTCATAACCATCCAATAGAATATCTTTCTGTGAGGGAGCTTTTAGAGGCATTAAGTCTTCAGACATCTGGTTTCTATCACTACCACTGTGGAGAACTCTGACTGTCAGAACTGTGTCCATTCCTTACAGAACATTTCACATCAAATCACTCTGAATGACATGCAGAAATTTAGAAAAAATCAGTAGAATTCTTAATCTTTATTAATTGTTGAGATGACATCACTGCAGGAGGGCAACATTAACAACACCAATAAAATAATGGGGTATTAGAGTATGAAAAAATTCTAAAGAAGTAAATTACAATACCTAAAACAAAACCAGAAAAGGGGTTGCAGTCATAACCATTCCAAAATCTATAATACCTTTGTTTAACTTTTTTGCATTAAGGCTTTTCATACTCAAAGAAACAAAATAGAAAGACTATGAAAGGATGGGGAGGTTTTTAGAACTGTGCCTTTGTGAACAAAGAATTTACGTAACAAAATCAAGTAAAGGCAGTGCCTAATGTTTTTAGCAACCCAAATGGATCCTTAGTCCCTACATAGAGAACTATATGAGTTATGTAAATTGGACTTCTACACAAAAATAGTGCAGTGTATATCTTGTAGGGAATCATGCACATGTGGCTGAAACTCAAATGGCTTTTTGTTAGATATATTTTGCACTGTTTGGGTCCTGGAGTCATTAATGTAATATTAAAGTAATGTAATAGCTACACAGGGAAGTAGGGAGCCATTTGAGATTCAGCCTAAGCGATCATGGAATAAAAGAAGTTTGTAGTGCTGTCAAGCTAGAGAGATTGGCTGAGTCCGATACAGCCTTCTACACACTGCTCGCGTACTGATTCTACCCAAAAGAAAGTAGTATACAGTAATGTGATCAACAATTAATTTAATGCCAAAGAATTCCGGATGATGTACTGCGATGGCTATATTTTCCATTACACAGGCAGACAAGAGCCAGTTAAAGGGGAGCCTGTCCTCTTCCTATTTCCCCCATTATATCAAAAAAAGGACTGCAAAATGCCAGATGGTGCCCGCCAGTGAGTCCTCAATGAAAGGGGGTGAATGGAGCTCATTGACTAAAAACAAAAAGTTTAAAATATTTTTTAATCATTTGCCCAGAACTTTTAATTTTAGAAAGCTGAAGGGTGTATTTTACTATAAAAGCAAAGAAAACTCACCTGTATGTTTCCTTTTTTCTACAGCAGACAGGTTTTGGGCAGCAGGATGCTAGCATTACTGCTACTGAATGCTGATTGGTTCATGAACAGAGCACCTCATTAGCTGTTCGCGCTCACTGATGTCATGAACGTACATGAGGCACCATTTTAAACTCTTAAGCATTTGTAAAACTACAATTTTGCTGAAATGCTCCATCTAAACCCATTTGTTTTGGATTCAGGAGCGCCCCCTAGCATTTGAGAAACCTGGATAATATTACAGAGTGGTAATTCTCCTCTCTACAAGTTCTCGGGTACAGCACACAGCTTGTGCCGTATACTGGATACTGTACTGTATACTATTGATGAAGAGCAGTATGCAGAATTCAGTATATCATTGTCGGAACAAAACTTTGTATCTCCAAAATGGTAACTTTGGAGGAGAAGAAAAAACATACTTTACTTCAAATGTATCTCAATGGAACCAGATCTGTTTTCCAAGTAATTTTGGGCCATTTCTATTGGTCCATTTATCATGAAATTTACGCAGAATGTAAAGAAAAACAGACATTTTTAAACTATGTCAAAAACTGAAAAACGGCAAAAATGGAGATAAGAGGTTTTGTTCTGACAGCAGCGATATATTGTTGCAGGATATATTAAACAATACACATTATGCTCTTTCAAACACAGCCATTGGCTCTGTGATGAGCGGCTAATTAGTGATGATTTACACCAGTGCGTGCTTAATGACATCCCACAGCACCAAGATATATTTTAATGCTTCAAAATGTTCCTATAAATACTGATAGTTTATAAATACTGATCGCTTCTCTCATCTAATAAGAGTAATGTAGTAGAAGTTAAATCCACGGCTTAATCCCTGAAAGTGCGGCTGCAGTTCTTAAACAGAGGCTGGGAGTGCGGGCTCTGAGAGTGTGGGGGCTGAAGCTGCGGTACTGAAGCTCTGCAGATGGATATTGACTGCCTTTAATATCGGACCGAAGAGAAACTGAGTGGTATTGCCCATCCCTAACCACTAGACGGCGCCTGCAGTCTCCACTGCGCATGTGCAGCAGCGCCGCTGTCACGACCTGCAGGAGCTAACGGAGCTAAGCTAAGCTAAGCTAAGTAACCATGAAGGCTCTTCGGGGAATGGTCAGCGGGGCCGTGAGCGAAATTTCGTCGGCCGTCAGCGGACACAAGCCCGTCGTCGCTGCCCGAGAACATGCGCTAGCCGTCAGTCGTGACTACATCTCTCAGCCGAGACTGAGTAAGTAGCTGTTTCAGTGCAAAAACATTGATGCTTAGCCTTTAGCTCGCCTAGCTGCAGTGGGTCGCTAACGGTTCCCAACATCAACTGCAGCCGCTGCTGCTCACAGCGCGAGTGTGAATGAATGACAGTATTAGGGTGGAGATAAAGCTCAAAACGAACCAGGTTTCTGGATCATTTAGCTGTGGTTAGATGTTTTGCTGTCCACTGTCCACTCCTGCAATGCTTAGCTGTTGTGATCAGCAGCTGCTGTGATGCCCTTGTACCTTGTAGGCTCCAGTATCATGCCTGCTTAGTGCATCAGCAAACACTCCTAATAAAAAGCATGGTTCTTCAGGGGTTCTTTTGTGAAAGGAATGGTTCCGTTTAGGATCTTGACTTCTATATTGAACCATTTCATGCTTAAATGGTTCTTTGCATGGTGAAATGGTTCTTCAGATTGATGGAGAATGTGCTGTGTATGGTTCTGTATATAACCTTTTTAAAATGGTTCTGTATAGCACCAAAAAGGATCCTTCTATTGTCACAATCTCAAGCTGCTAACAACAGAATAACCCTTTTTGGTGCTAAATAGAACCATTTTGAAAAGGTTCTGTGTAGAACCACATACAATCCATCAATCTGAACAACCATTTCACCATTCAAAGAACCAATTCAGCATGTGTTCGTGGGTCATGGCATAAAGAATGCTTGAAGAACCTTCAGATCTTTTTTAAGGTTCTATATAGACCCATATGTAACACATTCTCCAGCACTCACCATTACACCATGCCAACAACCATTTGAGCATGGAATCGTTCTGCATACTACTCATGGTTCTAAATACAATCATTGTCTGTTGTACTAAAGAACGCTTGAAGAATCAAGATACTGTAAATATACAGGCACACATTCACAGAGGCAGGTGGATTTATTAGGCAGCTCTGCAGCTGGTTATCCTGCTATGGTTAATCAATGAATGCATGATGTATTTGATTGATCAGGCAAATGTTGAAAAGGTGTTTTAGAAGAGAGGAGATTCAGTGTCCAGCTCAGCTTGTGGGCAGCAGTCTCTGCAGAAGGCCTGATGACATCAGAAATGCAGGACTGCTTGTAATTGTGAAGAATGCAAAAAAAAACCACTGTATCACAGGCCCAGATCAATACACTGAATACCTGACTGACATTATAATACTAAATAAGCAAATTACTTGTTTACAGCTGTATTAGCTAAAGAGATATATTCCTTATGCTGTTAAAGCACTGAATTATGCAGGAATAAAGCTATCATAATTGGCTTCAGCTTAGTATGTAAACAGAAGCAATCATGTACGTAAAAAGAGGGCTATTTGTGTCCACAACAGTCAGTGCTGTATATTAGAGACAAAAATCTGCTAGTAAGGGTTTTTCACACCTAAATATATTGATTCATGATTCATAATTAACATAGTTTATAAGAAAAACGTTGCATATGTAAATGTTTTGTTTTTTCTTTGTATATTTTTAAGGATTACAGGCATTTTTACATGCCCATAGACACTCATTGACTCATCTGAATTATTACTAGATGGAAGTTTTAATGTCAGGCCTGTGCTGTGCATAGACTTATATCTGTTTCCATGTTAATATTATGTGCATAAAGTTATTGTAAAGAATAAAAGCATTCATTTTAAGAACAATAAATTTATCTCTTGCTTTTGCTTTCCACCCTGTCACACCAGCTTATTTAGTCAGAAGAAGTTACATCATTTAGATTTCATTCAACATTGATAGCATCCGTAACACATATGTCCATCCACTCACACAACATGGCAGAAAAAACAGCTTTTTTATTAAAGCTTTTGCAGCATTTACTGAAAAAAAATATTGTTGATAAACTAATGTTTTCAAGAATAAACCTTCAAACAGGGAGTATGGTGGTCACTTTTTCCTGAAATACTCCACTTCGTCACATCCTTGTCTGACACAGCAGAATGATGGGGTTGTACGTCTCAGTGTTTTGTAAAATACATGTTTACTGAATCTGTTTTTTATGGTAAGAACAATGTTATTAAAACTATGCAGGACTAAAAAGTGAAAACATTCTAATGAGCATGTTCTTTTCGGCACCAATCTCATGAAATGACTCATGGATTTATTTGGCAGCTGTCAGCTGGTTGACCTGCCTGGCAACATCACAAGCCCCATTTTAGGCTTAATGACATAATAGTGTTATAATGCTGTAATACATGTCCATTATGTCATTGAAACCATTGTTTAATTCCATATGAATAAGGCTGTAGTAATTGGTACTTAGTAATTTAGGAATAGCTCTTGTTACCGTGACTGAAGTCCATCTACGCTTTGATTGATGATTTAATATATACAATCAGTCCACTACAAAGAAAACCCTTACAGGCCATAATTACAGGGTTACTGCAATGTGTTATTCCCAGAGATTCAGGGGATCTAGGGCTGCTAGTCTCTGAACTTGTGCTTGCTTTTATATTAAGACCTTATCTGTTTACTTAAAGGAGTTAATGTGCTAAGATGAAGCTTGCTTGTTATGAACGTTCTGACATTTCATTGTGTTCACAGCATATAAAACTGTATCTGGTGTCAACGGCCCATTGGTGATTCTGGACCAAGTGAAGGTATTGTACACTAATAAACTTGCTTAATCCATGTCAGCATCCTTACTAAAATACTGAGGTACAGGTTGTTCACATGTATGCATACAATAAATGCATACACACTGCATTAGAAATACAGAAAGACTCATAGCAAACCACAAGTGGTCATTACAAAGCTGTGCTAAGCCAACATAGCCTGTTCTGCTCTCTGTTGCGTGGGATGGATGATGGGCACATGGCTCTCACCACTGGGTACATCTCACATGACTGTGAAACATGAATATCTTCGCACATGACTGTTTATCTGGCATATTAACATGCTTTGGTTGTTTTTACCATAACACATTTTACTGTAACAGTTGGATGAAAAGATGTTTTAGGGCTTTAGGAGACCATTAGTAGTCTGTAAGAACAAAACATGCCTGTTGTAACAAAGAAATATGCATATATAATATATCTCACTGCGCTTTCTGCAGTTTCCCAGGTATGCTGAGATTGTTCACCTCACCCTTCCTGATGGCACTAAGCGCAGCGGGCAGGTGTTGGAGGTCACCGGTTCAAAAGCTGTTGTCCAGGTAATGAAACCTCTGCATTTTGCATTTTACTTTACCTTTTTTGGATATTTTGACATCTGCTTACTGTTACAGTGCAACACTCTTAAAAACATATGTATCAAAAATGGTTCTTTGCACAATGCCATTGAAGAACCACTTTGGGTTAGCTAAAGAACCTTGAAATGGATGGTTCATTAGAGAACTGTTTTCATAATGAGATGTGTGAGTGTAAAGAACCTTTAAAAGACCTCAACGTAATGCCTGGCCCACACTACAGGATAATCAGGCCGATTTTGAGCCTAATTTGCTCCTCCCAACAGTACGTCTCCCAATATCAGAGTAATCGTAATGATGATCTTCCCAGATTATCCTGTGGTGTTGTATGTCTATAATCCAGTGTTTTTAAGGTAAGAACAATATGTTATTAAAACTATGCAGAACTAAAAATTGAAAACTTTCTAATGAGCATGTCCTTTTTGGCACCAATCTCATGAAATAACTCATGGATTTATTTGGCAGCTCTCAGCTGGTTTTCCTATCTGGCTATATCACAAGCCCTATTTTAGGCTTAAAGACATAATACTGTTATAATGCTGTAAGGTATATCCATTATGTCATTAAAACCATTGTTCAATTCCATATGAATAAGGCTGTAGTAATTGGTACTTAGTAATGTAGGAGTAGCCCTTGTTGCTGTGACTGAAGTTGTCCATCTACACTTGATGATTTAATATATACAATCAGTGCACTACAAAGAAAAGACTTTATAGGTCATAATTACAGGGTTACTGCAATGTATAATTCCCAGAGATTCAGACTAGGGCAGCTGTTCTCTGAATTTGTGCTTGGTTTTATGTTAAGACCCGTAACGAAATTAAAGTGCTAAGATAAAACTTGCTTGTTATAAACATTCCGACGTTTCATTGTGTCCACAGCATATAAAACTCTCCCAATATCAGGGTGACCTTAAACGATGATCTTCCCAGATTATCCTGTGGTGTGGGCTGTCTATAATCCAGTGTTTACTCCTCTGATCTACTTCCAGTCCAGTCGGGGCCCGTAAATATTAAACATGTTCAGTGTTTATGACTCAGTATCCTGTAGTGTGGGGTGGACGCCAATTTTTTGTGCAGATGGTGCACGCCGCCAGCATAGCAATAGCTTCGCTGTCATCCGCCATGTTTGTTTAGATGTAAAGTCATGTTAGTTGGCGAGGAGATCCATGATGTAGCACTTTGTGAGAAACTGCCACAAGGTTTTGAGGATCTGAACCATTGGTCAGGACTCTCATAATTTAAAAAGTGTGTGGTGTTTCATTCAGGGCAGATCGTGTAGTGTGGGGACAAAAAAAAAATTGGTAAAAAAATTGTCATTATGTGTGTTGTCTCTCACATTTTGGTATCAGTAAGGATATTTAAAATCCTGTATTGTGGGCTAAGCATAATGTGAAAGTTCCAGGAAGAACCCTGAGATAAGAATGGTACCTTTACATTACATGAAGGTTCTTTAAACCAGATACGCCCAAACATTTGTCCTGGAGGGCCAAAGTGCAGTGTTTGCAATGGGACAAGGGCCTAAAAAGACAAAACGATGACCAAATAAAGAAGAAGAGTGTATGTACGTTATAACATTGCACTATATTACTAAAACACTTCAAAAACAATTTATGAAGAAAAATAGGAATTTGATAAGTTATATATAGTATGAGAATGTTTGTTCTCTCATTGAGTGAAGGCAGGTAGGGTTAGGGTCACTTTCTGTCCAAATCAAACACCTTCAAGGGCCAAGTTCGACCCACAGGCCACGCTTTGGATAGCCTTGCTGTAAACCTTTCTAACCTAATTAAAAAGTTTTTGTGCAGCTCTCAGTTAACATGTTTTGTTGATTTTCTAAGTTCCATTACTGAGACCTCATTTCTGCACATTTACTGTAATATGAATTGAACATATTGGGAACGTAATAAAACATAAAGTTTGGCCTATGAGAAAAAATGGCACATTTAAATTTTGTGTTTTAACAAAAAACAAATCTTGCACTAAATTTTGCAGACAAATGCCATATTTAAGTTTCTTCCACACAGAGGATGTTTTAGGCTGTGTTTTGTATTAGGAGCATTAAATAAGGGAATAATGTGTGGTACTCAAGCACTGAAAAGCTTTTTCTTCTTGTGGTTCTAGGTATTTGAGGGAACATCAGGCATCGATGCCAAGAAGACAAGCTGTGAATTTACAGGGGACATTTTGCGTACACCAGTGTCGGAGGACATGCTGGGTGAGAATAGTAACCGAGTCATATTTCAGAGCTTACACAATTGAAAAGCTAAATTATAACCTAAAGAAAAGACATTTTCATTAAGACCCTCTGTGTTTTCAGGTCGGGTGTTCAATGGATCTGGAAAGCCGATCGACCGAGGCCCTGCTGTCTTGGCGGAGGATTACTTGGACATTATGGGTAATCATCCAGACTTTAGATTGTTGACTGGTTTAAATACTGAATCCATGTGAAGATGCATCTATTTTTCAACACCATGCTTTTAAGAAAGTGAGAGTAGCCAAATAAGTGCAGCTAGCAAGAAGAACAACCACTGTAAATTTCTCTTTGGAGATGAAAGCTGAAAATCACATAAACTCGACTGAAACAGGATGAACCATGTTCAGTCTCCAGCTGAGAAAAGCTTTTATGGATTCTGCTTAGATAAATAATGCTTATCAGTGGTGTGTCTATAAACATGTGATTAAATATTTGTTTTCCCCAAATGATTCCTGTTTTCCAGGCCAGCCCATCAACCCACAGTGTCGTATCTACCCAGAGGAGATGATCCAGACGGGCATCTCTGCCATCGATGGCATGAACAGCATCGCCAGAGGCCAGAAAATACCCATTTTCTCTGCAGCTGGTCTACCACATAATGAGGTTGTGTTCCCTGAATTATATTCAGCCTCCTTCTGAGCAGCTTTGTGCACAGAAATAAAAACAATTTTGCTTAAATCAAAAAGATCTTTCATATTTGACCCAGTCTGCAGCATCTACAGTGTACAGCTGAGCTTTGATTAAACTACATTACTTGTCAGCTTCCTTTCCTACTGCATGGCTCAGTTTTTCCCTGGCTCTAATACGCCTGACTCGTGTCACAAAGGGCTTTGATAACGAGTCACATAACTGAGTTAGGCATGTTACGATATGAAAAAATGTTTTACAGTGTTCTCACATGACACCCCTGAGCTAATTGTTCTGCTTCCTGTACACTTGTGTTCAAACGTTCAGAATCACTTGCCATATTGATGTATTTTGTTCTTTAAAATGTAATAACCTTTGCAGTGTGGGTTTGAAAAATAATATTATTATTAACAATTTCCTAAAAGGCATTTCTGGATATTTTATTCAGTTCATCCCTCCATTCATCATGAATTTTTATAACACCATTCATCGTCATTTTTTTCACATTGCAAAGGGCAGCAGACATTTTGAAGTTTGGCAAAAAATAAAAACTAAAATAGAGATTTTATTTTTGACAACAGTGATGTGTATGGTCATAAAAAAAGTTCTAGAAAAATGGAATCTGTGCTTCTGTCTGTGATTTCAGATCGCTGCACAGATCTGTCGGCAGGCTGGTCTGGTGAAGAAGTCCAAAGATGTGATGGACTACAACGAAGACAACTTTGCTATTGTGTTTGCAGCCATGGGGGTGAGAACAACCAAACCAGGGGTTCACAAGTCTAGTCTAGCTTCTAATTTCCCTTTTCTTGCTTGATAAAAATAAAATTTGTTAGACTTCATTAGCAGGTCCCAGTTGACTGAAGAATCTGAATTCCTTGTAAACGCTTAACTGTGTCTTTAGGTCAACATGGAGACAGCTCGATTTTTCAAGTCGGACTTTGAGGAGAATGGTTCCATGGACAACGTGTGCCTGTTCCTGAATCTAGCCAATGACCCCACGTGAGCACACTCTGAACCCCATTTCAGAAGCCCATTTAGATACTCTCAGATCTACTTCTAAAACTAATTCAGATTTGGTTTTGGGTCTGACTGAGTATGAGCTGATGATTATGAGTTAATTCCCATATGCAGGATTGAACGCATCATCACTCCACGCCTGGCGCTGACTGCTGCTGAGTTCCTGGCCTATCAGTGTGAGAAGCACGTTCTGGTCATCCTGACGGACATGAGCTCCTATGCTGAGGCCCTGAGAGAGGTCAGAAGCCTTAACTTCAAACCCAACTGAAATCCCAGTCCAAAATCCAGAAGTAACCCTACCGGTACCAGAAGATGACTAAATGTAATCTGAAGGATGAGACTCTTTAGTCATCTTCTGGTGCTCATTAATCTCATCTTCTTTGTCCTATAGATTCTTAGTTATAGATTAGAAAGGAGGTCAACCCCACTAGCTAACCTTTGTGTAATATAAATAATACTTTCTTTGGTTTGGAATTGTTTCTTTGAAATCCTGTCCTAGCTTTTCCAGCACTGTGCTGCTGAAACTGTTGATTATATTAGTATTTGTATAGTGTACCTATTATTTCCGCAATGAATTGAGAAATTAATCAGGGTTATTAAAAACGACCAAACAATAAAAATTAATTTATCAATAACAAACCATGCATATCCCTTTTAAAGATTACGAAATTTACAGATTCTAGCATTTGTGGCCAGGATCATCAGTTAGCACCCTGTTGGCTGGCTTAAGACCGCAAGTGAGTTTTGTCTGGGCAATCCATGCTGCAAAACGTTTTTTAAAATGTTAAAAATTATGAAGAATCTGTCTGTTATGGAAATTCTAAAGTGCCAAGCACTTTAGAGAGGCTGCATGTGACACTGCAAAAAAAAAAAAAAATCTTAAATGTAAGAAAAATATTCTATATATATAATTTTGAGATTGTTGTAAGAATATTACAAGATTATTTGACTTATTTTAAGACATTTACAAGTAGTTTTATGTAGCAAAATTCTCTTATTCTATTGGCAGATAAATTCTTCAAACAAGCAAAATTATCTGTATTATTTCTCAAAACAAGCAAAATTCAGGTTAAGATCTTTTCACTAGATAGAATTACTTAAATCAAGGAAAAAACAGCTTGAATAATCTTAAAATGTCCTTTTAACAATCTCAAAATGAGAAAATTCTGATATATTGACTAGATTTAAATGTTTTCGCTTGTCAGTGATTCATTTTTTAAAATAATTTTCTTTGTAAATTAGATCATCTTAGTATTTTCGAACAATAAGCATGTTAGACATATAAAACATATCAAGTCATTCTTTTTTAAAATTTCAATTCAGTTTTCTTCTTAAGAATCTATTGTGACCACAGCCATGATGATTCCCGCTAGAGTCTCTGAGGTGTTTCCAGTAATATGTGATTGCATAACATTGGAAACTGCGTTGTACAAGAAAAAGTTTGCCCCAGATTAAATGTATTCCCATGATATATCTATTCCTTTGTTTTTTGGCAAAATGTATCTTAACAGTGTTTTGGGCTCTGTTTCTACTGTATAGAGATCTTTAGGAGATTTTAAAATATGCATTATTGATTTAGTGAACCAAACATCCACAGAATGTTCCTGTTCCCAGCTGCTTCATGTGAGAGCTGTGTTTTATAATATTCTGTGACTCCTGAAATGATGTTATTTTCCTTCCCAGGTGTCAGCAGCTAGAGAGGAGGTGCCTGGCCGTCGAGGCTTTCCTGGTTACATGTACACTGATCTGGCTACAATCTATGAGCGAGCTGGCCGCGTGGAGGGACGCAACGGCTCCATCACTCAGATCCCCATCCTCACCATGCCCAACGATGGTGAGGGACCACCTGATTTCCCCTCTTACGCACCCAAACATTGTGCTTAAATGGCTTTATTTTACCTTTTAACAATGTGCTATTAACGTTTTATGAAAATTTGTTGTACCATTCTGATTTCTTTATTTTTTAATGCATTTTAAGATGTAAATTTGTATTAAATGTGCTATAAAAATAAAGTTGTTATTATTATTTTAAACTCCTACAGATATCACACATCCTATTCCCGATTTGACCGGCTACATCACGGAGGGTCAGATCTATGTGGACAGACAGCTTCACAACAGACAGGTCAGTCAAAACAACGTTATGTTTCTTAACTTATGTTTGCATTTGCAGTCATATGCAAAAGTTTAATCACCCATGTCAAAAGTTAGCAAATCCTCTATAAGGCATTTTATATGGCATTTTTTATATATTTTCATGCACAATTTCTATTTATTGGAAAAAAATTAAACAAAGTAAAAAATGTGCCCCAACTTTTGTACAAGCCACATTTAATGTTTTATTTAGTTCCAATGTGTTAAATGCAGCAAATAAACAGTAATTGAGCATTAAAATGTACAGAACTGTGTTCACTATAGAGGTTCTGTGTTCACTGATTTTCACTTATTTTTAATTAATAAAAAAATCTGTCATTTGACCAGGGGAGCCCAAACTTTTGCACATGACTGTAGTTGATTCTTTTGGTTAAAGCAACTTTATTTGGCGAATAGCCAGTAGGAGCCAGTAGGAGCCAGTGGCTTGCTTAGGGATGCCATGGCAGTCTGCATCAGCTAGGATTGAATCTGTGATATCATGTGATGTCTGAGCTGCTGTATCATAAATTAGTTGTTGCTATTGCAGATGTTTAGATGAAGTTTTGTTTTTTTTGTGCAGATTTATCCTCCTATCAATGTGCTGCCCTCTTTGTCTCGACTGATGAAGTCTGCCATTGGCGAGGGGATGACACGCAAGGACCACTCGGACGTGTCCAACCAATTGGTGAGATCTATGGGACTTAGCATAGAACTTGGACTTTACTAAAGGATAAGTAAAACAGGATTTAGTAGTCCATTAATTTATTATTTAGTGTTGAGAAAGAGAGCTGTTTACTTTAGTAACAAGTAATGCTCATTTATGGTTTTTATTTAGTTTATTCTTGCTTTGTAATTCGTCTCATGTTTACTGAATATTTGATTTTATTTTGATATTACTGTTTTAATAAAGCATTTTTGACTGCATATGACTGCTGCTGTACATCTAGAGTTATTGTGCTAGTGTAGTGGTAAGAGTCACTGAATAGGCTGTGTAAAACTGCCCTTATGTTGTCAGTATGCCTGCTACGCTATTGGAAAAGATGTGCAGGCCATGAAGGCTGTGGTCGGTGAAGAGGCCCTTACAGCTGATGATTTGCTGTACCTGGAGTTTCTGCAGAAGTTCGAGAAGAATTTCATATCTCAGGGTGAGTAGTAGAAGCTTAAACTTAAATCGTGGTGCGGGTGCAATGATTAAACTAACTGATCACTTAAGGCGAAAATTAGGGATGCATCGATACACCTTTATATCACACACAAATATTATATCACGATATTTCATGACATTTTCACAATACACAATATGCATCACAATATTTTGTTTTTCTGAGATTTAAGAAGTTGGAACAGACAAAATGGAATCTGTAGTGCCACATGTAAAAATACAATCATAATAATAGAAATAATAATAATAATAAGACAAATAATAAACCTACAACTACAGTGATTTTATTCAGTGTTTTAAAAACTACACTGCACTAAATCAGTTAAACTAGGTCCAGTTAAACAGGCCTTACGTTCACTTTGTAATAAAACCTGTAGTTAGTCAATATTCTCAGAAATTCTCAGATATGCTCAGAAAAGTATATTTTGACAGAATTTATCTCTATAACAATAAAGTATCATCATATTGTCCAAATTTTAAATATTGTATTTTGGTAAATAATGCAGTTATCCAACCAGTAAATCATTGCTGTTGGAACAAAACCTTGTATCTTCAAAATGGTAACAGGAAAAAAAAATGTTTTTTTTTTTCCATTTCCGTTTAAAATAATGCAAAGCATAACTGGAAAGTTTAAATAATACAAAAAAATAAAAAGATTTTGCTTGACACCGATGAAATGCAAGGGGTTTGTGATACAATAAAATAAGCTAAGCTTAAATCAATAGCATTTTTTCATTGCTGTGCACTTTGACATGGTTTATCTTGTAATGCTTAATTAAATCTGATGTACTTGGTCACAATAGCGTGGCCATACCAGCCCCTGCACATTTTGTAGTTATTCCAATAATTATTCCAACTAATTTTCTGAAATGTGAAATAATCCCACACTGCTGACATGTTGCTTGCTTTAGGTAAGTTCCTTTTACTGGCATGGAAATGTCAGTCAGTAGCTCCCTTTCTGATGATGCACCCTGAAGGTGGGAGGAACTTTTCAAGTGCTTTGGGTGGATTTTTTGGGAGTGGGCTCTTTGAAAGATGTTTTCTAGTTTCCCAGCAATAACATTAGCTATTAAGTATTTTAAACATACAAAAGCCAGCGCGAGTGTGTGCGTGGACGCAGTACTCCAGCATATCTTGTGCAGCCCCACAGTACCCACCACAAAGCAGCTGTAGTTTTTCAGTCCCACCTTTGTTACATACCCAGAAGTTTTTCTAGTCCTGCCAGAGTGTCCCAGTAGAATAATAATATGGTTATAAGCAACTGTTTCTGTAGATTTGCAGGGCCAGACATGATCTCATAATGAGGACGTCATTGAGCAGCCATGAGAAATTTTGAGCTAGATGTGGGTGAGAACGTGGGCTTATTAGCGTGGGAACAAACTGAGTGTTATAAACCAATCTAAAAATAAGGACGATGGTGCACTCATTAGCATTCAAAAAAATCAAAATCACATCTGACCCCTAAAGACCACTGTTCTTATAGCCCATTATGTTTATTAGTCTGTTAGGCTCTAATGTATTTAATGTTCCACTTACCCCAGATGTCCAAATTTTTATTTTGATTTAGTTTAGAACTGGAACTACAAGACTAACATTGCTAACAAACCCAAGACCCCAAATCTTTTCTGTGTAGACATGTGAGTACATCTCCGAAAAGTCTCTCAGCTAGCTCAAACTCCCTCCGTGTCCTAATTATTGTGGTGCAGACGTGGTTTAAAGCACAGTATGACTTACTAGGAACTATAAAAATAAATAAAAATTCACCACTGCAGGCAGTCATTTCTGATATTTAAAAAGCAGAACTGACCTCTGATCAGGTTCCTCAGTATTTATGACAGTCATTGCTAAAAATACTGATTCTAGATCAGCACTCCTATTCCTGAGTTGGCTTGTGAGTACAGATCCTGTTGTGTAAAGTGGCTGTCTGCAGTTTTGTTCATTTTTGTTGCTCACAGTAAGTCATACTGTGCTCTAAACCACACTGACAAGTCTGTGTGACCTCGATGAAGACGTTTATGCTGTTTGAGTGAGTTGAGAGAAGTGTAAGTATTGAGTGAGTTCAGAGACTATATTATAAATATAGTGTTTGTTGGCAATGTTAACCTAATCATTCCTAAATTAAATAAGCAAAATTTGGACTGCAAACAAGTCTCGGGCACCCAACTGCATCTTGTGTATGTGGAAAATTGTGTACATTTGATCTTTCACCGAACCATTACTTTAAGCCTCTGCTTCAAGTTGTATATGTGGATGGCTTTAGCACAGCTTGTCAGTTTAGTAAATGTGACAACTAGTGAAGCATGATAATCGGTATCAGCAAAAAAATCAGCATCTCATAGATGTTTCATTTTGACTGTCATTCGTAACCAATATGTGGTCATGTATTTACTGTACTCCAGAAGTGCAGAACATTTAGGTGGCACTGCTGCACTAAAATATGTTCACTTTATTAATTTTACTGCACATGTAACCCCCTACATACGCTAATGCTAAGGTAGATCTAGTCCCAATTTCTACATTTTGTAAATGTTTATGTATCGACATTGGCATAAACTCTTTTTGACACTTTGGAACCTCTTTATAAATTTCTCTGTGGTCTTATGGGACTGTTGCAACACATCCAGTTCTTTTCTGGGTTTTATTGCAATACATTCTCACTGCTCAAATTGAACTACCACTGTACCATAACCAGAACTTACCAGAGTTCACCCTTAAAGGGGAATTCCACTGATTTTTTATTTTTATTTTATGTGTAATTCAATTGTTGAGATGTAAACAACATTATTCAAGTGGATTTATGTGAAATGGATCAGATCAGATTTCTTTATAGTGGTGGTGATAGGAACCAGGGGTGACAAGGGTTCCTATCACTACCACTTTTAGTACTTTAAGTTTTAATGTTAATTTTACTGCAAATATATCCATTTTATTATTATTATTATTATTTTATTATTATGCACAAAAATCACCATATGCGACTTCGTGGTTTATTATATGTAATGTTGATAGTGGTAAAACAGTGATACCTAATGTTTTTTTTGTTTTTTTGGTTGGGAGGGCAGGGATCGGGGGCGCTGTTTAGCCTCACAGCACCCTGCCTTTACTTCTCCACCCTAAATAGATTTTTAAGTACATTTTAGATCAAACTTTTCTCAAGATTATAGTAAAACAGTGTCTTAACATGAAACCATGTTCCCCTTTAACCTGGATAAATCAAACGGAAGTCTTTTAGTACTTTAAGTTTACCAAGTAAAAGGCATGTTTTGAGGAAATTTCTTCTTGGGAATCCGTGGGAAGCCGTGTTTTAATGTTATTTATTGACATTGGTATCAGTATCATCATATATACACACCGATCAGGCATAACATAAACCCTGTGTCCACTCACTGTCCACTCTATCAGACACTCCTACCTTGTCAGTCCACCTTGTGGATGTAAAGTCAGAGACAATAGCTCATCTGCTGCTGCACAGTATGTGTTGGTCATCCTCTAGTCCTTCATCAGTGGTCACAGGACACTGTCCACAGGACACTGTTGGCTGGATATTTTTGGTTGGTGGACTATTCTCAGTCCAGCAGTGACACTGAGGTGTATAAAACCCCAGCAACACTGCTGTGTCTGATCCACTCAGACCAGCGCAACACACACTAACACACCACCACCACGTCAGTGTTACTGCAGTGCTGAATATGAGCCACCACCCAAGTAGTACCTGCTCTGTGAGGGTCCATGGGGGTCCTGACCACTGAAGAACAGGGTAAAAGGGGGCTAACAAAGTATGCAGAGAAACAGATGGACTACAGTCTGTAATTGTAGAACTACAAAGTGCACCTGTATAGTAAGTGGAGCTGATAAAATGGACATGGAGCGTAGAAACAAGGAGGTGGTCGTAATGTTATGCCTGATCAGTCTATATAAATGATGTACAAGCAAAGTATCTCTTTTTTGTTGCACTTTTTTGTTTTTACAGTGTTTCCAGGCTTTGTGAAGGAAAAAGATGTCATGAGAATATATTTTGTATATGACTGAGAAGTGAAGGAGTGATTGGCTGTTCATGCAGGAAGTCACAGCTTGTATGACACATCTGATTCATGTGCATCCTGGTAGAATAGGGTTTAAGGGCTACAAGTTTGAATGACAAAAAGCGTGAACGTTAATGGTGAAGATGTGCTGGTAATTTATCAGGATTTGACTGTGAATAAATAATAAATGAAATAAATTAATCAATAAATGAAATTATTGTTTGAAAACTGTATTTTCAAGTCTAATGTGTTGCTGTTTTGTCCTGTAGGTGCATACGAAAACCGAAGTGTGTATGAAACCCTTGATATTGGCTGGCAGCTGATGAGAATCTTCCCTAAGGAGATGCTGAAGAGGATCCCTCAGAGCACACTGGCAGAGTTCTACCCTCGAGACTCCAAACACTAAGCTTCCATTCTTCTGTTATCTCTCTCTCTCTCTCTCTCTCTTTTTCTCTTTCTCTCTTTCTCTCTTTCTCTCTCTCTCTCATTCATTGATATTGTGTACCCCACATCACCTCTGCCATCCAACATCACTCTCAGATGTCTTATCATACTCTGGACCTTAAGTCTTAGCATCGTATTTCATGCTTCTGTTTCGCTGCTTTTTGGTCTTTGTACATTATCTAATTGTTGCCAAACAGTCATGTATATTTGTTGTGAATATTGTTGCTATACTGCAGTAAGATCTCTGTGCAGCCTTATGTGTGAAAGAACATTGTGATTACATAAATAGTTTATTATAGAAACCTTTAGTCCCTTTGTGGACGGAGCAGTTTGCGCCACCAGTGATTCAAAGCGATCTGCAGTCAATGCTGGACCACTATGACGCTGCAATTATCGTTTTAACACTGGTGACGTAGCTGGTAGGGTTTAAAAGCTGTTTGCATGTGACCTGATATTCCTGCCGGACAAAAGTGCGGCTCCACTTAATGCTACAGATGTTACCAAATCTTCAAGTGTGCTATGATCTTGCTGTACGCTGTGATTTATATGGATTATATTGTAGAGAAGCCATATGGTTAGTAATACTGGTGGCGCTGTATACATCTTCAAAACTTTTAAACATTCACTGAGCAATATCAGTTTTAGTTCTTGTTTTTTATTTATAAAACTAAAAACCTTTTTTTTTTATTTTTATGCCTTATGTTGTGCTCACCTGGCCTTGTTCTCTGTAGTTATTGGTTGGATGTTGGCTGTTGTCTGACACTTTTATGAGAGAGTTTTATTGCATACATTGAAACTTTCTATGTTACAAAGAGAAGAATGTTTACTTATTGGGTAAAATCAGTATTTATTTGTTATGTATTAATATTTTTGTCTTTATGTTTATTTATTTACATTCTGTGCCATGGATTTAGTGTGCCCACCTGCTCTTTTTTGTTGAATGCATGATATATTGTGAAATGTTTGTAGTCTATACAGTCTGTGGAATAAAATCTGGTCTTGTGCCATTACTGTTGCTCATATGAGTAGCCATATTATGACTCAGTTTGCATAAGGTATGCAGTGTGTAATGTGGTTACTGCCTTGACTTGTTTTCACATGCTGTTGATGATGCGCCTTCTTAAGAAGACCACTTACTTAAACCGAAAGCAAGCAATTTAGAAACAGTTAACATCTTTTTAACCCCTTCAACTCTTGGGATATGTTGGTGGGCCAAGATTATCCTCCTCATAACTACATAACTTGTAATAGTTTTATAGTAGTTCCTAATAATTCATAGTTCTTCCTCAATAATTTATTGTAGTCACTGAATAATTCATAGTAGTTACTGGATAATAGGCATTAAAGGGCCCATCATATGTAAATACAAATGGTCCTTATGTGGAAACTAAGTTGAAAAAAGCCTGTTTTGAATTCTCTGTTTTTGCGATGTCACAAAAATCAACGCATTTGCATACATCCACCTATTTTGCCTACAGCTCTTTAGTGACCAAAATACGCTAAACGACCAAAGATATGTTTTTATTGAGTACAGGTGTTAGCGGGTGTATAAAATCAAACACCCGGCTATGCGGTCTCCAAGGACAAACACTGGCAGTAGAATAGGTTGTACTGAAGAGCTGTTACTTTAATTGTGGCGCTGTCATAAGTCAGTTTGTGAAATTGCTTCTTTGCTAGATCTGCCCCTGTCAACTGTAAGTGCTATTATTATAAACTGAAGCGTCTAGAAGTAACAATAGTTTAGCCACAAAGTGGTTGACCATGCAGATTCACAGAGTGGGACCGCCGAGTGCTGTTGCATGTAGCATGTAAAATATTCTTAGTTGCATCACTCACTACAGACTTCCAAACTGCCTCTGGAAGCAACATGAGCACAAAAACTGCACCAGGAGCTTCATGCAACAGGTTTCCATGGCCAAACAGCTACACACAAGATCTCTATGCACTATGCCAAGTGTCGGCTGAAATGGCGTAAAGCACGCTGTCAGTGGACTGGAGCAGTGGAAACGTTCTCTAGAGCTTCACTATCTGGCAGTCTGATGGACAAGTCTGGGTCTAGGTCTGGGTCTGGGTGGATGCCAGGAGAACACTACGTACTGGAATACATAGTGCCAACAGTAAAGTTTGGAGGAGAGATAATGGTCCAGATCTGTTTTTCATGGTTTGGGCCCCGCCCATGAGTTTTGTTTTGATGAGTTTGGTGTGGAGGAACTCCAGTGGCCTACCCAGAGCCTTGACCTCAACCTCACTGAGCACCTTTGGGATGAATTAGAATGTTGATTGTGAGCCAGGCCTCCTCGACATCAATACTTGACCTCACAAATGCTCTTTGACTGAATGAACATAAATTCCCACAGACACACTCCAAAATCTTGTGGAAAGCTTCCCAGAAAAGTGTATACTTTTGTATAAGTGCAGTACATTCACTTTTCCAGGAGATAGGGGCGTATGTGGACCTTTTCATTACCTCATGTTTGAAACAGAAAAATAAAATAAAAAGCCTGGAGTCAAGAGAGAGTTTATGGAGTAAAATAATGGAATGTTGTACAATTATGTTCCCTAATTACAAGTACTGAAGACATACTCTTGATTGTACCACCCCAGACAGCAACCACCCCTTTTTCAGACAGCATAAGGGTTTTCTTTTGACATACAGCATAGCTGTTGTTGTTTCATTCAACCTCAGTCCCTGGACACGTCCGGGCAAGGGCAGGAAGCTGGAAGCATATCTACTGCGTCCAGATAGCCATCTTCATTCCAACAGACAGGCAGCCACCAGAGCACATAGTAACAGGGCTGTAGAACTGAAATTTCTAACCAGAGGCATGAAGTTAAATACCATCCTGATCCTTCTTGCACTTCACTGTGAGTAGATTTTTAATGCTTATTTACTAATAAAGGTACATTTCAAAGAAGAAGGGTAAATTTACAAGAAGTGAAAGGAAACAAAGGAAAGAAGTAACTAATATTTAACAACTGGAAGAAGGATGTTTTGAGTCTAAATTATCTAATTATCTATTTTCTATGGAATAAATCTGTCAGTCAAACCATATAGTTAAAAAGGCTTCCTCATTCATCATACTGAGTTCAGTCTGCTGTTCTACTGACTTTTAGCAAAATTCAAATTGAAACTCCAAATTTGATTTTGAATTAAAGCATGAAATCATACATGTATTCATTAAATTCAATCAAATACCGTTTGATGTTCAGCCAAGCTATAACTATATGAAGTGTCATTGCTTTAGACCAACCAGAAAAAGTTTGTAGTATTTTTCTTCAAGATAGTACATTGTGTTGTTGAACGTGAATTAATTGTGATCTTTTCTGCTGCTTTTTTCTCTCTGACTGCAACAGTTCATAAATCTACAATCAATGATACAACTATTGCTGCTCTCGGAACAAAACCTCATATCTTTTGAAAAAATGTATTTAAGGTGGAATTTCACAGATTCTTTACATTTTCTGCACAATTCAGTGGTTAAGATGTAAATGAAGTTGCTCAGAATGGTTTCATATGAACTGATCCATTTTAGAAAAATATACAAGTCAGAATTGTTCACAGTGGTCATGATAGGAACCAGACATCAGAAGTTTCTAAAAGTTCGCTCACCTCAAGTTATTACGTGAAATGTTTACAAATACAGTGTTTTACGATAATTTTTAGATTACGTTTTTAAGATCTATTCATGGTAGAAAGGTATGTGCAGGGTGTTGTGAGGCAAAATGGTCCCCAAAGAACACAGGATTTATCTCCATTTTACCATCAACATTAAGTATAAACAATCAGAAGACATGTTTAGGTTCACAGGTGGTTTGGATAGTAAATAAAATATCTATATCCGTTGTAGACGTCAGGACCCCTGGTTTCTATCACCACCACTGTAAAGAAACCAGAGTCAGTACGTATCTTTTCAATGAACCATTTCACACCAAACCACTCTGAATGACTTTCTTCACACCTCAGTGGTTGAATTGTGCAGAAATTTTGAAAAATCCCTGAAATTCCCCTTTAACTTTCAGTGTAAACTAATGTAAAAGATTTTATTGCAGGTCATTTTGAACCATTTCTATTTGTCTTTCCATCATGAACTTTTGACCCAGTCTAAACGACAGCTGGCATTTTCAAATTGCATAATAAAATAAAAAAGGAGATGCAAGGTTTAGTTCTAGCAGCACTATGACTCCTTTATGAAGCTTATTTTAAAACTTTGTGACCACGTCTTAGTGAACAGCGCTGTGGTCGGAGCTGTTGCACCACATCTTGCTGCTTTCTGGGTTTTGTGGTGCCGCGTTCTCACGGCTCAAACATGCACACTACTTATCAAATATAATCCTGTATCTTTATAGTGATGTGACCAAACCAAATCAGATTTCACTCATAAACTAATCAGATGGGAGTTTTTAGCTCTTTAAGTTTACAAAGTAAAAAGCATGTTTTGGAGCTGTGAATTCTTCACAGGAGCCAGCCATGTCCTCCAGCATGTTTTGGAGCTGTGAATTCTTCACAGGAGCCAGCCATGTCCTCCAGCAACATCTTCTTTATGCTTTGCTGTCACAACATGTTCTTCTTTTCCCAACAAGAACTGTGTAAAGAGCAAAACAGCAGATACTGAAACACCCACACACCCACACACACTCTTTTTTGGCACACAGAGTACCACTGTATGGACTGTTTTTTTTACAGTAAATATACACAGTAGGCTGGGTTACTGTATCTGAGATATTGTTTTGATATTTTCAAGGTAAGATTTTGACCTGAAACATATTTTTTATATATATTCATGGTGGAGGGGTACATGCAGGGTGTTATAAGGCAAAATAGGGCCCAATAAAAACTTTTATTCTAAGATTTACTACTATTTTACCATCATCAGCATTACATATAAAAACTCAGAAGACACATGTAGGTTCATTGGTGATTTCGGTTAGTAAATAAACTGACTATATCTGTGTTGTATTCATGGCAACCCCTGGCTCCTACCACCACCTCTGTACAGAAATGAGAGTCAGTAACTTTCTTTACGATGAAAGAAGCCCCGCCTCACAGCGAGATGAAAGCCAATAACGTGGCAGAAATTTTGTTGTGGCATCTGCGCTGGCCAAACAGATTTCAGGAAAAGCACTGGCCACCTTGGCCACCCCTCTAAAACCACACGTGATGAGGAGCACTGCATAGCCTTGTTTGTTTTGTTCTTGGTTTACACTGCATTTTTTGAACACTGCAGAACAGCTGTTCTTGCTAGCTGTTGTTTCAATACAGACCTCTGCAGCCATGTTGTCAATCTGTAGCTGGCCTCGTGTTAGAAAAATTAAGAAAACATGTCTAAACAGTTTTTCAAAAATTGCTCCTGCAGCATCCTGTGGTAAACAAAAATGCCCCGAAGCTGTTATGTTTTGTGCTGTGTGCTTTTTTATCCCAAGTGTCACTGGATCCATTGAATTATGAGGTTGTTTAACCATCAAAATGTGAATAATGTTACAGTTCCACTTAGCATTGTGTAGAAGATACAGTACAAAGCGCAGCTCTGCCACTTAGAAATACATGATCGCAGTGACAGTGTGTGATTAGAATGTTTGATGTGCGTGTGTCTGCAGATTGGAGTGTTGAGCAGATTCATGGTTTTAATGTGGGAACAGCAGGAGCCAAAGTGTTCTCAGGAGCAGCAGAGGAGGAGTTTGGATACACAGTGCAACAGTTCACCAATCAGCAGGGCAAATGGTAAACACAGTGGTTAAGTAATGTAGACTTACTTATGACACTTAGTTTGGACTGTATTCACTACATTCTTATACTTCTCTCTCTTGTAGTGTCAACTGAAATTGAACAGTAACATTTTGCACTACATGGAAACTATGTAGTTTCTTCACATCATTGAATGGCCTCGTCTTTAAACTGCCCTTAGATGAGTGGTGATCACCTGATAATACCTGGTGCTCACCAAATATTATATGGTGCTCATCTGACAGTATCTGGTGTTCACTGAATAGTATCTGGTGTCACTGGATAATATCTCATGCTCACTTGATAGTATCTGGTGTTCACTAATTAGTGCTCACCTGATAATACTGGGTGCTGACCAAATAGTATCTAGTGCACACCTGATAATATTTGGTGCTCACCTAATAGTATCTGGTGCTCACCAAATAGTATCTGGCGTTCACTGAATAGTATCTGGTGTCACTGGATAATATCTCATGCTCACTTGATAGTATCTGGTGTTCACTAATTAGTGCTCACCTGATAATACCTGGTGCTGACCAAATAGTATCTAGTGCTCACCTGATAATATTTGGGACTCACCTGAGAGTACCTGATGCTCACCTGACAGCACCTGGTGCTGACCATATAGTATCTGGTGCTCACTTGACAACATCTAGTGCTCACCAAATACAATCTGTTGCCCACTTGGTAATATGTGGTGCCCTCCAAATAGTATCTGATACTCATTTGATAATATGTTGTGTTCCTCAAATAGTATCTGGTGCTCACTTGGTAATATGTGGTGCTCACTAAATAGTATCTTTTGTTAGCAAAATAGTGTCTGTTGCTCATGTTATAATATCTGATGCTCAGCTAATAGTATCTGGTGCTTAGCAAGTTGTATCTGGTGAGCACATGATAGAATGTGGTCCACACTAAAATATTACCTAAAAGAAATACACCTGTTCTTTCAAAGGCTCCAGAACCTTTCAACAATAGTGTAGTTTTTGTGGCCACAGCCAATAAAATCACCCTGTCAAACCATAATGTCGGTCTTTTTAAATGTGACTTTCTTAATAATGTGATGTGTGTTGTTTTCTCAGGTTACTGGTGGGATCTCCATGGCAGACATCCAACAATAACAGAGTAGGAGGCGTTTATAAGTGTGAGATCATGAGTGCTGCGTCCACCTGTGAGAAACTCAACCTGCAGAGTGAGCTAATATTACCTTTAGCAATTGCTGCTGTAGTGAATCTGTACTGTGTTATTTAGCAAATCCAAGGTACATCTGTCTAAGGACTCATGACACTGTTTCACTTTTTTTATTCAGGCTCTTTCAGCACACCAACAATGCAGAACATCAACATTAACATAAGTCTGGGGATGACCCTCACACGAAAGACCAAAAACAATGGATTTATGGTAAACTAAAAACGTTCATGCTATACTCTATAGTGCTCTATGGCTGTTCGATTCCAGACATTTTAGGCTGACATTACACGGTGAAACTTTCACGCAGCTAGTTGCATGTTATGAGTGCTTGGAACATCATTTCTGCGCAACTTGAAAAACAGTTCAATTCAAAAAACAAAGTTGCATGCAACACATTCAGTTACTCCACTAGTTAGCCAAATTAGCAGCACATATTTTTTAAAACACTATATCATTATGCTATGAAGTCATCAGAGAGGTGTAATTTACTTACTGACATATTTGCAGCAATTTTTATCATCTTTGTGTTTTTTTTCCGACTGTCACTACCATTCTTCTTTTTCTATATCTATATATCAGCCTTTTACCTTTCTATGTAGGGTTCTTTTTCGAATATTTTTAAGTTTTTTATCTGTTGTGTGTAGATTGTGCTAATCTCTCTATGTATGTGTTTGTTTCAGACGTGTGGTCCTCTGTGGGCTCAGAGTTGCGGGGCTCAGAATTTTGTTCCAGGAGTGTGTGCAGAAGTGAGCCCTCTGTTCTCTGCCCAACCTGCGTTCTCCCCTGCTCTTCAAAGTAGGAGTGAATACCTGTCTCAATTTGTTCACTAATGAATACGAATTCTGGCAGTGTTTAGGTACTCGGTAGCATGAACTTTGGGACACTGATGACTTAAAGGGGAATTCCACCAACTTTTCAAAAGTTCAGCATAATTAAATGGTTAGCATGTAGACAGAGTCATTCAGAGTGGTTTGGTGTGAAATGCTCCAGTGTAAAGAAACTTACTGACTCAGAAATTTACACAGTGGTGGTGATAGGAACCAGACGTCTGAAGAATTTGGAACCTTGCTCACAGAAAGTTATCACACAAAATAGTTATGAATACACTGCCTGCTGCCTAAGACACTGTTTGATGATAATTTTGTGATACGTTTTTGGCCTAAAATTTCTTGATAATCCATTTATTTTAATCCATTCATGGTGGTGGGATACATGCAGGGCATTGTGAGGCAAAATAGTCCCCAAAGAAACCTTGTTTCTTTTCAGATTTACCACTATTTTACCATCGTCAATATTACATATAAGAACTCAGAAGGTGCGTGTAGGTTCACTGGTGCTTTTGGATAGTAAATAAAATAGCTATGTGTTGTAAACATTGTGACCCCTGGTTCCTGTCACCACCACTGTAAAGAAATCTGAGTCACTTTCTCTACAATGTCCCATTTCACACCAAACCACTCTGAATGACTTTGTTTCTACCTCAAGGAATGAATTATTCAGAAATCTGGAAAAATCTGGAATTCCCCTTCAAAACACATGATACGAATGTGAGACAGTACGCAAGAAAGGGAAGAAGCAACAACAGCAACTGGGAAGTTCACCCATTGTGTTGTGCATAGCCATACTGTCATTTTAACCCAGATACAGATGTGTATCAGTCACACACAGCAGTGTTTAATGCAATTAAGCCTTTTTTATGCGATTAATAGTTCTAGCATAATGCCTATTTCTGCTAGCTTTGCAACAGGGTTGTCCAGTGTTACATTAGCGACAAGCTAACCATGGCTCACATAAGCGATTCATGACAGCTGTAGCTAAAACACAGTCGATTCATGACTGAATAGACATTCAAATTACCATTTTCACTTTGTATGTTACTGTTTAGTAGTGAACCTTTCAGTATAGGTTTCAACTTAAAGCCTCTTACTGAATATTTCTGAAGGAGCGTAATTAGCGCTAACCTGTGACTGTTAGCAATTATCCACTGAACAAGTCAGCCTATTTTAATGTCATATGTTGTTCATGAAGATAATAAAGTGCAATAGTCATAAAATATAGCTTGTTGCTAAGTTAGTGATAATCATTAACATCAACACATATAAGAAATTTAACCTAAGTTAGTCACCATGCAACTAGTAAGCTGGGAAGCTAACAGGATGCTATCAATATTTCAGTTAGAAAACTGATAGCTGAGTCAGGTTCAGTGCAGTTTTGGCACTTTTGGCAAAGTCCTTATAGAAAGGTCTGTTTACTTGGTGGCCATTTGTGCAATGTCACCGGGCAGTTACTTCCAGCTGTACAAGACCAGACTCCTAGGTCAAATTACCTCTTTAAAAAACATATTTGAAATCACCAGTAAAATCTGACAAAACTTCCTAAGTTTGTAGCATTTAGCTCAATAACACACAAAAAACTTTTTTTTTTTTTTTGGCTGTTCTACTGTGCTTGTGCAGATCTCCATGATGGGGGGCTTTCCTCCCTAGTGTCACAATATCCTTGACCCTTCTCCCCTCATGGTGTCACCAGCAATCTGATTGACGAGCGTTCCCATTCGTATTTTGGCCAGTTATTCATTTATAATGCCTCTGCTTTTGGTTCCCCTAAGAACCATGTTTGAAAAAGAGATTTGTGATTGTGAGAAACCTTTTAAAGCTTTAAAGTATCTTTTCTATAATGTAAATATTCTTTAAAAATGTTGAGGTTCTTCCTCAAATCTTCATATAGTGCAAATCGAACTTCTCCATACTCATCACATTTACAAAAGTTTAAGGGAACCAAAGTCTTCAGAGAACCAAAAGGGCTTCTTCTGTGGTATCTAACAGATTTGTATGTGGTTGCTGTCACAAAATTTGAATTCAAGTAATTTTGAATAATTTCTGATGATCTAATGAATCCATTGGTTCATTTGTGATTAACCGTTCACACAAGCACAGCTGCCATTTTCAAAGTGTGTCAAAAAAAGACAGGAATTACAGACCTGACAGCGATGGCGTGTTTATCATCTGTTGCCTTTTCTCTAGACTGCGGTGGTCCAGTGGATATTGCTATTGTCCTGGATGGGTCCAACAGCATATATCCCTGGCGTGATGTCCGGAACTTTCTCAACAAGTTCCTGGGGAGTCTTGATATTGGACCTAATAAAGCACAGGCAAGTCCACTTCTGTCTTATGTCGATGAAGCCTTATGAAAAATGTTCAGCACAGCAGCTTATTTTCCACTATAACCAATAATCACTTGAAGTTAATTACTGTTCCTCTTTTTTTCAGGTCAGCTTGATTCAGTATTCAAATGATCTATCTTTTCAATTCTATTTGAACACCTATCAATCAAAAGATGAAATGCTCGAAGTTGCAGCCACTATACAGCAGAAAACTGGAGACGCCACTTATACTTTTGCAGCTATCGACTCTACCAGGTACGTCTTCCCTTCTAGTTGGCAATAGCAGTTTTTTCACAATCTTTCAGTGATATGGATATACACCAATCTAGTGGTCCCCAACCCTGATCATGGAGAGCTATCCTCCTGCAGTTTAGTTCCAACCTGTTTCCAATAAGCTGCCCCACCCTATACTGAACTCTAATACATCTGATCCAGCCAGTCAGGGATTTGGGAGGAGGTTGGCTAGTTGGAGCAGGTGTGGCAAACTGTTATTGAAACTAGGCTCTGCAGGAAGGTAGCTCTTTAGAACCAGGGTTGGAGACCACTGCTCCAATACAACATGGGATTATCTGTAGAATTATTGCAGGAATGTTCTTCTGTGTCACAGCATCAGCTTCAGTCAGTAACAAATGTGGCTGTATGTTCAAATGTTGATGTGCTGTGCTACAGTATGCAATTTACAGGTAGAGCACACACACACACACACACACACACACATCTTCTGAGCCGCTTCTCCTTCTGGGTCGCGGGGGGAGCTGGAGCCTATCCCAGCAGTCATTGGGTGGAAGGCAGGATACACCCTGGACAAGTCCAGGTAGAGCAAAGTGTTTCAAATTATATTTGACAATCTCACAACAGAAGAGAGATCACCTCTATTCTGAGCTCGGTCTTTCTGAGTTTATTAGGGGGGAGTGGGGCCCAACCTAACACATTTTGGTTTTTGTTGAATAACTTCAAAAATATTTAAGCTGGAAAAATCATATTTTTATACAAGCAACATATGCATCTCCACCATCAGATCTCTTTAAAACGATGAAAAATCACTCTGACTTTTCGTGGGAGACCGTGGCTAGGAAAAGTGGTAATGTGGCCAGAAGCACAAGCTGCTTGACATATACCTCGTAAAAAGTCTGTATTAATTTGTGCCCCGCATTAGGTTGCACATGTTGTGTGAACTTTAGTGAGCACAAATCTGAAGAAATTTGCAAATCTACCAAACCACATGGCTTCTTATCATACTAAATTTTGTGTTTGGGCCACCGTGTACAAAGTGTCGTGATGTCTTAACTTCAATAGCATGTTAGCCTGGCAGCTTTAACATTTAGATTTTATTGAACTTTAAATTATAGGTTGAGAGAATGTAAACTGAATATTGTTCTTTTGACTTGCGATAAGAAGTTCAATCAATGTTGAAGGCAGAAAGTTACCCACTTGTTATGTTAAAAAAGCAAATCTTTATTTACAGTGAGGACTATGTTTAATGTGCCAAAACCACATAAAATCCCAGTTTTATGGTTCGTATGATTTTGATTCTAAATAGTTATTTTGCCTACTTAACGATTGCTTCAGCAAGCAGATAAGGCTAATGCTAGCACTGAACAACATTGTGTCTTTCTGATGGAAATGTAACTACATTATGTATTTGAGGCATTATACAAGAAGGGTATATACAAAGGGTCTTTTGCCCCTTGACTGAGGGGACTTCTTTCCCCAACATTTTTAAAAAATTAATTTTCACTTCAAACAACCAAATGTAACACTCTCTTCACCCACCACCTTTAATTATAAAATAATGTTTCTTGCACAGCTTAATCAAAATATGTAGATAACTGTTATCTAGTAACAAAAATTAGATCACACTGACACCCAGAATATTTCAGGATAATTAATTGCAGGAATATTGTTGTCCAGATGAAATTAGCTATTCAGTAAGGTTTGACCATTAATTTGATTAGGAGAGAAAATTAGAGCAGGGAATTTTACGCTGGGGGGCTTTTTCTCCCAAGTTACCCTATAACTGTACAAAATTTCACTATTCAGAAAAAAGTCTGTGGCATTTTTTTCATTATACTAAATTTAATGGATATGAATGGCTTAACTTGATCCTCAGGAAAGAACTGTTTCCAATTCACAATTACAGCAAATAAAATACACACACACATGCATACAAAAGTCTGTATTTACATTCATTTTGTTTATTTTTGCTTTTATTAGAGAGCAAGCGTTCATCCCTGAACATGGTGGTCGCCCAGATGCCACCAAAGTGATGGTGGTGGTCACTGATGGAGAATCTGCTGATGGTTATAAAAGTAAGGAAGTCATTGAGCGCTGTGAGAAGGACAACATCATCCGCTTTGGCATTGCTGTAAGTCTGAGGTCACACCTAAAATCCATGTCACCTAAGGATGTAACTTTTTTTTTTTGCAAACAAATTTGGTTTAATTTAAAACATTCTTGAAACATGAAATGCACTGTGCAATTTGTCAAACTATAATTGTATCTAAATGTGTGTAGATTCTGAAACCAAGTGCAGATATTGTGAAATTTACTAAGGAGATTGAGACAATCGCCAGCAACCCAAAGGAAAACTATGTCTTCAACGTGTCAAATGAAGCTGGTCTAGTTAACATTGCAGGAACTCTTGGGAACCGAATTTTCAATATTGAGGGTGACGTATCAGTTTATGAATCTGTTTATCAGCTTAATTGTGTACTCCAAAATAAGTACTGTATTAAAATGCTATACCTTTTTTGTGTTTTGGGGGGCCATTAAGGCACTGGAAAGGGTCAGGATTTCGAGATGGAGATGGCTCAAGTTGGGTTCAGTGCACACCAAACCAAAAATGAGGTGCTCACAAATTGCTGGCATTTGAATTAAAGATTATTTTATGTAGTTTCAGTGCCAGTTATTGTAAATCTGCCTGTAGTTTTGAAACGATGCAGTCTTTTTACACAGGATGTGATGATGCTGGGTGCTGTTGGAGCATATGGATGGAGTGGAACAGTTGTCCATAAAAGTACTCAGAGAGCTGAAATTTTTCCTAAAGAAGCTTTTCAGAAAATCCTGGAGGACAAAAATCACAGTTCCCTACTGGGTGAGTCCATGTAAAATGTCAAAACTTAAATGTTAATTGGAGAGAAAACAGCATGATAGAGCCAGCTTTTATAGTGGCCCCAGTCCCCTGTCCTGAAGACTACTGTCCTGAGCTAAAGAGTAGGACCAAAACGTCTAAATGGGGGGTTTTGAATGGAGTGGTGCTCTTTTTATGTGTTTCTCCCACCTCATATGCTGTATGTTGTCCTATAGCATGCATGTGTGTTGCATACCTGTAACATTACATTTCCAAAAGTTAAAGTTGCTATGGATAGTGATAGCGTAGTGTTTTGTTCAGAAGTAAACATAGCCATCTATGGCCAAACCACAGCCGTTCTGAGGTCAGCTGAGAACGATTCACTGCTGATTGGGTGATCTCTCCACTGTTTACACACTGAATCTCATAAAACTCTTCAGAAACCACCTCACTAAGAAACTAACTCGTAACGCTAGTTACAGACATGACAGGTGCTGATAACAAACTGAAGGCTTGAGGCAATTACAGACAGCCAAGGTTGCTAAGCAGTTATTGGAGAGCTGAGAATGTAAGGCAAAGCGTGGCTTAGAGCATAACAATTTGATTGGCCATAACACTGTGACAGCACTCACAGAAAATAAATCAAATAGCTCTATCATAAAAAACGGACTTTGTTTTTTCTTTATTAGATTGGTCAGGCCTGTAATCAATGTAGGCAGACCCCGTCCTAAAGAAGCCAACCCATGGCTATCCCCCTGAGTACTTTCCACATTAAATCACATGTGAAAAACCACCTCTGGCACTACCTAGATCCAGACCTCTGTGTCCTCATAGCTAGTTATGACCCTGGAGTCAATAATTGTGATACATGGTTTTTAGTGTATTTGTGCTTATTTTTAAATATTTTTTTCATCTTCTTTATTTTTCATCTTTATCGCAGGTGTCGATAACACTGTATCACTTGTATTAATGATTTTCTGTGTTACGGTGTGTTAAGGCTACTCGGTGTCCACGCTGAATGATGGTTCCTCTGAGTTCTACGTGGCTGGTGCTCCTCGTTCTAACCACACAGGCCAGGTTGTAGTGTACACACTCAACAGCCAGAGACAGCCCAACATCATCAACTCACAGAGGGGGGATCAGGTACCTTCAGCTTGAAACCAAAAGACAAACAGTACTAATTTTCTACCTCTATAATTGATGCTTGGATCAATTTTTATCCAGCATCCTAAGAAACAGTTCAGTGCTCTGTCGCTCTTCATCTCTGAGTGTAATCTTAAACTGAACCTAATCGTATGTCTAACACCACCCACACCTTTACCCTGATGTCAGTAAATGTTTTATTAATACTTTGTAATTATTGTGTGTGTGTGTGTGTGTGTGTGTGTGTGTGTGTGCGTGTGTGTGTATATGCCTGTTACCCTTTACAATGTGTGTAAATTTCATGATGTACAGACCAAAAGAAATGGCTGAAAATGGCTTATAAAAAAGTCTGTTTCCAAAAGTCTACAGCTATCTTCAACTTTTATTTAAAGCTGGAACCTACAGTTTTGAAAAATAAAAAATTGAAAAAAGTTAAAATGAAGAAGAAATACTTTCACATTCTGCACTACTTATAGGTCACTATTAAAACTGAAGTGCATTTATAACATTGACCATTAAGGCCTTTGTACAAAAAGGTCAGTTTTTTTTTTTTTGAGTCTTATTTCTTCCATTAAAGCTTGTGTTCTGCTCTCAAGTGGATTTGATCTGCTGATCAACTTGTAATATTCAGTTTGAGTGCACTCTGTCATTAAAGCAAAAGCAGGACCAGATACCAAATAATAAATATATTTTTTAATAATGTTAGTAATTTTATATACAAAAATCATAAACTAGATACCAAAAGGTATCTTGAGGTGTGTGTGTGTGTGTGTGTGTGTGTGTGTGTCTATGTGTGTATTATAATGTATATGGACATCCACACTCAAAAAAAGCATGTATTTAGGTATTCAAATAAGGCAAAAAAGCATTTTATTAATAGTAGAAAATTTCAAACTCATCAAATTATTAATATTACTTTTCAAATAGTAAAGTAAAATTAACGTTAAAAACAATATGACAGTATATTAAAAAGGCATAATGACTGCACCTCTGTTGCAGATTGGTTCTTACTTTGGCAGTGTGCTTTGTCCCTTGGATGTGGATCGTGATGGTGTTACTGACATTCTGCTGGTCGGAGCCCCAATGTACATGAGCGATCAGAAGAAAGAGACTGGCAAAGTCTACATCTACTCTGTTATCAAGGTGAACCTGATACACTAATCCACACAGGGACCTTGATCAGTAGAGATTTCAATAATAAATTGAAATGAAGACCAGATTAGAACTGCTCCAATTTATCCTTTGGTTTTAAGGGTGTCTTGAGTAAACAAGGTTCTCTAGAGGGTTCCTCTCCATTGGAAAATGCTCGTTTTGGGATGGCCATTACTGCTGTTCCTGACCTCAACCTGGACGGCCTCACTGATGTGGTAGTTGGAGCTCCGCTGGAGGAGAATAACCAGGGGGCCATTTACGTATACAACGGAGACCAAAGAACCATCAGGAAACAGAGCTCACAGGTAAAATTAAACATAACTGGACCATGACAGTTGGCAGTGGGCAAAAAGATCCAGCCTTTTCCTTTAAATTCCAGAGAATTCTTGGTTCAAAACTGGACCCAGCCTTGAAGTTCTTTGGGCGTTCTTTAGATGGCAGTGAAGATCTGAATGGTGACTCAATCCCAGATGTGTCGGTGGGGGGTTATGGGAAGGTGCTGCAGCTCTGGTAAACTTCTCTAATGCATAGGTTTAAAATATAACCCATTACACTGATGTTAGATGTTAGTGTGCTCTTTTTGGTCTCAGGTCTAAAGGAGTTGCTGTTGTGATGGCCAAGGTTACATTCACCCCAGACCGGATCAGCATTCTGAGTAAGGCCTTCTTCAGTGGGAGAATAGTGCCCTGTTTCACTGCGAAAATCTGCTTCAGCGCAACATTCAGACCAGCAGACAATGTGGGACCAGCAGGTAGAAAAGTGCTTACACAACTTTTACAAAACATTTGAGATTAATCAGTGTTTTTGGGGCAGTTATGCAATATACAGATGAGTGACAAATGAAATGAAAATCAGAATAAATGAGAGAAGAAGCATAGTGAGTGCAGACACTTCCAGAAAGTTGTGCTGCATGTCATAATTAAGCAATTAGCATCCTGCTGTATTCTGTGATGTGTAAAATTGCTCAAAAGGCCCAGTTCTCTTTGATTTTGGAACCAGATGGCAAGAGGAAAAGCTCTAAGTGACTTTGAAAGAAGGTTCATAACTGGGGGATGGATGGAGCTTCAGTCACAAAGACTGCTCAACTGCCTAGTGTTTCAAGAAGAACAGTCAGCCTTTGGATGTATGGGAAAGACATCAGTAAACAGGGTTGGAAACTGTGGTCAAAAGTGCACATGAAGTGACTGTGATATGTAAGGAAAAACAAAGAGCTACTGTACGTTGGAGAGTTCAGTGATGTAAAAACCAATGACAGTGGTCTACAGAGATGGATGAAAAGGTCAGATGAATCATCCTTCACTACATTCTCCACAACCTAGTGAGTGCATGTGTGGTGTAAGAGAACAGTACAGGCCTGAATGCTTGACCTCTTCAGTAATGGGGTCTGGTGGCTCTGCTGTCAGGGTTTGGGATCACTGCAAATCATTACAAAGTTAATCTGAGTGATCACCTCTATCCTATGATGAACATTTCTGATTAGAATGGTCTCTTCCTGGATGTCAGTGCCCCCATGCACAGGGCATGAAGGGTCACTGAATAGTTTGATGAGTGTGAAAATAAAGTAAATGAAGCTAATGGTCTTTGCAGTCACCAGATCCCAACCTTAATTTACACCTATGGGAGATTTTGGACCAACTTATTAGACAGAGCTCTTTACCACCATCATCAATATACCAGCTGAGAGAACATCTTTTGAAAGAATGGTGTTCCATTGTTTTCAGCGCAGTTCCTTGAGCTCCTTGTAGATATATGCCAAGGTGTTCTGGCAGCTTGTGGTGGCCAAATACCTAAATAAGACACTTTATGTTGTATTTTTGTTTGTCACCCCCTGTATATGTCTTCATAAACCTTTAAGTAAGTTTTGACTTTTTTCTTTTCTGTGGAAACTTCTTTGGTTTATGTACTTTGTAAGCATTCAAACTTTGTAACATTACAAGTTTTGCAGTTCCCATCATGAGAAATGGAATTAACAGCCTGAGAATCTGTCCAGACCTTTTTTATCAGGTGCTTTCATAATATTATCCTCTGTTCTGCATGTTTGCATTTCAGCTATCAAGTACAACCTAACACTGGATGCTGACCTGACGTCATCTCGCTTCAGCTCCAGAGGTCACTTCAGCAACTTGGAGCGTGTCTTCCAGCAGGACATCAGTGTATCCACAAAGGAGATCTGTCAAGATCATGAAGTCTACATTCATGTACGTACTTTATGTAACTAAAAATGTCAGTTTTTAGTTGTCTGTAGGTGGGCCCACACTTTAGCTCTTCATGCTCATAACTACAGAACTTGTTATCATGGCCTCTGTTCCCCCACAGGAAGCTTTTGATTATATGAAACCAGTGGCTTTGCGTGTGGATGTCAGTCTTCAAAAGCAAGACAGCACCCTTGTCCTGGACCTCTACAGTATCAGAGAATGGGAGTTTCATGTATGTTTCAAATTTAAGTTTCAGAATTTAAAGGGAAATCTGTTCATAATATTATTAGTGGTGTTCAGTGGATGGTTTTACAGCTTTACAGTAAATCAACAACCCCCATCCACTATTATTGTTTTACGTAGACTTAAAAAAGCTCTAAAGGGTGCCTGCATTTTTTCACGTATGATATTGGTGCGGTTTTATGTGCTAAAAACAGTAATAATTTATTTTTACATGACCAACTCTTCATCCTGTAGAATAAAGCAGCCTGTTTTTGTTACTGTGCTTTTCAGACTGATATGGCATGTTAGAATGTTAAAGATCTCTGTTCTGATTGGCTGCCCTGAATTTTACCTCATTTATAAAGCAGCCCACTCCACACAGGGTGAAACACTACTTATAGCTTCAGTGTAAATGGATGGGGCTAAATTGCTGTAGGCTGAATAGGCGGATATTTGCAAATGCCTTGATTTACTTGTCATCAATATAGCAATGAATTCCAAAAGGGCTGTGTTTTGGAACTTAATTTCCATATATGGAGTAACAGTAAATGCGTTAACATGCACTCGATATTCCAGTAACTGCAGAAAATCAGATTTTGTCAGTAATCCGATCAACGCATTAACATGCACTTGAGTAATCAGATAATGGGGAAACTCCGGATCTACATGAGTCAGGTAGTAATCAGATTTCTGCTTTGTAATCAGCCAATGAACTCACAGAAGAAGACTTGATGTAAACATTATGTAAGACTCAAACTTAATGGCTTAAAACATCACGCCACTTCACCTGTAAATATGAACGTACATCATCTAAAAGATGAAGAATAATTAAACCATTCATTTCGTCAAGCATGTAGTTAGTTCAGTTTAGGGTATGCCTGTGGTTTCATGCCCTTACACTGCTTTCAGATACATTAAATCATGGAACTGTGAGTCTCTTAATCTGTAGTACTGTTTGCCTGTGCTTAGATTCCTTTCTTGAAGGAATGTGGCTCTGATGACAAGTGTGTGAGTGACCTACAGCTGAGTGTGATTCAGCAGCTGAGGTGAGTTAACCAAGGCACACATACATTGCATCTTATTGATAATTGTTTCAGGTGAGTGAATGTGCTGATGTAATGCATGTGCAAGACAGCCACCCTCCTTGCACTCCACTGTCTACACCGGTGTGTATGTATGCTGTATATTAGAAGGAATGGGATCTTTTTAATGGGTCAGTATATCTCAATTGTCCAAGATAAACAAAAATTATTGTTGCCATCGGAACAAAGCTTTGCATCTTTCAAACAGTAATTTTCAGTAGAAGGAAGAAATATTTCTTTTAATTTTTTCATTTAAGTTAATGGAAAATTTTAATTTAAGTAATGGTTCAGAATTTCTCTAAGTAATTTTGAACCATTTGTATTAGTCCATATTCAAATTCTTTATTTCGTCAAAAGTGGTTTTTTGCAATCTTGTGAGTGCTATGTTAGACGTTGCCTGCTATTTCCAGGACAGCTCTTCCCTCTGTTTGTGCACATGTGCAGACTGAGAAAAATGAAAGAAATCAGAGTAAGGGTATACATTACATCTCAGTACATTCAGAACAATCCAATTAAGGACACCTTCTTGTGTCTCCTCTTATTGTCTACTTTACCAGCTCCCCTGACTATACAGGTGCACTTTGTAGCTCTACAATTACAGACTGTAGTCCAGCTGTTTCTTTGCATACTTTATTACCCTGTTTTATAATAGTCAGGACCCCCACAGGACCACCACAGAGCAGGTACCATTTGGGTGGTGGATCATTCTCAGCACTGCAGTAACACTGACATGGTGGTGGTGTGTCAGTGTGTGTTGCGCTGGTGCGAGTGGAGACAGACACAGCAGTGCAGCTGGAGTTTTTAAACACCTCATTGTCACTGCTGGACTAAGAATAGTCCACCAACCAAAAATATCCAGACAACAGCACCCTGTGATCACTGAAGAAGGGCTAGAGGATGACCAACACGAGCTGTGCAGCAACACATAAGCTATTGTCTCTGACTTTACATCTACTAGGTGAACCAACAAGCTAGAGGTGGACACTGACTAAATACTCTAGCATTACTGCTGTGTCTGATCGACTCGCACAAGCGACCTGTGTCTGATCCACTTGCACCAGCAACCCCCTGTGGAGGTCCTGACCTTTGAAGAAAAGGGTACAAGCGGGCTAACAGAGTATGCAGAGAAACATATGGACTACAGTCTGTAACTGTAGAACTACAAAGTGCTCCTAAATGTTAAATGGACCTGATAAAATGGACAAAGAGTGTAGATAGAAGGAGGGTTACTTAATAAAGTGGCTGGCCAATATATTTTACTATTGGCACAGGCAATTCAATCTAAACTAGCTTTCTATATGTGTATGTAAGTGCAGATGAGGATATGATGTCACTCATCCCAATTAGAGTGTAACTAATGCTTTGTTCATTTGTAGTTCCTCCAAATCGGTGGTCAATGAGAACAGAAGACTTTCTTTCACTATAACAGTGAAGAACAGAAAGGAGAACGCCTACAACACAAGAGTCTCCGTACATTACTCCAGAAACCTTTTCTACTCCTCTGTTACACATGTAAGTGACCTTTCTTATTGTTTGTTTTTTATTGTTTATTTTATTGTCTTTTTGGTGTGGAGTATACATCACAGCTTATAGGATGACATTAAATCACAAAACATCCCATCCTGCCTTATCCTCTGCTGACCTCATATTTAAGTCAGCAGAAGCAGAACAGAGAAGTTACACTCTTAAAATAGATGGTTCTTCAAGGGTTCTTTAGTAAAGACAACGGTTCTGTATAAAACCATGAACAATCAAAGAACTGTTTAAATGTTTATTTGCATGGTGAAATGGTTCTTCAGATTGATGGATAATGTGTTGTATATGGTTCTATGTAGTACCTTTTATTCTTATAAGCTTGGCATCGCAACAATAGCAAAGCCCTTTTTGGTGCTATGTAGAACCCTTTTCAAAAAGGTACTAAATAGGACCATCAGCTGTCTTTCTGTCTTTCAGAACATAACATGCGAATCATCAAGGGAATTCCAAAGGCTGTCCTGCCAGGTCGGACACCCAGCCCTTAAAACAGGCCAAATGGTGAGTTACTAGATCAGTTATATGTTTTTAATCTGTGATCAATTTTCTTTTTCTAATTGTTTAATTCCATATTAATTGAGCGGTTATATTTTTCTCACAGGTTACATTTCATGTCAATTTTTCATTCAACCTGGAGGAGCTGCAGAAAAAAGCTGAACTGGTGTTTGAAGCTCAAAGGTACAGCTTATTATCTGTAATGAGTGTGTCTGGCTTGTACATGCGTGTGCACCTGCTGGACAGAAAACAATAATGTACATAAACGTTGGTAACACTCTGTTTGAAAGCTACTTATATACAGACTTCATAAAATGCATATGTATCAAAACATGTTTATAAACCAATATTATTGTTTATACATGGCTGATGTTAGTAATGGCAAAATGTTCAATGTCATATGAAGTAAATAACATTGGAATGACTGTTGTTGTTCAATTTGGAACGCTGCATTATTTCCAATTAATGGAACCTTTAAGGCCATATATCAACTCTACATATTTACTTGAGTGTGGCTGCAGACATGAACAGCTAACTTTGTTTTTGTGTCTGTAGCCACAATTCACCCCAATAAAACTTCATTAAAATAACATATTATAGCTAAAAGTGATTTCCATTGCTTGGGAATGATGCTTCATAACAGTTTTATAAATGGAACAAATGCCTGTCACTAGTTTAAGATCACTTATGTCAATGTACCATCATTTACTTCATAAAACAACTTAGAGCAGCTTGAAGTTAGCTGTTTGTAAACGTTCAAGTATTGCCTTATAAAAAATCTGAATCTTAATATAAATTTTTTTGATACGGGGGTTGCGGGATGAAATGGCTCTGAATAGAATACAGTTTAAATGCTGTAAAATCTATTATACTGGGAATGGTTTCTATAGTTCTGTTTAACACAGTGTATGAGATTCCTAAAAAAATTTAGCCATAAATATTAAAAAACTTTGGTTTGGTTAGCCTACCTTGAAGAAAAAGTTAGCTGAAGTTATTCACCACCTTAAATGGTGCAGAAGTTACATTCTGCCAGAAAATTTGATTAGCATTCATATCTTGTTTTTGGGAGCACTTCATTTTCTCAGTCGAGTACTGGTGCTCATACCTCAACTAATCACCTCAGTTGTCTCAGTTACTTGAGAAGGGAGAAAATGCGAGTCACTGCAGCTACTTCTCCACTCAGGGTTCAAGCAGGTGCTAAGTGCTGATTCTGAAATGACCAAACAAATAACTCCACAGGGATGTCTATAGATTCGGATAGCTACTCAGATGTAGAGACCTGGATTCCACAGTTTCCTGCGAATTAGAAAATCCCCTCTCGCTCATTTCAGCCAGGACATAAAAGCCACACTTTATATAGAAAACACAAGATCTGGCTGTAAATGAACTTGTTAAGTTGTCAGTTTGTTTAATTTTGAGATGTAGAATTAAATTTCATACATTTCTGTTTTCCTTCAACAAGCAAGTCCTTTTGGAAAAAAATGTGTGAAAGTTATGTTTGCATTTCTTTCCTAGTTCTGTATAAAAAACACTATATTGTGATGCAACAATGCCAAAAATGTATCAGATCATGAAATTTGCATATTGTTGCACCCCATATACATGCATGATGTGTTATGGAGTCTCTGTGTTGGTAGCCTTCAAATAAAGTCTTACATGTGCATGCATTATCAGTGATTCACAGTCTTAATTTCTTTTATAGTGACAGTGAAGAGGAAACTCCATCAGATAACAAGATCACTGTGTCCATCCCTGTCAAGTACAGCTCAGACATCATTCTCAGCAGGTGTCCTAACATTACACACCACTATAAACATTTTTCTATCACCTATGAAAGTGGGAATGCTGCCACTTTAATAGGTACCCCTACCTTGTACCTACCCTTATTGGCTGTTCAAAGTACCTGAAGTTGCACTGTAGGTCTGTAGCTATGCAGTTTACCAGCCTCCCTCTACCTCATCCATGTGTGTACTATGTTCCACTATTCTCAGTGGCGCTGATTTTGCTGTAGGCTACATAAGCAGCAGTTTAGGGCCCCCGAGTCACTAGGGGGCTTATTAAATTTGATTTAGTATAATTTGTGGGAAAAGTATTTTTTCTGAAAATTAATGATTAATTATTTTACTATTCTTGCATACCACAGAATATTAGTGGGTGGTGGCCCCCAAATAGGATGCCATTTGGGGACTTATGTATTCAAATGTCCCTGTTTATGTGTGTGAGTGTGTATGAGAAATGTGAGGCTTCTATTTAAAGGTTAAGTGAAGAAGGTGTATATGATCTGAAGCACTCTCAGAAATGCATGAGCACAAATAAAGGATGAAACTGTTTGGTTTCCGTGCTGTATGTTAATATTATAGGTCTATTTTTTCTTCCAGAGATGTTAATCCAGAATTCTGTGTTGTTGACCCAGAAGACCAAGTCAAAACCACCGTGTCCAGTTTTGATGACATCGGCCCTGAGTTCAACTACACCCTCAGGGTGAATGTCTTTAGATTACTTTGGTGTGTTGGACTCTGCTGGCTCCTTGTGAGAGATCTCGTGTTAAAGATATTGAAATGAATATCTCATATTAATGCAGAGAATTCCAGTCTACACAAGACTGCACAGATTATCCTGCTCTGAGGCTTCGATCACACTGCAGGGCAAATTGGATTTGTTTCTTCTATGACTTTCTAGACTGACTGTTCAGATTTCAAGTTACAAATGATTAAATCTGATTTGTAAGGTCAGACAGTAGTTGCATTTGCTCACACAGCCACACTGGTTCCTGTAGTAATGACACACACATGCATATGCAGACCAGGTGGGGGCAAAACGTAGCAAACCTAACTAGTTGACAGAATTATCACACTATATTTCACAACAGTGTTTCACTTTTATTAACTATGCACCGCTGACATTCTGACATCATGAACAACAAAAACACATGAATTCAAAACATCCAGAAATCCTATCTAAATCAGATTCGAGACCAGCTAGAAATGTGGCTTGAGTCTGATTGGAAAAAGTCAGATTTTATCTGGCTTATTAACGTTTAGGCTGCATAAAAGTCTGTTCTGTCTAAATCAGATGCTGAAAAATCGGATTTGAGCTGCCTCTCTGACTTCTCTCATCAGTTTGTTACTAGGCCTATTATTAACAGAATCAGGAAATTGAGCAGCAAAAAGATGGGCTATACTTTAGGGGTCTTAAAAGGGGAATTCCACTCATTTTTAAAAAATTTCTGAATAATTCAGTCATTGAGAAACAAAGTCATTTCTGCTTGATGTGAAAGTGGTGCAAGTTTTCCTTGGAGACTATTTTGTCTGACAATGCGCAGTTTTTAAAGCAGTGCATGCTTCAGCCGTCTGGTTCAAATTCCCCTTAATACCTTAAACCAAAAAAAAATTCAAATTCTCTTAATAAAATCTGAATTGCTTTCTTTTTTCTTGTCATGAAGTCTATTAATATCTGTTACATTTTACAGCCAGAAAATATGCAATAACTTTTACACAAGCCACTTTTTTATGTGTTTTTTAAGTTAAATTCGGAAAATAAATGGTAATTCTGCAGTAAAAAATGTGTTCTCTGTAGAGGATGTTTTAGTCTATTTTCAATGAAAAAATTTTAACCAAGGGCACCCGAACGTTTGCATATGAATGTATGTGCTGTTTTCTCTGTGGTGTCGCTCCCTGCAGGTGTCTGGAGGAAATTTTCCGGTCACCCAGGCCAACCTCAGTGTGTTTGTTCCCACCAGCACTGGAGCAGGGAATCCTCTTATCTACATCACCTCAGTCAGCACTGCACCTGTGAGCATACACCCCTTCATCTCACTGTCTTCAGGCTGCAGTTCTGTCTTCACGACTTCTCTAATAGATGGAGAACAGGAGCCTAAAGTCAAAAGTTAATGGCTTTTTGATTGGTTCTCTTTTTTTTAACAGGCTGGTAATGTGAAGTGTAACAGCAGAGATCTGATTGATCCGTTTAGGATTAAAGAGAAAGCATACACAGCGAGATTCACAGAAGACAGCTTCAGAGGAACTAAGGAACTGGTAGGTATAGTGTTTTTTGACTCCTAATACAATTTCTTCTGCCAAAAAAGTAGTACCTTTTGTGTTAATGACAGAGCCATGACACTGTCGTCATTTCAGGTCAGGCTAACTTTTTTTTAAAGTTTGCCAGAAAAACCTGAATCTGTATTTTTTCAGTCAGTCTATAAAGCATTTCACAGCTTATCTTGTTTGCTGAATCATAGTTTGTTAGTTTCAGGCTAATTCATTGGATTATTGTTCTGTTAGCTTCTATGAAAAGCATGCTTACAGGCAATGACATGTTTGGAATTTGATGTACCACAGTCACAAATTTCTTAAGAATCTGAACGAGTGGGCTGCAGTTATCTAATGTGCCCATTTTCTGTTTTTGTATGTACTAAAGTTTAGCAATCATTACCTGCCGCATAACAGAATGATACAGTTATTGTTGAACACTTCTCAAGCAGTCAGATTGTTATAAATACATTTAATTTAATTTAATTTAATTGAGATGGTTTGGTCATTTATATGAGCCTGCATATGCACACAATTTAGAAATCATGGTTTTGATCAAATCACTGGCAGTGTTAAGGACTCATACATGTTTGCTGTATTTTATTTTTTCCTTGAGGTGCACTCTCTTTATCCCTCAGAATTGAACAGGCTGGTAACCAATAAGCAGGGTTGTTTACACAAGCAAACAACTCAATTTCTGCTGTGCCTTTTTAAAACTGTGCCTAGCATGATGTTGGGTAGTTGAAAAAATCACGATTATTGATTACATCGCCCCCTCTCATCCCAACCAATATACACGTTCAGCTGCAGCTTTGACCCATACGTTTTTTGAAGATTGACTGTTTAAATGAAAATCTTTGTTTAAAAATTAGATTAAACTTAAATGATTTATATTAAATTATATGATAATAATCTTTTGAAAACTACTGTCTAGTCTGACGTTTTAATAGACACTACTGAAAATACATGAATTCTCGAGCTTCTTCTGGTGTATGTTCATAGCCTTGCATGCACCCTCTGCTGGCAAAACTTCAGCCTGTAAGTGACTTCATGCATCATGAAAGTCATCCCCACATGCTTTGCATATAAAAAAACAGGGTGTTTTCCATCATAAAGTAAAATAAGTAGAGCCTCTCTGTATGTGGCAGTGTCCAAGAGTAGAAGAACTTTAAAGAGAAGAATTTTGAAGATCTAGTTTTACAGATGTGTCATCAGTTAAGTTGGAAATGGATTCCAAGCTATTTATTCTTGGACTTTATCTAATTAAACGTAAAACAAATGCTACTCAAAGAATTTTTATTGACATCTGCTCTCAAAGGTGGTGATCACACTTCATTAGAAAAAGATGGATAGACCAAGTGCACTGCAGTGGCTCAAGGAATCACCTACACCCCTACCAGTAAAGAAAATAACTAAGAGACTTAAGGGAAAATGAGTTATTTCACAGTATCTGGGACTGTTTTGTAGATATTCTAAAAAAACAAAGACCTGTCAGTGATGACTGATGAATCTATATGAGTAAAAGCATATATGCCTCCGTACTATATGTTTTTTTCTTGTATAATTACCTCCACTGTTTAGACCTTTCAAATACTTTTAATAATAAATGTTTTAAATAATTTATTATATTTTACTATTTATTCTTTTTTATCTTTTGTGTCTACTGACTGTGTTTTGTACTTTGTTCAGTGTGTCTTTGAAAACCAATAAAACACGATGTGAAAAAAAAAAGCTAAATAGGTAAAGCTAACATTTCACTGTGTAGCAGAGAGAATTTACAGGCAGCTTCTTATCGAACTGGGGTGCATGCACTTTTCCTAAAGCAGGGGTCAGCAACCCAAATGTTAAGAAGAGCCATTTTGACATGTTTCAACAAAAATCCAACCATCTTGGGAGCCACAACATTTCATGTCCATTTTACTGAAGTAACGTTTCACCATCTTGGCTGTAAATATATGTCAGCATGTGCTAATGTCCTAGTATAAGCTAAAAAATATGATATAAATGCAAAACACAGACTTACTTTGCTCTGCTTTAAGTTTTAGCTCAGCTGTAGCCACTTTTCTTGCATCTCCAGCAGGAAACTTCTCCACAAAAGTAGAATAGTTTCTTGTAAAATGTCTCTCAATGTTCGACTTTTTACGAGGCTTCTCATTCACCAGCTTCTTGTTAGAATTTTCCCATTCCACCTTAAATGGTGCCTGAGGCACCAGAATGTAGCTACCTATGCAGCTAACTGCTGCAGGAGTATCCAACAGTAGTTGAGTCCTTGTGAATTTAAAAACCTGATTGCTTGAGGAACAAAGCTTTTGCAGAGTCTGGCAGTGGTGGCATGGATGCTCCGGTACCTTCTGCCAGATGGCAGCAGTGAAAAAAGTCGGAGTTGGTGTTGAAGGACCAGGTGAGGTTCTCTGTGATGTGGACACTGAGGAACTTGGTGATCCTGACAATTTCCACAGCAGAGCCAGTGAAAATTCCAACAAGAAGCTGGTGAACGAGAAGCTGACTTCAGCTTCATCTTTAGTGTTTGACGGTTTCTTGTTGCAGATTAACTGTATTAGGAAACCAGATTAGAGTGCTTAGAAATGCAAATAAGTCCATTTGTCTCCAAATTCTCCATGTTCATCTTAAACCTTTCTCTTTGTCTTTTCGTTAGCTACTAGTTAGGTGAGATTGTTGTCATTGCTATGGTGACCAGCAGTCTGCGTTCCAGTCTTTAGGATTAAAGAGTGAATTAGCAGTTATGCATTAACTCCAGCTTTTAAGACCATTTATTGTTAAAACTGTGTTAGAATGATCAGCAGTGCTTTATTTTAAAGGAGGATTCTTTTATTTTTACCTAAATATTTGTGTCTGCTGAACCGCGTGTTGCCGACCCCTGTCCTAATGGAACGTGACCCCCAATTAGTCCTCTCTAGGTCTCTGTGCATTATTTTCACAACATGGTCATTATCACCTTTCATGCATTGCCATCAGGTTACTTGTCAGTTATTGGTGAAATCTGATTACATCGACCCTTCGCCCAGACCTAGTGCCTATGTTTCCTATTTCTGTGACCACTACAGTGTGTGTTCAACAGTGAATGCATTGGTGTGTGTGTGTTCAGCAGAGTTGTTGTCACTGTGTAAGAATTCTTTCTAATCCGATGTGTCTTTTTCTTTGTGAAGAACGAGGAGACGTCCCAGAGCCAAACAATTAAATGTGTTCTCAAAGATCTGAGGCGGAAGTCCATGTTTGTTAATATAACTGCTCGGATATGGAACGGCACATTTGCTACTGTAAGTGACATCATCATCACAGGACTTCCACTTTATATTCGCCTTTCATCTAGTATCCTTTACGAAATCTCCGTAATCTTTTTCTGTTTTACTTGCCTTTTTCTTCTTCTTTCCATCCATCCTTCTTTCCTTCTGTCCTTCTATCCTTCCTTCTTATTTCCTACCTCCCTTCTTTCCTTCCCCTGTTCTTTCTTCTTTCCTTATTTCCTTCTTTCTTTTCTTCCTTCTTTCCATCCCTCTTCCCTTTTTTCGTTCTTTCTTCCTTTCCCTTCATTCCCTTCTCTCTCTCTCTCTCTCTCTCTCTCTCTCTCAATAGGCTGATTTCCAGTCTGTTGTTCTGGCAGTGAGAGTTCGAATTGAGACGCCTCAGCCTGATCTACTCGTCACCAACGAAAATGAACTACAGGTACCTTCATTCTGCTCACACTGCAATGATGTGAGCAGTTAGACAATGATCAAATAACAAAGAGACAGAAGATCAGCAATCCTAGGGATTAAAATGTCAAAAAGATCCAATATTACATATCTATGAGTGGCAATAATATGTGAACCTTAATCTGGTGTGACCCGCTTGTGCAGCAATAACTGCAACTAAACGCTTCCAGTAACTGTTAATCAGTCCTGCACATCGGCATTCCTCCATACAAGACAGCTTCAATTCTTTAATGTTGGTGGGTTTCCTCCCATGAACTGCCTACTTCAGGTCCTTCCACAACATTTCTATAGGATTAAGGTCAGGACTTTGACTTGGCCATTCCAAAACACTAAACTTATTCTTCTTTAACCATTCCTTGGTAGAACGACTTGTGTGTTTAAGGTCGTTGCCTTGCTGCATGACTCATGTTCTGTTGAGTTTCAGCTCATGGACAGATGTCCTGACATTTTCCTAGAATTTGCTGGTATTTTTCAGAGTTCATTGTTCCATCAAGGATGGCAAGCCATCCTCACCCAGATGCAGCAAAACAGGCCCAAACCATGATACTACCACCACCATGTTTTACAGATAGGATAAGGTTTTTACGCTGGAATGCAGTGTTTTCCTTTCTCCAAACATAACGCTTCTCATTTAAACCAAAAAGATCTATTTTGGTCTCATCTGTTCACAAAACATTGCTCCAGTAGCCTTCTGGCTTGTCCATGTCATCTTTAACAAACTGCAGATGGGCAGCAATGTTCTTTTTGGAGAGCAGCAGCTTTCTCCTTGCAACCCTGCCATGCACACCATTGTTGTTCAGTGTTCTTCTGATGGTGGACTCATGAACATTAACATTAGCCGCTGTGAGACAAGCCTTCAGTTGCTTAGAAGTTATTCTGGGTTCCTTTGTGACCTTGCAGACTCTTACACACCTTGTTCTTAGTGTGATCTTTTTTGGTTGACCACTCCTGAGGAGTGTAACAGTGGTCTTGAATTTCCTTCATTTGTACACAATCTGTCTGACTGTGGATTGGAGGAGTCCAAATTCTTTGTAGATGGTTTGTACCCTTTTCCAGCCTGATGAGCATCAACAACTCTTCTTCTGAGGTCCTCAGAAATCTCCTTAGTTCGTGCCGTGATACACTTCCACAAACATGTGTTGTGAAGATCAGACTGCGATAGATCCCTGTTCTATAAATAAAACAGGTTGGTCACTCACACCTGAAACCACATGACTCTAGTTTCACCTTCAAATTATCTGCTAATCCTAAAGGTTCACATACTTTTGTCACTCACAGATATGTAATATTGGATCATTTTCTAAGTCTAATATTTTTGTCTTATTTGTTGTATTTGGTTCTCTGTATCTACTTTTAGGACTTGTGTGAAAATCTGGTAAAGTTTTAGGTCAAATTTATTCAGAAATATAGAAGATTTTAAAGCCTTCACATACTTTAAAGCACCCCTGTGAGTGGGCAGCTCACAAGAAATAATTGTGATTCATGTGACATTTTTTCTTGATTGGTAAAGCTCATTTAACAAAACAAGGTCAACTTAATCTTCATTGTTGCTTTCTAAGCAAAGCAGAAGTGGCCTTTTGCAAATGTGTTAACAAGTTCTCATTGCTTTCAATCATTTCTCACATACTTTTACAGAACAGTCAACACAGGTCTCATAGAAAAACCCAAACGTGCATTGGATAACTGTGTATTGGATAACTGCGCAAAACAAAGGGAAATCATGCACTGACAGCTTAAAGTAAAATACTCAGTCATCATCAGTTGTTGATGTAAACATCAGTAACAACAGATGTACCTAGTGAGACTGTGAAACATTCAGAAACAAACAATTCTATCAGAGATGCTATAATCATGCATTTCAAAACAAAAAAATCACCTGAGATATTCAGAAACCTTTGCTTCTGCTTTGTGCTTTTATCCATACTCATTGAAAAAATGATGAGAATGGTAGAAAGAAACATTGTCCCAAAACATAACAAACAGGAAACTGGAGACAGTATTTGTCAGTAGAAGGATGTGTAATAGATTTCTACTATGACTTTTTGAGAAAAAATTGTACAATGAATGCTACAGTGTGTCGAGTTCGATTGAGGTTGGACCCTTCTTCCACCTTCTGTCATGGACATGCCATGAATGATGTCATGGATTATAATTGTTTTGAATTGTTCTGAATTTCACTGTAAATTTCAGTTCAGTTTGGTATGAATGAAGTTTGGGCTCCTCTGACACAGTCTGTCTCTTTATTGTGTTTCAAGAGTAAAGAAAAGTTTGCCTTTGTGTTGTATGTTTCATGCTTTGGGGAAGTTGGCAAAAAAAAAAAAACGAAACATTTTGTCCAGCAAGCCTCTGTTTAATATTGTGCTTTAACTGTTTTGAGAATAACACTTCTGAATGGACAGAATTGTTTAAGCAGCTGATAAACTGTAATATAGCCTGGACTCATATCGCCACTGCTGTGGAATCAGCCCTCCTTTAGGAGTAATTTTTTCTAGCAAATGGCAGGAATTCAAACATAGTCGTATGCAAAAGTCTGGGCAACTCTGGTTAAATTGGTTAAGTTAAGACATCACTTCAAGTTAAGAGAACACACTTCTGCATAATTTAAAACACAATTACCACCTGACATGTTTAACTTATTGAAGAAAAAAATAAAATAAAAATGTGGCCTGTTTGAAAGTCATTTTATTTGTATTTTATGTTAAAAATAGAAATTCTGCATTAAAATGAGCAAATAAATGGCATATTTAAGTGTGTTCTCTGTAGAGGATGTCAGCTTATTTTACCCTTACAAAAAAGTGTACTTTTATGAAGTAAGCTTAAGTAAAGTTATATTTCCCAAGTATACTTTATGTAGTATGTATACTAATATCCATGTACTAGTAGTATACTTTCAAGTGTTCTATTTCAGTACTTCTTGGGACACTAAACGTCTTTAGTTTATAAAATTATACTTTGAAGTATACCACAAGTACAATTATATATTTATACATGTAATCCTGTCTGCATGTCATTGGACTGTGCGAGGAAACCAGAGCACACCCACACAAACACCAAGAGAACATGCAACCTCCACACAGAAAGGGCCCTGGTCACCCAGCCGGGGAATCGAACCCAGGCCCTTCTTGCAGTGAGGCAACAGCGCCACGATGTTGCCCTGTTTCTTTTTCCATACTTATACTTTTTTAAGTACATACTTAACGTTTCTGTATTTTTGTAAGTATAAGCCAAGCATACTTAATTATAATTTTGTTTACTATATCTCTGATAAGTACATAAACGTATACTGAAAGCGTACTCACTTGTTTTTTAGTTTTAAAGGAGTATACTAATAGCACACTTGAATAAATTTCTTTTTTGCAAGGGAAATCAAAAAAACATAATCTGACCTTTGCATGCGATTGTATGCCGCAAGCAATCATAACCTCTCTGTGTTCTCTCTGCAGGCTGAGGTCACTGTGAGTAAAACTGGAGCCAAAGCAGACGTCCCTGTTGATGTTGTAGTTGGTAGCTGTATTGGAGGAATACTTTTACTGGCTGCACTTACTGCAGTACTTTGGAAGGTGGGTGATATTGTTTAGCTCACCATGCACAATAGCTCCAACACTAAGCTATTGAACATGGCTGTAGTATTTGGACCTTGATTACTTTGCTCGTTCAATATTATGACTAATGTCTGCTGAAAGAACAGTTACACACTCTAATAATTACTCTAATTACTCTAAGTTCAAGACAACTATAACAAAAGAACAGATTGATGAATGCACATTGTCAAAACAAATACATGAGAGGACTCATTATGTTGTTCTCTTACTAGTTTGGCTTCTTCAAGAGAAAGAGACCTATTCCTGAAGAAGATAAAGTGGATAACATCAGTCTGATTGATAGAGAGAAACAATGATATTCACATGATAGAAACTTGAAGCATCCCATCCAACCCTACTGAGGATTACAGGACACCTAACAGCTCCAAGACAGCATCAATGGGTCAAAGGCTTCAATGACCTCTTGTCCTGAAGGGTGGACCTGCAGTGCCAAATTCTGCAGCAGTGGTGCAGATTTCTGACTTCACAACTCAAATTCAATTTGATGATATTTTTTGGAAAAGGATGTAATAAATCATAAAATCTCACAACTTACCACTATTCAAACTATATGAATATTCTTGTAAAAGGAGAACACCTTCTTTTACAATCAAATAATTATTTTGGGTAACTTGGTGACAAGTTCCAAGACTGTCTAACTAAAATACACCGACCAACAGGTTCTAGGTGTTAACTGAGTAAGTATGTGGTACAAATTCCACAGTACTTTGTAATTATTTTGGGTAAAAAGAACCCAAAATAGTTATATTTAATCATATGACATAAAAAGATATACAAACAAAGTACTAACAGTATGCATCTGTATCTCTTACCTATAAATGAATCTGAATATAGGCTGTAGAAGAAAGTTATGATTTTTACAGTGGTTTTACTGGGTTTTTAACATTTCCTTCATCCTTGTATTTTGTATCATTTTACGCAACATAACTACCTGTTACTTGGAAACATATCCAATTCACTGTCCTGCTAAAATTTATCATTTACTGTATGTTTTTGCTTACTCGCCTTGTTACTCAACTAATTACTGTAACTAATTAAGAGGTATTTTATGTCCTTTTCGGCTTAACAACTAGAACCCATTGGGTGTTTCTGTGTCATTTAACTAGACTGTCTTGTCTGTCAAGAAGCCCTCACTGAGAAACGGAAATAGACAAAAAAAGAACATCTGCCCTCAAGCACCAAACTGGACGTCTGAGATTTGCGAGGTTTTGTGTACTAATGAGTCTAAATTTGCAGTTAGGATTACTTGGATAGTGAGAAGCAGAAATACAACCAACTTCGAAGAGTGAACTTGGAAAAATATCCCCATAGATTAATTGAAAAAGCTGAAAACGAGTCTCCTAAAAAGAATGGAAGCTGCACAGAGTGGACACACTGAACACTGAAAAAATTGAAATATGTTTTCTGCTTTTTTCTCGAATAACTTGTACTCAGTGGCTGTTTTAACTGGAAAGTAAATAAATGCAGGCTAGCCTCTGATTTTTACACAGTACAGTATGTAAAATCTCCTAATGAACTGTTTTGCATACTGTGATGAATCATGTACGTGGGCAAATGGATCATATGATTGAAAATACAGTGATCTGTGTTGTTTTAATATTGGCTTGAAATGTGGCTTTATGATTCAGCTTGTTTACCATGGTCAACTTCAAATTCTAGTAAGAGTATGATTCGGTAATACATTTCTAAAATGAACGTTTATGTAGCGCAGATTGTTCTTGAGACATACTTATGGTTTAACCTACATGGTTCTGCAAATCTACTGTTGCTTCACTGTTCGGTTTTCAGGGTTTTTCTTTAGAACAGAAAGAATATTTCAGTCACACACTCTAGACTCCACAGGGAATCCAGTTGTTCGCTGTAGTTACACTCACTATCGTCTATCTTTTTAATGATGTCCAATGCAGTTCATTTCACTTTGACTAACTCATTCCATGTCTGTCTGAAGTGTTTTGATCTGTTACCTTAGAATACCCTGCTTTCAGTGCAGCAACAATTCTTTGGGTTTCTTCTTCCTGTCACATACCAAGAACAGACTTCAAGAGCCAGAGAAAGCCTTTATTTAACGTTTGCGTGTGATGGTAAATATATAGACCACATCATTTTTGTTCCCTTAAGGTCCATAAATGTATTTATTTTATATATATTTTTTTGGACATGTAGAGAAGATGTTTTAAATGAAACTGGGCGGTTTGCACATATTATTGTGTAATTATCATGTCATTTCCAGTCAGAAGTGTTAGAATGCAGAGCCAAAGGCAGTCCTGAGGTTGAGAGGTCCAGCTACATTTGGAAGTCAGTGTAACATTGTGGTTCCGTATGTTTTCCAGAGATAAACTGAGATTCCTGTAAGGCCCACTGGAGGTCACTGTGGAATGTTGAATACACCAGAGAATCCTGATGCTTTGCTTCTTCTCATAGATGTCATATAAAACCAGTTAATATCCTACCTGAACAAATTAGCAATGTATTTTTAAACTTAGGATAATTTTTTTTTTCCAATAATACTGAATCGTAATTTGCACATATGTCCCATTATGTCTAAGCTCTCTCTCTCTGTATATATATATATATATATATATATATATATATATATATATATATATATATATATATAATGTAATGTACATGTAATTGGTGCACTGTTTATTTGATAAATTTAACATGTAAGAAAAAATAAACATACAGTGTGGCCTGTGTAAAAGTTATGGCACACTTTATTTTTTCTGTTTAATATTTTTTCCATATGTTAAACTCAGCGTGTGACAAACTAGGCTGCTGCTTTTTCCTGCATGTAAACGCAGTCACTAATGTAGCTTAACATTTAAATATTGCCTAGTTTGGCTCTATCTCAGAGCAATGCAGATAGTTCATGCATTTTTCACGAGTCGAATTAATGAATTAGCTAGTTGCATTTACTCAAGTACATGTACTTATATTCAATATTTTCAAATAGTGCTACCTTTACATCTACTCAAGCATGTTAGTAAAAGAGTCATTTTTTACTCAGTTACATTTTAGCCATTCATATTTAAGTTAAATTTTATTATGCTTTGTTGGTGACAACACCTGTACTGCTCTGTGATTGGTCACACCTCTGACTTTGGAGCTTCAGCATTAATTTTAGACCAAAACAATTCAAAACATTGAAGAACAGAGCTGTACAAACTTCACTTTCTGTTTTCTAAACGTTACTCATTAGTAGTAAGTAGTAATTGTTTTTTGAGCTGCTACTTTTGTACTTCTGATCAAGTTGGTTTTTGGAAAGGTACTTTGCTGTTTCTAGTCATCTATATAATCTACAGTTATCTACAAATTCAAAATGCAGCAGCACAAAGCCTAAGAAAAATGAAAAACAGCTCATATCATTCCCTTTTTGAAATTCTTTAGGGTAGATCTTAAATGTCTTTAACTGGTTTTTAAAGCTATAAATGGCCTTAAAGCACCTGCTTACCACACAGAAGGTCTGTCTGTTTATGTTCCAGCATGTAGAGAGATGTTTTCTGTTATTATGCTTTTAAACTGTGGAACTCAAATCCACCTTTTATTGGGCACTGAAGATTTTAAGAAATATTTGAAAACATCTCTATAAATTCTATCTCTCTTTTTGCATGTATCTTTTTACATCTGAGCCATGTTATTGTCTCAGTTTAATTAATACTACAAACTTTGTTGTTACCTGTATGAAAAGGATTCCCAGGTCTGACACTGGGATACAATATTTTATACTGTATGTAATTTTGGCTTTTAGTTCTGCATAATTGAATGAGGAAGGTCGCACAAAATAGTTACCAAAAGTAAAACATTTTTTCTTTTCAGATTTAGTCTTATTTTACCATCTTCAACATTATATATAAAACTCAGAAGACACATGTAGGTTCACTGATGGTTTTGAACAGTAAATAAAATGGCTACATTTGTGTTGTAAACATTGTGACCCCTGGTTCCTATCACCACCAATGAACCATTTCACACCAAACCACTGTGAAAAGATGTGGTTAACATGTGAGTGATTGCATTATGCCGAAAATTGGTGTAATTCTCCTTTAATTAATTTTTGCCCCGTCCAATGAGAACATCGCATTTTATTTATATGAAATCTTCTCCAAGGGCTCAAAGCCTGTTATACAAATCCATGCAAAGATAAACAACCAAACAAACAACAATCAGCTGCGCAATATATTTTATAACCATAAAAATTAAATGCAGACAGATAAACCAATTATCTGAACAAACATATTTGTTTCTAGAAAGGCACAGAGTGGATACAAGCCACATGTGATTGGCATGGCTTGTGGGGAATGGACAATAATATTTAATTTGTCTGTGGGATTTGAGTATGTCTTAGGGTTACATGCTAGAGATCATGCATAGACATACTGGGGAAGACAGAGAGAGAGAGAGAGAGAGAGAGAGAGAGAGTGAGAGAGAGAGAGAGATGTGGTTAACCCCTCTGGCAAATTCTTCTGCAATCTTAGTATTCCATCAACTTTCAATAGGCTGTCGACAACAATACAGCTACACATTTCTCAAAATCTGCATGTGGCTTCCATTAAAGTCCAGTTGTGGTCAAAATTTGCTTATTTCCAGATTGTAAAACATATAGTTTGTTTTATAGTTATAGTTTTTACATATAATGTATAAATTCAGTCTGTGCTTACCACAAGTTTGCCTTGGCAAAGTTGCATTGCCTACAAACAGTCCAAAACAAAAAAGCGTCTGCGTCTGAACGCAGAAAATGCCCCCTGCAGCATGATTTTTTAGCACGTCAGATAACATAATGACACATCAGCCATGCCAGTGAGTGTGCCAGTAAATGACTGGTGAGGTATGTGAGTGAATAAGGCCCTTCATATGGGCTTGTTTCAAGATACGCTTCTATAACTGCCACACCCAGTCTGACAGACCTTCACCTGATTTTCACAAGAAGTCCTGTTTTCACAAGCCCAATATCAGTGCACTTGTTAATGGATAACTACTACTACCTGACCATCCTATCTGCTGTAAAACCAGCAGGTCTTTGACATACAGCAGCCATAAAATAGTATTAGCATTGGGAAGTAGTGGAGTTTCAGTGTTAGTATTTTGAAGTGGTGAAGTTCAGTACTTATAATAGTGAAGAGGAAGAGTATCAGTAGCGTGGAGAGGTTTAGTACTAGCATGCTGAAGTGCCATGAATCCCATGCTGGTCTAAGCTGGTTCATGCTGGTCACCTCGCATGGTCATGTTATTGCAGCATAGCAGCATCCAAAGCACAATGTGTGCTCATTTTTCTGATGACCAGCACATTCAATTCCATTGCTGCCGATTAGCATCCAAGGCACAACATATGCTTGTTATGCTGGTGACCAGCCTTGCTGGGCTATGTTGTTTTTCTAGGAGGGTGGTGAGGGTTTGGTATTAACTTGTTAAAATGGTGGAGTTCTGTTATTAACGCTGAAGTGAAGTTTCAGTAAGTGTTGGATTTCAGTTCAAGCATTCCGAAATGGTGGAGTTTCAGCTCAAGCATAGTAAAGTGGTAAAGTTTCAAGACTAGCATGTTGCTCTGTATTGGCATGTTGAAGAGGTGGGGTTTCAGTGTTAGCATGAGAAGTGGTGAACTTGCAAAACTAGCTTTAGAAGTGATGCGTCTCGCCGCAGTGTACCATGACTACTGCTAGCATGAAGACAGTGTGGTTGCTGTATATATTTCAAAATGTTGAGCTCAAAGAATGTTACTGCTCCACATACACATTTTCAAGAAACCGCCTGTGCATGAGAAAATTTGATGGCTTGAAGTTTTGCCTCATCCACTGTATGTGTGATGAATGTAATGTTGGAGCTGATTTTGACCAAAAAGTAGAAGTGAAGAAAAATGACCTATGTTTTGGCTTTGTTGGTTGACCATGACAGGAAAGACACATTTTATGCAATCAGTCTTGTATTTTGAAATGAATACTGTAAAACTTTAACTGGCTTCCTGTCTGAATTCATCTCTGCTATGTCCTTCTGGAAAGCAAATTTCAAACCCAAGTCAGCAAGATAAACATCACCAGCAGTCCAGCATGAGTTTTACATAAAAGGCCTCTTTACCTTTGAAGGCCCTTGTTGTAAATATTCCTAAGGTCTGTCCTTTTTGTGTCCTCTTTAGACATTTATTTCTACTCAAGTATTTGTGAGAAACCAACTTTCTCAGTTCCATTTTAGCCCCTCGCATTTAGTTCTTAATTGATTTTATAGTAGTAATTTCATTCTGTTGTGTTTCTTCAGCACCTGAACTGATTTGCTTACAGTTCTCACTTTGGAGTTTTACCATTTAGAACAAATAGAATCCAAAAAGAAGAATGGAGCCTAAATATGCTTTAGGCTCCATTGTGGAGCCTTGTGGGTATACTAAGAAGTTCCGTTGCAGTTCTAGAGGTCCTAGGACCTGATTTATCTGACATTATTTTACTTTTAGGCTGCTCTGCCCACCTAAAAATACCGCCTGTTGGTTTATCCATGGTGATTTCTTAATCTACTTAGTCATTTCCTTCCAGTGTACACACTGATGTGATGTGTACCTAAAAGGCCTTTATTCCATGAATGGATCCTTCCCATAAAAGGTGGCGTTTTGTGGAGGTGGGCTTAGTTTGTGGGAATTCCCATCACACCAAGGTTCTAGTTTACTTCGGTGACGTCAAGACAGCTGTGTCTCATGTAGCGTGTTTTTATTTCCCACCTGTATTCCGACAAACTCCGCACTATCGGATTTGGAATGGTTCTGTAGTTCATAAATACAGACTCTCGTGCCGGAATACGGGTGGGATTTAACACAAATTATTCAAATAGCATATATTTTTGTTCGAGCTGTTTGCAAAGAGAAAATGATAGACGATAAAGCTGCGCTGTGATGTAAAAGCACATTCTCTGTTCTATAAAGCTGAAAGGTTGCTCTGTTCCCCTCACCCTTACATAAAAAGAGCAGTGCGCTGAGAACTGCAATGTTTTAGCCCTTAACGCCCCTCTGAGCTCTCAAAGCATCTGGAAAGAGTCATCTTTAAGAACAATTAGTGTGGCAAAGTCATAGAAAGTGGCTTTAACCCTGCTAATTCACAGAAAGTCCTTCTTTCTCATTCTTTCTCGCAGAGCAGGAGGCGGGGCTTGTGCGAATACGGGTGGGAAATAAAACTGTTTGTTTCGCCCAATGCCAGCAAAGAACCGCGACAGAACAGCAGCCAGTCCAGTACTCCGCAATACAAGACTATTGAGAAACATGGGTTTAATAAACAACCTCCTGCTGGTGTTCCTGACGATTCAAGGTAAGCATCTGTCATTTATACTAGATCCACTGTCCAGTCAGTGTTCTTTTAAACAATGTTTCTAGGTTTAGATTACTGACCACTCAACATGTAGGACATTCATAGTGATTTCAGCTCCATAAATGAGCCACCTGTCCTGAAGTGTGATTTCAAGTGTTCAAATTTAAGTGTTCTGAGTGTATATGCAGACTAGTGGCAGATGTGGTGGGCTAATGCTACACAACAGCACAAATATTGTGTTTCCAGTAGAAGAAAAAGTACCAAAAAACTAGAATTAACGAGTGTCAGTTCAAAAAAAGTCTATAGAATTGCTCAAGTGCATCACCGAGCATCTATCAGAAGAGGAACTAAAGTATGCAATGAAGTATGGGAAACTTGGAGTGAGTTACTGACCACCTCGCTTTAAAGGCAAACAAATAGTCAATGCAGTTAAAGCCCCTTTCAGTGACTAATGGCTGTAAAGTAACACTTTTGAGAAATGTTTAATGTAAAAGCAGCCAGGGGAGATTGTGGTCATGTTTTTTTTTGTTTTTTGTTTTTTTTTCTGTCAGGTAGGTAAGGTTGAGTCAGCCTGGTTTTGGGCACATATTTCTGTAAGGCTGTCAAAATGTCATGTCAAGCGGTTCCACACAACTGTGTTAAGTAGCACAGTTGAGTAATATGCGCTCAGTGCGTTCAAGTAAATCACAGACCAGTGAGATCTAATGAACTGGACTGATCATATTGTAGTGTCCCGCTACTGGCTCGCATTGCCATGGGTGCGTGGGAGGTGTGGTCATGTAGAGTGGCTGTTGGGAAGTGCCGTGCACACAGTACGAGGGACATTCATTGTAAATAAGTTGTTGTTAGCTTAAAGATGTGTACATATGTTGTTTGTGATATTCTGTGCTGGGCTGTGGGGTAGTTATTGCCTACCGTCAGGTGAAAGTGTGTGTCTAGAAGAGACATGCCTGCTATCTCGGCCATTTCCACAGCTCTGTGCAGCAGTTCTCCCTTGCTGCTTGTTCAATAAAAGAGCATTTGCCTTTAAAGTGCAATGCTTCCTGCATACTTCACTCACACCATGCTGGTGTCAGAAGTGGGATAGACCCTCCCTCCCCCCTAAATGGACCAGAGAAGAAGGATGTTTCCACAATTGCGGACGGCAGAGAAGGCTCAGTCAAAGACTGTGGAGGAAGAAGCAGCATGGTGAGGATGGGCAGCAGAAGAGGCATTGTGGTGAGGATCGTCAGCAGAGCCCAGTGGGAGGACGGTGAAAGAATGTGTGGCAGCCTGGAAGTGTTGGCCACAGCACTCTGGCGACACTTAAGTTGGTAGCAGAGGTTAATACGATGGTTCAGCAGGCACCTCCTATGCACGCTGCTGCCGGAATAACGGGGATGGTACGAGCAGCTCTCTCCACTGGGCAGCCTTCAAGCTGTCATAGCAGAGGCAAGAAGTACCTTACTATGTGGGGAGGAGGATGCAGCGCTCACTCTCTCCACTGTGGCACCCTGAGGGAAAGAAAGCAGCCCTGAGAGAGAAGGGCACACGTGGACAGTCCAAAACCCCTGCTGTGGAGTGACAATTGTGGGTGTATGCAGGGGGCAGTGTGCCCTGCTCGAATCTGCTTGAGGTTGCCGGGATGGCTCACACTGATGGGGGGGCTACATGGCATCCTGCTTCAGGCTCACATTGTCATGGGCACACAGGAGGTGTGGAGGAGGCTCTTGGAAAGTGCCATGCTGTGGCAGTAGGAGAGACATGTATTGTAAATACTGTGGGGTAGTTAGTGCCTACTGTCAGGTGAAAGTGTGTGGCTAGAAGTGATCTGCCTGGTATCTTGGGTGTTTCAGCTGTGCTGAGTGGGGGTTTTGCCTTCCTGTCTGTTACATAAAAGAGCATTCACCTTTAAATGGAAATGTTTTCCACATCTTCTTCTTTGCTGACACCACAATATTAACCTACATATTCTCATTAAGTTATTACAGTGCTACTGAGTTCTAGTAGAAGTACACTCAAAATTAGGTTACACAATAACTCCCACTGACAGCCAACAACAATTTGGTTCAGTAGTTATTTGTGGAATTAGATGCACAATGGAAGGTACGCCAGGGTGAAAGACAACACAGATAGGGAGAGTAAAACAAGTTAAAGAATATGCAAATAGATGATGCCAGCAGCCAATCGGAAAGATGACACAGAGTTCATTAACTTAAAAAAACATAGGGGAGGGTGTTGACACGGACTTTATGTGTATTATTTTCATTTTCCCAAAAAAATTTTGTACATGTATAGCATAGCACTAATAATCTAATAACAACAACAACAAAAATAATAATAATAACACTTTTTCAGCTGTTTTTCTTTTAAATAGTCCACACTGAATTGGGTGCAATAGCAGACACTGTGATAGCATGTAAGCCAAGGCTTAATCTTTGTGAAATGAAAGCACAAACTTAAAGCACAGTTTGGTCAAAGTTGTGGTTTTTGTCTGAAACCCGATGCTGTGGTCTGAAGATGTTCTAAAATTTACACCATAGATGGCTTTTTGTGCAAGCATGACAGCATGATATCATGGAGCATGTTGTTGTTGTACAACAGTCTCTTCTACAGTCGTATGCAAAAGTTAGGGTGCCCCCTGGTCAAATTTCATGCTTTGTTGATTTTCTAAGTGAAAACAAGTTAACAGACTTCTGCACATTTTAATGCACAATTACTGTTTATTTGCTGAATTTAACATAAAATGTGGCCTGTGTTAAAATGATGGCACACATTACATTTTATGCTTTATTTATTTTTGTTAAACTCAGCAAATAAAAAGAAATTGTGCACTAAACTTTACAGGATGTTAAGTTCCCTGTAGAGCAGGCGTGTCAAACTTCGGGCCAAAGTGCTGTGGAGATTAACATTTAACCTCATTGAATGCTCTGAATTCAGTCCAAGAAGGCCTTGGTAATTAGTTGACGAGCTGAATCACATGTGTTTAATGAGCTAGCATGCTGAAATCTGCAGTGTTTTGGCCTGTCAGGACTGGAGCTTGACACGTGTGCTGTAGAGGATGTGTTAATTTATTTTCACTTAGGAAATCAACAAATCATGAATTTTGACCAGGTGGTGATCAAACCTTTGCATGCAACTGTGTTAGGTAGAGTAAATATGGAATATATTTAGAATATCACATCACCCAACATTTAAAAGTTCTGTCCATGTGTGAGGAGTCTTAGTGTCTTGCTGTGATTTACATGGAGTAAATAAATAAATGATTAAGAGAATGAGTTTATACCATCATTGGGGGCTGTTTCTGCAGTAACTCTGTTAACCACCACTGATCACAGGCCTAGAATCATATTAAATATGTGCTTAATGGTTTTAGAGCCTGATCTATGAAGCTGCAAAAGATTGCTGATGTTGTTCCTCTCTGTACACTGAGCAGAATTACAACCCCATTTCCAAAAAAGTTGGGCCACTGTGCAAAATGTAAATAAAAACAAATATTTGCCCATTTTGAATTTGATGCCAACAACACGTTCCAAAAAAGTTGGGACGGGGCAACAAAAGGATGGTAAAGTTGTGTAATGCTAAAAAAACACCTGGTGGTTAATTGGCAACAGGTCAGTAACATGATCGATTATAAAAAGGTATCCCAGAGAGGCTGAGTCTTTCAGAAGTAAAGATGAGGAGGGGTTCACCCCTCTGTGAAGGACTGTGTAGGCAAATAGTGTAACAATTCAAGAATAACATTTCTCAACATAAAATAGCAAAGAACTTTTGCTGTTCATAATCTACAGTACATAATAACATTAAAAGATGAGAGAAATCTGTGTACGCAAGGCACAAGGCTGAAAACCAGTATTTGCTGGCCATGATCTTTGGGTCCTCAGGCAGCACTCCATTAAAAACAGACATGATTCTGTAGTGGAAATCACAGTATGGGCTCAGAAACACTTGTGAAAACAACTGTCTGTGAAAACAGTTCATCGCTGCATCCACAAATGCAAGTTAAAGCTCTAAAACGCAAAGAAGCCGTATATACACAGGATCCAGAAAATGCTGCCACCTTCTCTGGGCCCGAGCTCAATTAGAATGAACTGAGGTGAAGTGGAAAAGTGTCCTGTGGTCCGACAAATCAACGTTTGAACTTTTTTTTGGAAATCATGGACACTGTGTCCTCTGGGCTAAAGACCACTCAGTTTGTTATCAGTGCACAGCTCAAAAAGCCAGTTTTCATGATGGTATAAGTGTGCATTAGTGCACATGGCATGGGTGACGTGCACATCTGTGAAGGCTCCATTAATGCTGAATAATATATACAAGTTTTGGCAACATATGCTGCCATCCAGATGACGTCTTTTTCAAACCACATCAGCATTGCTCTGTATTAAAAGAGTTCTGGTGCTAAACTGACCTGCCTGCAGTTCAGACTGACACCCACTGATAACATTTGGCACCTTATGAAATGAAAAATACGACAAAGTAGACCCCGAATTGTTGAGCAGCTGAAATCCTGTATCAAACAAGAATGGAAAAACATATCACTTTCAAAACTACAGCAGTTGATCTTCTCAGTTCCCAATCACTTACAGAGTGTTGTTAAAAGAAGGGGTGATGAAACACAGTGGTAAACTTGCTCCCATCCCAACTTTTTTGGAACATGTTGTTGGCATCAAATAAAAAAAAAAACAATAACATTTCTCATTTTCGACATTTGATATGTTGTCTTTGTAGTATTTTCCTTCAAAATTGTACATGGTTTACATTTGCATATCATTGCATCCTTTTTTATTTACATTCTGCACAGCGTCCCAACGTTTTTGGAAATGGGGTTGTACAACAGAGCTTTCATATAAAAAATCTAAAGGTCCTTTTGTGCTCTTGAGGCTTCAAAATAAGATAATCTTTAAGAATCCACATTTAGTACAGTGTGGATGAGAACAGCAAAGTAGGCTTCATTTTACAAAATCTCAATATGCTTTAATCAAAATTTTATGCAAAACGTTGGAAAACATTACAGTTCAAATGAACAGATTACAGACTATAGATGATAAAAGAGATCCAAAGTGTAATTCAGAGCCACAGAGTATCTCTTTAAACAAGTGTGCAGAGAACCTGGCCCACGATAGTGGCTGAAAAGCATTGTGTGTAACTATATAAATGATGCAGACTGCAGGGAAAAAGGTGTTACTGCCACAATCTGCTCTATGTCCACTTTGAATAGGCCGCAGAGTAGCCCTCGAAAATGGGTTATCCGGCTTACTGACCATAAAGCAGCCAGTGGACTGGAACCGTATTGAAAGAGAATCAGCAGGGTTAGATAGTGGGACAGTGGGGACTCTCTCTCTCTCTCTCTCTCCCTCCCTCCCTCTCTTTGACCTTCTGCCCGACCTTTATGTCGCATTCCCTCTCTCGTGTCCGTGCTTTAATCTGTCTTCTGTCTTTCCTCTGACCCCCGCTCACTCCTCCTCTTGTTTCAGGGCTTTCTCTCAGTCCGGCTGCTGTATCCGCTGGCTGGCTTTTTAAGGGTTTCTTTGTGTAGCGCCTGTGCCCGTGTCTGTATCCCAGCAGTATTCAGCTTTTTCCTCCACAGTGACAGATGAGAAGCTTATCGAGAGGCTGCTGCATTTGTGGTTCAGCTGCTTTTTGTTTTACAGTTCTATTCTTTGGTAAAGACTGTGGCTGAACTCTGTTTACAGACCACCACAAAACACCTCTGTGCTATTTTGCTCTGTCTGCTACTTTTAAACATTGTTTAAAGACTCCTGCAGAGGGTGGACAATCGGCACTGCGTGTGTTGCACAGCGTGTGGCCATTTTAGTCATTTCAGGAGGTCTTTGAGAATCAGGATGTTATTCTAGAGTCGCATCACCTGGCACTGTACTGATGAAAAGGGTTTTTTTGGATGATAAACGTTCTTGTTCTAGTTCAGAGTTCCCTGTGTCTGAAACCAAGTACTTCCCTAATGTACAAACCACTTTACTTTTCATAAATTTTGTGTACACTGTATTTATTTTGTATTTTCTGTGAATTCTGCAAGTTGATGTCTATTCCTAATAGTTTACTGTATAATTTGCAGGAAATTCCTGTAAAAATGAAATCACTGCCAAAGTACAAATGATTCAAATTCCACGAAACTTACATAAACAAGCAGGATTTCACCAAAAGGAGATTTAATTTGTAATGTGTATTTTAAGTTCATGTTAAGTTTGAGTTAAGTTATGCATTAAGTGCTTATAGTAGCTGACTATGAGCAGAAGTAAAATGAGTTTGGGAATAAACTTTGTCATATGGAGGAAAAGAACCCTCCATATGACACACCTTTCTGTGGTGAGCTGTAGTAATACAAATGCCTGTATTTCTGAGGTTAGTAACTGTCCATAAGGCAGCAGCGGAGCTTGTTTTACCCAGCGTTTACGCACTTCCATGTCTTGTTAAAAGGGCCTATCTGCATACTAGTTTACTAAATTGTATGTTAAATGTAGTAAAGACACCTCTGGTGATGTACAGAGAGAGAGAGAGAGAGAGAGAGAGAGAGATGCATGCAGTGACTGGGCTAGAATGGCACTCTGTCTACTTCAACAAATGGAATGCATTTAGAGTGAGATCCAACCAGACATTTTAACGTCCAGTTGAAAGTCGCAAAGGAGCTCAAACTGGACTGTCCAGAACCCTGGCAACCTCGAACCAGAAAGGCTGAAAAGTGAAGCGTGCTCACTTTTAGCACTCGGCAGTCACAGTTTCCTTAATGCAGCAGAAGGAGGAACCAGCAGAGGAAGCTACAGTTTAGAATTTGTCCTTCCACACAACATGAGTCTATATGCAATATGCAGAGAGGTTCAAAATGAGTTGTTAACAAGATATGTGGAAGCAATAACTTCTCATTTATGCTTAGTGAAAAACGTGAAGTACATGGTATATAATTAAGAAAAAAATATGTAGTGCGTACAATAAGACACAAGGCAACATTCTTGTGCTGTTTATGCTATGAGGCCTTATTTTTCTGTTAGCTGGTTAGACAATAGAATCACCCTCAAGGCTATAAATACATCTGACAGTTAATCCACCGCCCTTTCGGTATATGCTGGGTAAGCTAAAAACTAAACTCTGATGCATTCCTAGGTGGCCCTCCTCTGGATGCTTATTACTCTTCCCTGCTCTAACATGCTTGATTCAACACCCAATAAGTTACAACAGAAGTGCTGAAGCAGAGAACACACAAACTTGTGTGGTCTTGATGCTCCGCAAGACTCTTCCAAACTGAATAATATTGCAAAAAGCAGTCTGTGATTCCTATTCCTACACTATCCATCAAAAGTTTGGGGACACCTAGCATGTCAAAAATGTTATTTAATATCATGGTAAGTTTGCAATAATGCATTAAACTATGCAGGTTTATTTAAAGGAAAACAATACCACACATACATATTTGTGACAGTATTAGTGGTAGCTGAGGAATAAAGTCAATAATATCCTTTTTATCCATTTTAACCTTTCAGGTGTTTTGGGCCAGAAGAGTTTCAATATGTGCCTTTAACAGTAGTTTGGATGAGAAAACTGTCAAATCATTATTATTAGGGGTGTAATGATTCCCAAAATTCATAATTCTGTGTAATATGGTGGTGTTTTATGTAATACAGTTTTAAAAATTCCTTTTTAAATACAGCAAAAATATGGTGTGGCAGAAAATAATACGTTAATACATTTTAAAAAATGTGGTTTATTATGACAGCATTACAAGCTAATATGTCAGCCCCATGTTAACACATGAGCCAGAAGCTAACAAGCCTTCAGTTCAATGGGTTGATATACAGTCCTTTGCAAATGTTTGGGCACCCCTGGCCAAATTACATAGATTTTTTGTTTTGTTTTGTTTTAAGTGAAATAGGTTAATGCATCTTCTACGGCTAATTTTAGTGCATAGTTGCTACATTATGCTGAGTAGCATGTTTCAAAGAAATAAAACATAAAATATAAAACATGCCTGAATTTTTAACAGGCCAGATTTCATGTAGACCCCTCCCTACATCCCCAACGTGTTAACTCCAGCAAATAAACAGTAATTGTGAACTAAAATATATAGGTGTGTTCTCTGTAGAGACTGTGTTACCGCTTAAAATCCCAGGCTTATTACATAATAAGACTTACTATTCAGTGACTGCAGGGACTTCAATGCAAACTGGCTGAGCTATTCTTAGGTTATAGAAGTGTATAATAAAACTTTAGGCTATGGCCATTTAAGGGGTAAATTTATTTTCACTTCAACACAATCATACCAAAATCACAGTCAACAAAACATAGTATTTGAACAGAGGCATCCAAACGTTTGCAAACGACTATAACCGAGCTCAGTGTTTTCATAGCCCAGCCCAATGAGGGGCTCCAAATTGGCCTGGTATGCAATATTGCATACAGCCTTACTAGAACAGGATCAAACCTGCCTGCACTCCAGTACTTTTAAATCATCAGAGACAGACATCAGCACTGGCCTGAACACATGGAATGTCTATAAATCTTCTTTTACTCCTCATGATCCCATCAAAAGAAGAGAGAGAAAGAGGATTAAAACAGAAGATTATGCTCTTCATGAGGAGTGTGAAATGAAATGTCTGTGGATTTGTGTATGTTCTGTATCGAGATGGTTAATAATTAAGCCAAATGCAGGCTCTCTTTACTGGTACAAAAAACTTAGCAGAACACTACTAATACTAACAGTACAATATAATAAGCACACACATACTAAATTACAAAAGAATACTTATACAAAAACTAATTTACAGTACAATTAGTACACAAAAGTGGCAGAAAAATAAGTACCATACAATAAGTACAAACTATTTTCAAGTTATATCAGTTATGTAAGTTATATGCTAAATCAGACATGATATTATATAATAAGCTAAACACCTAAAGGTATTTTTAGATGTTATTCAATATTTCAAATGTTTTAGGAAGAAGAAGAAGTAATTATGGGATAAATAATGTGATCTATTTATAGTCATTTCTTGACATCAGCCTTGAAATTTGATCACCACTTTTAAACAAAAAGGCTTTCTGAATGTTTATTTTCTCATTTTAGGATCATCTACAGCTCTGGTCATTGTATTGGACCTCATGTTTTTGTTTACAGCTACAGTTTTTTTGAAACCTGACGGAGCACTGGCTTCGTGGCAAAAGTGGCTTTATATTATTGAAAGCATTCTTCGCCTACTAGGAAAGTGGTTCTACACCGTGTAAGCAGTAATAAGTACACAGAAAGTGGTACTACAACAAGCATAATACAAAGTGTCAATCCAATGAGTATATGAAAGTAGCTAGTATGTTCAAAACAGTGTGTTCAAAGCCCATCCAGCCTTCACCTGGCTGTAAACAAACAGGGAAGACAATAAATAACAGGCTTGCACTGCCTTCATTTTGTAGATCATGGTTGTTCTTGTATTGGTTCTGTTAGAGTATATCTGAAGTGTTATAGCTTGATCTAATGGAATGTGTGCATGTCTAGTCTAGCGATGGCTTTGCCCCAGCAGGTTGTGTGCAGAGATGTAATACTGTATATGTGTCTGCAGGTTGGTGTGTGGAGCAGATCTTGGGGTTTAATGTGGGAACAGCAGGAGCCAAAATGTTCTCAGGAGCAGCAGAGGAGGAGTTCGGATACACAGTGCAGCAGTTCAGCAACTACCAGGGCAAATGGTAAACACTGAGTGAACATGGGTGGGATTCCTCTCTCTAAGGTTCATAAATGGTTCTTGGCTTGGACACACAGGAAAAGCCTTTAACTGCTATAGATCATTTACATGATATGACAGTTGTTTAAACTGTAAAGAGGATCAGTCATGTTTGGCAATTTTTAAATGTCATAAAGTATGCCAGAGCGTTATAAAAAGTCAAAGAGGAAAAAAAAGGAGAAATGACACAACAGAAACATACACTATACACTCCCATCCACTAGCATATCTCCTTCAAACTTACAGAAAACAGAAACAGCATCCTGGAATATCTACTGGGTATACAGAGCTAGCCATGGTATGTGAAGGAGCAGACTAAATTTTTATATAGCGTAGTCCGTCCAGCAACAGGCTCTGTAGTTAGTAGCAATGAAATAAAAAACATCTCAGTTTGAAAAACGTGTATTTTGTACCAAAAAAGTGACATACGAGAGACAAAAACACAAACACTGAGCCATCAAGTTGCCAAGATGTCCACTCTATGGCCATCTTGGCAACGCCACTCGGTAGTTATTTCCACTCAATACCGGGTTCCTATCTCACTGAATGAAGAGAGATATATAAACTCCGCACTAACAGCTAAATTAATATTTCCAAAGCATTGGTGAAATCACTGGTAAAATCTGAAAAACAGCAAAATTTGTCTCAAATAACATTTTTTTTGCTTGTTCTGGCTACTGCATAGATCCCCACAACAAGCTTTTCCCTCTTGTGGCTTAATTAGCAAGCACTTTTTATTGAAAGGTGGGGATTTCTCTCTAAATAGATGCCATGTTAAGCATTACGAATTATCCCATTTATTTTCCAACCAGTGACCAGTCTCTTTCTTTACAATATCTCTGACTGGCCCAGCTGCAGCATGAGAGGGGAACACTGGGATCTCCGAGATCCGCTTGTGAATACAAAGAGAATTAACCTCAGTGTATTTCATGTAGCTTTGCTGAACTGAGACAAACACTTTGTAATGTTGTCAAGCAAGCACTCTTTCTAGTGCTGTTTTAGCAATGCTACCTACACGTTGAAAAAAAAGGTTCTTCAAGGGTTCTTTAGTAGAGGCAGTGGTTCTATAGAGAAGCATGAGTTCTATATATAAAATCTTTTTGAATTTGGTTCTATATTGCACAAAAAAGGGTTCTTTTATTGTTAAAAGCTTGACTTTGCAACAATGGCAGAACTCTTTTTGGTGCTATATAGAGCCATTTTCAAAAAGGTTCCATATACAACCATTGAAAAGTCAAGACAAATCAAGGTTTATTTATATAGCACTTTTTACAACGGGCGTTGCCGCAAAGCAGCGTAACAGAAAAATCTGGGTCCAAGCCCCCATGAGCGTCGCCAATGGCAACAGTGGCAAGGAAAAACTCCCTAAGAGCAAGAGGAAGAAACCTTGAGAGGAACCAAGACTCAAAAGGGGAACCCATCCTCTTCTGGTCGACCCTGGATACCAAACAATAACAAAAGAACAGTATGAACAGAAAATAAGGTTTTAACATTAGTATAAAATATTAAAACACAGAAAAGGGGAAAATGGCTATGGTTAAATAGTTCAAGTCTGTGCAGCAGCAGTATCATCAGCAGGGTCAGTTCATGCAGGTGAGGTTTGCCCAGCGTTGTACAGCAGGAAGCTGCAGAGTGGTCAAACTGGTTCAGAAGGCTGGCAAGCAGTGGGCACCCGATCAAGGCAGAACAAGCAACAGCGTCAGACCGCACAGGATGGGCAGTTGGCAAAGAGGCAAAGAGACACATAGGCAGTTAGTTCTGTTAGGAGAGACTGATTACAGTATACAGTGTCAAGGCAGGTTCAGTTATTACAGCCTAACAAAGAGGGAGAGCCAGCAAGGTAACAGAGACATGAGGGCTCCCTGAGATGTCAGCACCCCTCCACTCCACCGTCAACAAACTTAAGTGAATGCGTGAGAGCAGCGGGATAAAACACATTCTCCTTCAACCATTTCACCATGCAAAGAATCATTTAAGCATGAGGCCTAAAGCCTAGGCTGCAGCCAAGGTAGGCTGCATTTCTCAGCCGCTATGTTATACCCTTCGTATACAGCCTAGAAATGCAGCCTGTGTTCAGAGTGATTGCAAGGATGCATCAGATGTATCCTTCCAGGCCTTCGCTTACCCACAGCTCTCAGCGCACAAACGACACGAAAGAGAAAAAAAAAAGCAACACGAAAATGGCGGAAAATGAAGCAGTGCTTATTTTAAAATGTAAGTTGTTCACATACTTGAATTCGTCTTCATTACCTTATAACATATAAAATCACTAATTAATTAAAGCATTCGTCCATATGTCGTATATCATCCATATATAGTATTTTATTTAGAAGTATTTGCATATATGTAGTTTATCGTACTACATAAGAACATCTCCATTTCCATGAAGAAATGAAAAAGCAACAAACACGATGCAATGGGCTCCATTTTCTCTCACCAGTTCACTCACAAGTTTCACGCCACTCTGGCGATGTCACCATACAGCCTCGTTAGGACTGTTCCATTTGTGTGACCAATAGGCTACTAAGGAGGAGTCCTCATAGGACAGTCCAACCGAGGACCCACATTACCTTGGCTACAGCCTAGGCTTTGGAACGCAGCAAGTGCTACCAAACTGGGAAGGTGAAGAGTAACGCATGTTTCCTCCAAGTCAGCTGAAGCCACCACATCTTTTTAAACTGCTGCTAACACATCATTACTAAACAGCTCAACACACTGTAAAGTGGATCAAGACTACTTGACTGGTCGCCTTTTAAAGCGTTTTTCACACTCACACATCTCATTTACAAAAACAGTTCTTTAAAGCAGGATCCATAAGAAAGAGTCTTCAGAGAACCAAAAGTGGTCCTGTGGAATACCTTTTGGGCACCTTTTTTTAATGGCTTATGTAATATTACAATCCAATAAAGTAATTCAAGTTAGTACAGTAAGACAAAAAAGAGTGAGAAAGAAAGAAAGTTGGTGCAGATCCTGGTGGACAGCTTTTGTTGTCTTACAACACCAGCACACTCTCACTTTAATATCTTTATGTCCTCAGCCTCTTTTATATCTTTCCATATTTCACATTACAGAACACAAACAAGCGCTTCCTGTAGTCGTCTGTAATGCTGTCTGCGTGATGCTGATCACTCCTGCGCTCAGTTCCTTTAGCATTTATCTCAGCAGAAATAGGTTCCTTCCTTTCATTCGCTACAAAAACAGTGCAGACTCTTTGTCCAACTGTGCTAAATTCTCTCTGCATGCCAGCGGATGCAGCAGCCAGAGTGCGGACAATATACAGGATACTGGTCTCTCAGCCCTAATATGCATTCTAAATTGGTGTGTCCTCAAGAATTCCCCACCATGACTTTCCCCACTGTACTTTAATTCATTGTGTTCTTGAGCTTTTTATTGAATTAATTCAAAACAAAGGGCTGGATAACCGTCTCTGTTACTAGTAATAGGAGGCACAGTCTACATTATTCTTTGGTGAACAGCATGCAGTAATTGTATAAATGCCATGTGAACATTTATGCATTTGTATTGGCACTAAGACACTCCCCAAAGAAATGTACAGTCGGTTTCATGGAAAACCAAATTTACCCACTTTTCTTTTTTTAATAAATGAGTTTGATGTAGTATGTAAACTTTGTTAAAGTTACAAAATGTACAGTCACCCTCCAGTCCATACAGTCCACAAAGTCATAAGCAAAAGTTTAAAAACCCCAGTCAAATTATGTTTTGTTGATTTTCTAAGTGAAAATTGGTTAAACATCCTCTACAGAGAACTTAAATATGGCATTTCAGTGCACAATTTCTGTTTATTTGTGTTTAACATACTGGAAAATATAAATCCTAAAATACAAAATGTGCCATAACTTTTGCACAGGCCATATATTATGTTTTCTTCAGAATATGTTAAAGTCAACAAATAAACAATAATTGTGCATTAAAATGCACAGAAGTGTGTTCTCTATGGATGATTTGTTAACTTATTTTCCCTTAGAAAATTAATAAAACAGATCATTTGAATTGGGGTGCCAAAACTTTTGCACACAACTGTATATGTACACTTAACTCACCATGGTTGTGATGACACAACCTTTAACCCATTTAGAATTGACTGCCCCATTTGCCGACAGCAGTTTGGCCCCGCTGATTCACGCTGAAGCGATGCGGAGTGTTGTTCCTGCGGACAGTTCTGTAGTTATGTAGTAGAAGATGTGGGGAAAAAATGAAATGTTGTACTGTTCCTTGCTGTCAGGGAGCAAACAGATAATTGTGTTTTAACACAGACTGCTTTATGAACAAGGTGTAATACAGGGCAGCCAGTCAAAACAGAGACTGTTTACACGTCATTCTTAAAGTCACAGTAAGAAAAACAGTCTATAAAATAAAGAGAGGTTGTAAAATGAATTCAGACTGTTTTGAGTACATAGAACTGCACAAATGTTATAAGTGGAAAAATGTAAACTATTGGCTTTACAAGTTCTTTGCTGAATGGGAGCAGCAGTTAAATGGAATTAAAAATTTACGCCTTTGGCTCTGAGTCAAGTTTTCTACCAGCTGGTAGAAGCAGCTCTAATGCAGCCTGAGCACACAGGGTCATGACTTCACTGTGACTTCCACTTCCCAGTTTATCCTAATGTGGATGATTTATTATTCACAGTTATCTTAAGCTGTCTAGACATTTATAAACTGGGCACAGGCTTCACAAAAAGTCCCTCTGTGGCTCACACTGATGATGCAACTAGCTACGACACATTCTTTTTGCTACATGAGCCATTTCCTACCCAGGCGTAGACAATAATTGACCAAAGCTGTTGATGTCACTTCATCCTCACTCTGACTCAGCCGCCTGCTGGACCTGAGTCAGGTTCACACACCCCAACCTAAAGAAGTCTTTCCTATCACATAACACACATACACATCATGAGCACATGAGGTTTGGACTGTGTTTATGAATATTAAGAGCTGTTTAAAAAAAACTGAAAAAGACGGGCTTTCCAGCGGACATATGTGACCTCATCACAATAGAAGAACCCTTTTAGGTGCTATATAGAACCCTTTTCAGAAACCCTTTTCTGTCATTTGTAATATAAAACCAATTTAGCTACTAATCGCTAATAATCAGAACATTGTAAAAATGAAGGAATGTTAGAAAACTATATAGAACCTATATGGAGGCTTTTTGAAAATGGTTCTATATAGCACCAAAAAGGCTTTTGCTACTGTCACAAGCTTAACATTGTAACAATAGAATAATCATTTTAGGTGTTATATAGAACCCTTTTCAAAATGGTTCTGTATAGAACCATATGTGGCACATTCTCCATCAATCTGAAGAACCCTCTCACAAAGCAAAGAACCTTTTAATCATGCAAAGGGTTCTTTTGGTGTTCATAGTTCTATATAGAACCAGTTCCTTTACTAAAGAACCCTTGAATGACCATCTTTTTTAAGTGTGTATGTGGCACCAAAATGGTTCTGCTATTGTCACAATGTCAATCTTGTAACAATAGAAGAATTTTATATATATATATATATATATATATAATATATATATATATATATATATATATATATAACCACATATAACACATTCTACATGTATCTGGAAAACAATTTCACCAAGTAAAGAACCATTTAATCGTTTTAAGAATGTTATAAATGTGTTTTTTCTTCTTCTTCTTGTATGATTTTACTATTTCATAGATATAAGATTTTGTCGTAACTGAATAACGCACTCAAGAATCTTTCAAATTCTAATGTTCACCTTAAATATGGAACAGATGGCAGGAAAAGAGAGGAATGTCTGCTTATCTGGCTCATCTAATAAGGATAAATGTTTAGAAAAGGCTCTAGGTCCAGATAGAGTTCCTTAATGGTTCTGCTCTAAACCTCTTAAAACTATATGGAAATGCTGCTTGTGAGTTCAGAGCTCTGTTCTGTGTCAGGTTAATAGGACTTTTTGTCTTCAGGGTACGTGTAATCTTGTGGGCGTGTCTTTACTCTGCAGTGTGTAATCAAAGGAAGTTACTTAAACACACACACAAGCACACGTATTACTGTGTATACCAGAGTTTCCACTGAACTGTTCATTAATATATAAGCTAAATATTGGCCCTTATTACAAAGATTTCTATTTTCTTTCCTGTGGGACTACAGAAAACACGGGATTACAGCATAATCTATCTAGACTGTCTGGTTACTTACTGTCAATTCACAACAAAACAATGACACAGTACTGTGGAGATTGTACCTCACACTTACTCACTTAATACCTTCAATCTGCTGGTCATTTCAGTGTAATTTGGTCAGACTGCCATGGTTGTCAGCATCATCTTATCCAGAGTAGCTACCTAGTCCCTTGTATCTCACACGTACCTAGTTAATACCTAGAACTTAAAGGACTGTAAATCATTTTTTCTGATCAAAGAGAACAAAGGAACACATACACACACACATAGTCCTTATCAAATATCCTGATGATTGCACACACGCACCCACACATGCTCTCTGACCAACACTGGCAATCTCAAGTACTGTTTTTATGCATTCCAATCCAGTGAAATCCCCTTAACTCTATGTTCCGTGCCTGAGCCGGTGTAATCACCATCTTAGAGGCTGCAGCATCTATCAGTTACCGTAAACACCAGAGAGACGGTCCAAACACACAGTTCAGCATGTTACTATTTAACCCCTCACTACAGTAAGCCTTAAACAAACTTAATGCAAAATATATGAACAAATGGATTGAACAATGCATTTACAGAATAGTAAATCCAATGAAACCTAATGGAGAATACATTACAGAGAAATTCTAGTTTTTTTTTTACATTTCCACACAATTGAATCACTGAGATAAAAAAAAGTCATTCAGAGTGTTTTGAAGCGAATTGCTCCATTGCAGAAAAATGTACAGATTTCTTTTCAGTGGTGCTGAATTTACTAATTTACTAATTATCCAATTTACTATGTCATGTAATAGCCCTCTCTGAGGGAGCTTTTAGAGGCATTAAAATCTTTCTGACGTCTGGTTCCTATCACAACCACTGTGAACAACTTTGACTCTCAAACAGAGCATTTCACATCAAATCGCTCTGAATGACTTTGTTTACATCTTAACCATTTAATCAAGCAGAACAAATGGGTATAATGCCCATTTCATTTATTGTTTTATTATTAAAAAGTAAACCTAATGCAGAAGTACTGTAGTCTGCCTTAGGTGTACTTTAGGTAAGAGAGCCCAAAATAATAATAAGTGTTTTATGAAAATTCCTAAATGTGCTCATGTATTTCACTAATTGATAGATTCCGCGGCTCTAAGCTGGTCATTAAAATAAACTTGTCCGTGTTCTCAGTCTCTTTGAATGTGATTTCTGATCAGTGTGATTAATGCTGTTGTTTCTTATGCAGGTTACTGGTGGGATCTCCATGGGCGGGGACTCAGAACAGGAAAGGAGATGTTTATAAATGTGAGATCAAAAGCCCGGGGACCACCTGTGAAAAACTCAGCCTTCAGAGTAAGCTAACCTGTCTGCTGTTCCCTCTGTGTTACCAACAGTTCTGAACAATCTGAATGAGCCCTCTTCTAAGAGTGACCTCTTAAAAAAATGAAGAGCTCAGTGGAAAGAAAATGGAAAGTCCTTAAATACAACTAAAAGTATTAAAGTGTCCTTATTGTGGAAAACTGAACTTTCCACACCTGAAATAAAAAAGTTTGACATAGTATGTAAACATGGTTTTAAGTACTATTCATCTCCCAGTCCATACAGTCCATATATGAAAATTAAGCTGCAAAAACAGCCTGTTTTTAGCACATTGCTTTTGTAACGTCACAAAATGCAATATAGTTTTCATACATCCACCTATTTAGCTCACAGCAGTTAAGCCCCGCCCATTCACATTGTTAGAAGTTATAAGGAGTGTTTCAGCCTAAATTGATTTTTGAATGGGGCAAAATACAGGGCAGCCAATCAGAACAGGCCTCGTTTGCATATATCATTAACAAAAACAGTCTGTTTAATTTTAAGGAGTAAAGAGAAGCTGGAAATGGTCATGTAACATGAATTAAGACTGTTTTGGTGCATAAAGCCACACAAACATAGCAAGCAGACCTCAGGGAAAAACATAAAATACAGAAAAAATTGGTCTTTCAAGAAAAATGGTAGTGGTAAAAAGTAAAACAATTAGAGTAATTTCCTTCACATGCCTTTAGGTAATGTTTTGTCTGTTTGAACAAAACTTCATATCTTCAAAATGGTAACTGTACAGGTGAAAAAGAAAAGAAATAGTTTTTAACTTTCAATATAAGTCAATGAAACAAGATTTTATTACATTGTAATGTATATACCATTTCTGTTGATGCATTTGTTTTATATATATATATATATATATATATATATATATATATATAGATAGATAGATAGATAGATAGATAGATAGTAATGAATAAATAATGATAAGAATTGCTCCATTGTCTGACTGTGACATTTTGTCTCACAGAATGTCCAGTTCTTAAAGTTAGGTTAATGCTAAAAGACAACCCTTTAATGTTAGCTCACATTGACTGAATTAGCTTGTTAACAGGCACTCGAAATAGAAAATATAAGCAAAAGCTTAAGGTTTAATAAATACCTGTCATGCTTGTTGTATATGGTAAATAATAACATGTTAGATGAATGTAAAATAGTAAAAGAACACAGTATATACTTAGCTAAGACCACGTTAGCCAACCAGCTATTTGATAATTCCTTCCTCAGGGTGACTTTTACTCTGTAATGCTTATTAAAGATGAACTGTGGGGAACAGTCTACCTACATTAAAGTCTTTCAGTTTTTGATAAAAGTTGTCCACATTGCCAGAACGAACTTGCTTGTTATCTCTCTCACTCAAAGCACTGAGAGGCTGTAACGCCGGAAGGCCTCATAGCGCATTACATCCCCACGTGGAGATGCTGTACTGATATGAACAAGAGCTGTGATGGATTTATGTATAATTACATACGGAATGCATTAATGACTCACTTTTTTATAAATATTTTGTTTTCAGACTCTGTCAGTATACCAACTGTGCCGAACATCAACACCAATATGAGTCTGGGGCTGACCCTCACACGAATAACCAAAAACAATGGCTTTATGGTAAACCTTTGCTTTTATTTTTTAGTGCACAATACAGTTTGTTCAGCCATGCTAATCTTTTACTGAGGGCTGTATTGTGTGAATTTTGTCATTACTTCATAAACAGATGGCATTGCTGTGCTTGCAAGGACTTTGCTTTCTGCTTAGGTTGTTGTGCATATCGAACATGAACAGTGATTACAAATTGCTCGTTAGATATTCCTTGTAGAAATAGTTGTACATGACCGACACTGTTGATTTGCTGTTGCTCAGGCTGTTGAGCAGCACAGAAAGACAAAAAGAACCAAAAATAGCATTTTTAATCACGATTTCTCATTTTCATTATCATTAAGTCAATTTGTAAAGCCTGTTTTTCTCTTTCTCAAATATCATTAGTGGTGCATCCTAACTGTGTACGCTAATCTGCATGTGTTTGTTTCAGGCGTGTGGTCCTCTGTGGGCTCAGAGTTGTGGAACTCAGTACTTTGTTCCAGGAGTGTGTGCAGAAGTGAGCCCTCTGTTCTCCACTCAACCTGCATTCTCCCCTGCTCTTCAAAGTAGGAATGATCTCTTATCTAACCATCCCTTATTATCCATCTCTCTACCACACATAAACTCTCTTTAAAGGTTCATGATTGGTTTATTTTCAGAAATGGTAGTGGTGAAGTGGTAATTGATTAAATAACTGACTGTCACAGCAAAACTCAGTAACACTGAGATTAATAACTCATCATCACACTGATTTATCAGTCTACTCAGGCTTTAGCAAAACTCAGTAACACTGAGATTAATAACTCATCATCATCATCATGTCTGATCATGTTTGCATGTTTTTAATGCAGAGCGTAGTATTCTAAAAGCTTTTTGCAAACAATGTAAAAAGTAACTGTGTTGTTAATATAAAAATGCAATATGGACTTAATTTCTATATTCTGAAAAAACATATAGCCAATATTTATATTCAGTTTTATCCTAAACCTGTTTAGAAACAGCCCTAAACAAATCCTAGTAAAAAACTAGGGAACTCTGGCTGATGTTAGCTGATTTGATGTTAGCTAAAAGCTGCACTAAATTGACTAGTTACCTGGCTAGTGAACCCAGCTAGCTTAACGTTAGCAAGACAATATAGTTTACAGTCTTCATTTTGCTGCTGACCGCCAGGTATTGAAGTTGATTCTGGCTGAAATAGTCAACGTTGGTTACAAATGCTAGCCAAGACAAAGAATATTCACCGTTTAGTCTGCCTTTATATTTCTGTTGTGTTTCTGTCTGTCTCTGTTGAATCTACTCTTCTGCTTAGTTGCATTTAGCATATTGCTTTGAATCAAATCTCACAGCAAACACTCACAGTTTTCTTTTAGGGGAGGTCACTGGGACATTGTTCTGTGTCCAGCAATGCAACTTGGTAAATCTTTGTGATCTATTCCATTCCCTCCAGCGTGTGGTGGTCCAATGGACATTGCTTTTGTTGTGGATGGGTCTAACAGTATATATCCATGGGAACCTGTTGTAGCTTTTCTTAAGAAGGTGTTGGAGAATCTTGATATTGGACCACAAAAAACACAGGCGAGTAACAACTGACTGGTTTCTGGTTAAGGTTCACTGAAAGTTCCTTTTTACATTCATTTTGTGACTTTGATTTTCTTCTGATTTCATGTTGGAGCAGGTCAGCATTGTTCAGTATGGTTCTGATCCCAGGTTCGAGTTCTATCTGAAAACTCATCAAACAAAACAGGCCATGATTGCAGCAGCTTCAAAAATTTCCCAGAAGGGTGGATTGGAGACAAATACTTTCGGGGCCATCAACTTCGCCAGGTAGGAATGACCCCCTACATTTTCAGCCGAGTCTCTTTGGAGTAAGCAGCAGTTACTGCTAATAGTTCAAGTTAAAGTAGATTTGTTAAAGCAATGCATGTGTGCATTACAGGACAAATGCCTTTTTAACTTCAAACGGAGGCCGCCCAGGTGCCAGTAAAGTGATGGTGGTGGTGACAGATGGGGAGTCTCACGATAATTCCCTGAGAGACAAAGTCATTAACGAGTGCAGCAAAGATGGTATCACTCGCTTTGGCATTGCTGTGAGTAAAACAGAACCTAAGAACACAACAGGATACAAAATGACCTAACTGTGAACATGCTATGCATATTTTTAACCCATGAAAAAAAGACCTCCTGATTTCCTGCACTTCAGATCCTCGTGTTAAAACATAATATAAGTGATACAAAGTAATATAAGCAGAACATACAGAAACACAAAACACAGTTTTTGAGTGATCATTTCATTTAATGAGGGAAAAAAGTTTTGCAAGACCTAAATTACCAAAACTGCAAACAAATGCTTTGTATCATTGGAGATCCTTTTTGGCAGAACTGCTTAAATTCAGCCACCCCAAAGGGCTTTCAAGCATGAGCTGCCTGTTTAAGGTCCTACCACAGCAATTCAACACGGTTAAAGTCAGGACTTTGAAAAGGGGACTCCTAAATGATTAATTTAATCACTAAAGGGGCAGTTACTTTTTCATACAGGGCCAGTTGTTGATGGATAACATTTTTCCTTCAGTAACTAAAATTTATTAAAGGAAAAATGAAAATAAAAACTGTATTTTGTGTTTACTCAGGTTGAATTTTTTATATCAAGTGTAACAAAAAAATGCAAAAATAGACAAAATCAAGGGGGGGCAAAGACTTTTTCATGGGACTGTACCTTGCAGGGTAATGGAAGGTTTTGAGTACATTTCAGATGGAACCACAGTTGTGCTGAAGCGCATGCTCTCATTTTATTTGACTTTTTTATGTTTCCATTTGATTCTATTATACTTCAAAATATTGACTAGATTTAAAATGAAGTCACTTCCCAGTGGGAGGGGGTGTTGGGGGGCTTATATTTTTGCCGTTTTGCCCACCCTATGAGCTTTCATGAGCTTTTTCTGATTTCTTATTATGTTTAGGTGCTTGGTTATTACACAAGGAATAATATTGATACCACAAAGCTCATTGCGGAGATCAAGTCAATAGCCAGCATTCCAACAGAGAAGTATTATTTCAATGTGTCTGATGAGGTTGCTCTCTCAGAAATCGCTGGCACTCTCGGAGATCGAATCTTCAACATTGAAGGTACGTGAGTACTTTTATAAAGTGCTTTTCTATTGTGACAAAACCCCTTTCTTTGCAACAAAGCCAAAGGCTGTGCATTTTTACTCCTTTGCAAAGCTTTCTGGCATTTTGGGCCAGCTTTGGGCCAAAATAGTTGGAAACAAAAACTGTCAAATCATAATTATTTAGGCAAAAACTGCTCTTCATACCAAGAAAGCCACTTTGATGAACATGAAGTGTGAAATGAGTGTTGAAGATTAATATACCCAGAGGATTAGCATGTAGCATGTTTTATGCTAACCAAAGCTTTGCTGGTATTTTATCTTAATTCATTGAAAATGAACAGCAGCAAAATTTCAAAAGTAGGAGGCTTAACAATGTATATTCACTGGATTCGGCTTCTGTTTTTTTTTGTTTTTTTGTTTTTTTCACAGGAACAGGCAAAGGTGGTGAATTCCAAATGGAGATGTCTCAAGTCGGGTTCAGTGCGCACCAGACCAAAAATCAGGTGCTCAGTCCATGATGTTACCACCAACATTTTCTGACTTTTTTCATCACTAGCGACCTTTTTTTTTTACCCTCAAGACTCCTCTGTTCTATCTTTGCAGGATGTGCTGATGCTGGGTGCTGTTGGGGCATATGGATGGAGTGGAACGGTTGTTCATAAAAGTGCTCAGAAATCAGAAATTTTCCCCAAACAAGCTTTTGAGAGAATCCTGGAAGACAAAAACCACAGTTCTCTACTAGGTGAGCATCATTTCCATAAATACTAAAGGGGCAGGGAGGAAATCGCTCTATGGTCTGTAGTATCAATCCCCCTAAAGGCTTTATTAATCCCCCCATTATAGATACTAACACAATTTCAACCTAACCTCAGCTTCCATCAACACGACACAGACAGACTTGACATCTATTTATTCATAATGCAACTCATCCTCACGTCCTCATATTCATTATTGATAATTCTAAAATTATATACGTAGTCTAACATGAACATTTAGGTTAATGTTAGATGTTATTGGGTGGAGTGTTGTACCTTGAGATCATCACACTTTGAGACATGAACATAGTGAGAAAACAAGCTAATTACATTGACTTTTTTTGTTAACTAAAAGTCAGTTTTACATCAGTGGGGTCTTTGTTTTAGTTTAATTCTTTGCACTGGGGCATATCAGATCCTAGTCTCGCCACTGGTGAGCATGCTTGTGTTATTGAGCAGTAACAAAAGAACATGATGCCGTATTAATCACAGCAGATTAGTGAATTGCAAATGTTGATTTTTCCTTCCATCCCTTTTTAAATAGTTTATTACTGGGAACTTTGATTATACTGGCACTGTGGTACTAATATTTTAGTTTTTATACCCTTTTTAAATGTGACGCTACTGTTGTTGCTGCTGACTTGACTGATGAAAAACTGTGATACATATCGTTTATTCATCATCTAAACCACTTATCCTACTGGAGGTGCTGAAGCCTATCCCAGTGCTCATTGGGAGGAAGGCAAGAAACACTCTGAACAGGTTACCAGTCCATCACAGGGCAGACACACAGACATACACAGTCATTTACTCACACCTAGGGGCAATTTACTGTCTCTAGTTAGCCTGACTGCATGTCTTTGGACTGTGGGAGGAAACCGGAAACCCATGCAAACACAGAGAGAACATGCAAACTCCACACAGAAAGGACCCTGGGTTCCTGGCTGGGAATTGAACCCAAGCCCTTCCTGCAGTAAGGCAACAGCGCCACCCACTGCAACTACCCATGCTACCCTGATACATATCCACCCTCACATAAATAGGCTCTCACATCCACTATTTCTTTTCTCACACACGTTGTCACTCATCCTTCCAGCCTCCCAGAATCCCTTGGGAGATCATGTGACCTCATCGTTCAACCAATCATCGCTCCAATGCTCCCGAATACTGATCTGTTCCACCTGTGTTACCTGTCATATGACTTTCCTAGTTTAGTATATAAGCCCAGGCTTTAGAGTGGTATAGTTGCAAGGTAATGTTTCTCCTGTAGAACTACTGAATTTTTTCTGGTTTTCTGATCACTGCCTTTTGTCTTTGCCCTTCTGGTTATGTTTGTGCTGTTGTGCGTTTTTGCTATTTTGGAGGTTTTTTTCACATTATGTGAAGATTTTTAGATGAAAATATTTTTACATTCATTTTTATTACAAGAAAAAAGTTTTTTTTTCCCTTTTCCTGATATGTTACCATTGTAAACACAGTGTTTTTTCTGACAGTTTCTTTCTGTGCGGCCCAAAACGTGCTCTATACAATGAAATTTATGAGCATTTAAACAGTGCAACTCAAAGTTCCTGTGAAACCTAGTGTTAACACTGTGGTTGCTGATGTGTCTTGAGAAGATCTGCTCAGATCACACTGGAAGTCTCATTAATGTGTTTGTGGCTGTGGGGTCTTGCTGTTTCCAAAAAGTGCCAACCTGTAAACTACTATGTAGAGAAGCACTTGAGTGCAGTTAGTAAAATCTGTAATACATTAGTATGTCTGAAAATATCAGTCATAAATCAGTTAGCAACTTATAAAGAAAGGAGGAGACAGGAAACATTGCACAAAGCATTGTCACTAGAAATTTATAGGGGGCTAAGCCTTTCATGGGGGGGTTGGTCTTTGGCAGAGCTGCTGATTCCCTAAGAAATATCATAAAAGACTGAGGAACTAAGATATAAAATGCATTCATATCAACATTGTGTGACCGTAAATATAACAAATATAAAAAAAATACAAATATTAAGTTAGCTATCATTAAGTTAGCTTGTCATTAAGTTAGCTATCTAACAAGGAGGTAATAACTGGTGCCAACCCTAGCTGCATTGATCACATTATATTAAAACCCCGTTTCCAAAAAAGTTGGGACACTGTGCAAAATGTAAATAAAAATAAAATTCAATGATGTGCAAATCATTTAAACTCTATATTTTATTGAAAACAGTATAAAGACTACAAATCAAATGTTAAAACTGAGAAATTTTATTGTTTTTTGAAAAATATATGCCCATTTTGTAATTATGTTAATTTGAAAAAAAAACTGTAATTATGTAATTATGTTTTGCTCTGTATATGATGTATTCCGAACAAGGCCTGATATATCTAAGATTTTAGCCCACATTTAGCCACACATTCCTATATGGCCGTGACGTAACTGTCCTGTTCCCTTACCTTACTAAACTGTGTGCATTAGAATCATTAATAAGTTGTGGCCATCAGCTAGGATCCACCTCTTGCCACAATAGAAGCATGGACAAAAGTAGTGGGTTTAGTGGGGCATGACGATTGGTTGCTGGGGCATTGCTCCACTAAATGACTCCCTGATGCCAGGCTTGGATAAAGCCTCACTAAAACTGGTCTGGCATAAAGGGGCTTTTCTTTCATTCTTTGCTAATTGGCATTTTTGCTGAAAGAATATGTTTAGCCAAATGATAATCTAAATGGTGTTCCATTATTTATGTATGCCATTCTTTAATCAATGTACAGTTCATGTGCATATGTAAGTGTATGGTTCTGTGTTCAGGATACTCGGTGACCACGCTAAATGATGGTTCCTCTGAGTTCTACGTGGCTGGTGCTCCTCGTTCCAACCACACAGGCCAGGTTGTAGTGTACACACTCAACAGCCAGAGACAACCCAACATTATCGACTCACAGAGGGGGGATCAGGTACTTCATACATTACATCTTAAAGTTCCAGGCCTATTAACCCTTTTTTCTTCACTAATTCCACTTCTTTCAATACAAATCATCAGAAAATAGGAAAGAAATGCTTAGAACATCAGTAATCCAAATACTGATTGTGTATATTCAGTAAGTAGCATAAAACGGATATGATATGTAGTTATGATAGTGAGCATATATGGGGCTAATTGTAGAAAAATTTAATAACTCGGATTTCTTTGCTGTGGTGGTGATAGGAGCCAGGGGTCCTGATGACTACAACACAAACATAGCCATTTTATTTACTATCCAAAAAGATCAGTGAACCTACAAGTGTATTCTGAATTTGTATATGCAATATTAATAATGGTAAAATAGTAGTACATCTGAAAAAAAAATTGTTTTCTTTGAGGACTATTTTGCCTGCATAAAATACATTTTAGGCCAAAACCTTGTTGTACAGTTATTATAAATCAATGACATGTAGTTTGTTTGTAACCAGTTCATCTAATAGCTTTCTGTAAAGAAGGTTTTTGAGCTATTAAACTCTTCAGACATCTGGTTCACCACTACTAAGAACAACCCTGACTCTGAGTGTCTCTAGAACGGAGCATTTCATGCTAAACCACTCTGAATGACTTTATTTACATCTTGATCATTTCATTATGCAGAAATTTTGAAAAAACAGTGGAGTTCCCCTTTAATGTTATATAATGGTTAGATTAAATGTCGTAATACAATACTTTTATAATACAAGCAGTAATACAAGGGTGTCCAAACTTTTTCACAGGGGGCCAAATCGGATTACATCATCATACCTGAGGGCCATAATACCATACAATAATTGTAGTTCAAACAAAAAAAGTGCACAAACAAGCTGACTTGTTCATTTTCATTCAGCTTAATGCAATAAGTGCAAACAATATTAATTGTAAATGAAAAATACATCTTAAAATCATTTTGGATGATTTGTCTTTAAAACTTGTAGCATTAGACATTATAAACAAGTGTATTTACTTGGCTGCTGTAGTCAATGTATAACTACAGTTTAGCTAGCTAACAGTGTGGTGCAGTACAGTTGTATAGTAGTACAGTAGTATGCAGTAGTGCAGCATTAGGTTAAAAGATAACCACCTATAATTCATTCCAAAGGAGCTACGGGCCAATTAAAATTGATTTTAGCCCAGGGGCCTGACCTAAGACATGCCTGAAGTCATATGATAAAAGGCATAATGACTGCACCTCTGTTTTGCAGATTGGCTCATACTTTGGCAGTGTGCTTTGTCCTCTGGATGTGGATCGTGATGGTGTTACTGACCTTCTGCTGGTCGGAGCCCCAATGTACATGAGTGATCAGAAGAAAGAGACTGGCAAAGTCTACATCTACTCCATTACAAAAGTAAGCCGCTCATCCAGAGCAAACAGTGTGGCGAACTTTGAAGTTTCAGAAACTGAAGTATTAGTTTCAAATCCTGCCCAGATGTGTGATTTCTTACAAGGTCTGCTTTTATTTTGGGTCTTCAGGGTATTTTGAGCAGCCAGGGATTCCTGGAGGGTTCCTCTCCACTGGAGAATGCTCGTTTTGGGATGGCCATTACTGCTGTTCCTGACCTCAACCTGGACGGCTTCACTGATGTGGTAGTCGGAGCTCCACTGGAGGAGAACGACCAGGGAGCCATTTACATCTACAATGGAGACCAAAAAACCATCAGGAAGCAGAGCTCACAGGTAGAACTAAACTTGAACTTTATCCAGTCAAACAGACATAAATCGTATGGTGTAAAAGCACCTGAGGTCACTTTCCCTTTTTTAATCATTTTTTAACACCTTCCAGAAAATTCTTGCCTCGAAACTGGACCCTTCCTTAAAGTTCTTTGGGCGTTCTTTAGACGGTAGTGCAGATCTGAATGATGACTCACTCCCAGATGTCTCAGTGGGGGGCTATGGGAAGGTCCTGCAGCTCTGGTAAGTCTCACTGGTGCAGTAAATCTTATCATGCCTTGGCGCCACATGTTTATTAGTGGGGAGGTGGTGAAGAACTGATAAGAACTTTAACCAATGAAGCTTCAGTTGCATTCACGTTTTTAAGGCTGTCAAACCCTCTGTTACATGTCAGCTGCGTCTCATAACAATTTGCTGTCTTCACCTAGGAGGAGGCTTACTTATTTTTGTGTGTTAATTGATGTGTATTGATAGAAAACAGCTGTGCTGGACTAGCTGGACTGGCTGGGGTACTGCTACAGCTGGGCCTGGACATTTTCCACCAAGGATAACGTAGTTTCTTGGAAGGCCAAGACTGTATGTGACTAATCAAGAGTGTAGTAGGTGTAAGGCTGGCTTTCCACGGTGAAACTTGCATGCAACAAGTTGCATGTTGTGAGCTTGACAGTTACATAAAGCAATTCAAAAACAAATCAAAAGTACACGCAGCACATTCCATTAGTCCACTAAACAACCAAAGTAGCAGCTGATATTTTTGATACACTGTATTATTTTGATATATATAACTGCGATATGTTACTTACATACACATGTATGGTGTAACTCCTCAGGAGGAGGAAAACATTCTTAACTTTGAATTGAAGTCAAACAAAAGCAGGATTTTAGTTTCTTTTTCAACCATCCAACAAATCATCTTTTGTTTATGTGTCCATTTATCTAGTGAAATCAGTCGTTTGAACCAATGTCACTTGACAGTGTTGAACAGAAGCGCAATGCATTATTGGTGTTTTAATTGGCTATTTCATTAAATCTGATTTGCAAAGTTTGCAAGACGTTTGCAACTGTTGCAGCCAAGTTTCAAGTGAATTGCAGGACGCTTTACATTCTCCAACTCAAGTACAATTTAGTTTTATGTTTTTAATTTTAATTTTAATTTTAAGTTTTTATGTAAATGTTTGGAAATGTTGAAACTGTTCTGTTTTTTTGCTTATAACGTGTTATTCTCATGCAAAAAGTTAGGTTGGAATGCATTTTGTTATTTTAAACGTGAGGATGTTTAATGTTTAGTTTCACCAATTCAGCCTATATCACTGTTATATAGTTAAAGAGGAAGTGGTATATACAGGACTCCCAAGTGGCACAAACTTCTAAGGCAGGAGTGTTAAACTGGGTTCCTTCTAGGCCACAACTCTGCAGAGTTTAATGTTCTGCCTCATTCAACATATCTGATTCAACTCATCAGATAAGGCAGACCTTCATGACTTGACTTCCCAGAGTTGGAAGAGGAAAAACGCTAATCTCTGCAGAGCTGTGACCTGCAAGGAACCCAGTTTGATACTCCTAGCGTAGGGTTAAAAATTAAATAAAGTAATCACCAGCACATAATTAGTCATTTTTACCAAAACCATGGGTTGTCCAGAGAATCCGCCCATATCTGTTTATATGATAAAGCTACAACTGACCTGTAATGTTGTAATTGTTTATATAATATGTGCTTTCAGGTCTAGGGGAGTTGCAGTTGTGACTTCCAAGGTTACATTCACCCCAGACAGGATCAGCATTCTGAGTAAGCCCTGTAGCTTCAGTGGGAGAATGGTGTTCTGTTTCACTGCTAAAGTCTGTTTCAGCGCAGCATTCAGACCAACAAACTCAGTGGGACCAGCAGGTAAATCTACCGCACTGAAAAAAGAAAGAATAGTGGAAATATCTTGAATGTAGACAGTATAGACTTTCGTCGTCCTTTTTAACAAATGAACCAATAGAAACAATCCGAAATTATTTGGAATGCCTTAAAGTTTAAACAATTCTCTTCTCAGGAAGTGTTCTTACCTACACATGAGTTTATTCAGTACATTTTGAAATATTTTGACACCACTTTTACAAGTAAAGTTACCAAGTAACCATTTAAAGCCCAATTTAAGCATTCTTGTCTGATGCATTATTTTCCAAATAGCAAATATGTGCCAGCAAGCCATTTGATTCTGTGAAAAATCATGTTAAAACATCCATGATTTATATATTATTTTTTTAATCAGAGATCAAATACAACCTGACGCTGGACGCTGACCTGCAGTCGTCTCGAGTCAGTTCCAGAGGTCAGTTCAGCAACTCGGACCGAGTCATCCAGCAGGACATCAGTGTGTCCACGAAGGAGACGTGTGAGGATCATCAGGTTTACGTGCAGGAGGCTCCTGACCTGGTAAACTCCATCGCACTTCGCGTTGACATCAGACTGCGGCACCCAGACGCCTATCCAGTTCTGGACGCGTTTAGTCCCACTGCGTGGGAGTTCTTTGTGAGTGTTCTAAAAGGCAAATATCTGGGAGTTTGAGGTTTTGGGCTGAAATTGAGTCATAATTTATTTGTTTCTTATGGTTCAGATCCCGTTTTCTAAGGACTGCGGTTCTGATGAAGTGTGTTACAGCGACTTGGTGTTGAGCGTAGAGAGAGAGCCAAAGGCTGGGTAAGACTAATTCACTTGATATAATAAGGTACTTCTTTGTATATTCCTAATAGGGCTGTCAAATGATTTAAAATAAATGAATAAATCATGTATAAGAATCATTCTATGGAAACGTCAATTTTTGTGTCCCTAGCGTTTACAGATTCATTACACTTGAAAAACATGTTAGGGTTACAATTTATTTATATTTTAAAATAAAACGATAAGTTATTTTAACAATTTCAACTTCCTGAGCCATCAATTTAGCAATATTGGTTTTAAATCAATTTTAAAGAATTCCAAGAAGCACAGAAGTGCTCGTCACAGTCATGTGTAAAGGGCGAGTGCCGTATTTGGAGGTAAAAAACATGGTTTTCTGCAATTTTTGCTGCAATAATCCATACATTACTATGAAATATATGAATTAAATGACAAAGAAAACAAATTGCAAATAAATATTATAAAATACATAATGTAAGTTGTGGTCCCCAGCAGTCGGGTCACTGGTGTTACTGCATAACAAAAAATCTCTTATTTTGAAATAAAAATTACACTGATAACATCACATGACTTCCTTTTACCTATCTTCTGAAGATCTATAAAAAACGCACATGGTAAGTCCACTGTGTCTTTTCAGTTATCAGAAATTTTCTCATTTCGCTCATGATTTCATTTGAAGCTTTTAGTTGAAGTCACTGACCTACTTATGGATTAAAATAAATATTTTAGTGGATATTCCATGACTGACAACATGTGGTTTGATGCTCTATAGCAGTCATTCTGTGAAATGCCTTTTTTCATTAAAAATGTCTCTGGTGTTACTGTCTCTGGTGTTACCTTTCTTATGTGTAACATCAATGACGATCAGTAACACCAATGACTCCTATGGATAGATGGAAAAGTGGACGTTTCTGTATAACATGATTTTTTGTTGTGGAGTTAATCACAGTGAATCGCATTTGTCTTGTTTGCCCAAATTTGACCATAAAGCATTTTGTAATTCACTTACATTTTAATATAACTTTGGTTTAATCAAGAGAGACGTCATTGGAACTTGCCATTTAAACACATATATAATCTGTATTTGAATAAGAGGACTACAATCGCAGATTCTGTCATAGCAACATGTAGCACACTGCAGCTGGGAACTATGAATGCTTAGAAGAGGCAAACTACAAAAACACGAAGTAAAAAAGATAAAAATGTGGCATCAATCGTTTATCATGTTAAAGGTGTTATTAACACATTAACTTTGGCAGCACTATTGATAATACAGTCAGAGACATCACTGTTACAGATTGAAATAGTGTAGTGAAATGAAGCTCACTCAGATTTACAAAGCATGTACAATTGTATGCAAAAGTTTGGGCACCTCTGGTTAAATTACATTTTATGTACATTTAATTACAAGTTATGTTTAGTTGAAGTGAAAATAAGTGAACATCCTCTGCACATTTTAATGCACAATCACTGTTTTTGTCCTGAATTCAACACTTTCAAAATAAAGAAACTGTTTTTTTTTTCCCAATATGTTAAACTCAGCAAATAAACAGAAACTGTGCAGTAAAATTGCAGAAAAATATTTAAGTGTGTTCTCTGAGGAGGATGTGAACTATTTTCACTTAAAATGTCGATAAAATATGTAATTTACCCAGGGGTGGGTTGGGGCAATCAAGCGTTTTCATACATTTGTCTTCATGTACAAATCATAAACAAAGTGACTGGCAGATGTTGTGACCACTTTTGTAAATGCTGTTTGTGTTTCTGTCGCATCAATCATAAGCACTCGCAAGTTAATTCAACTTAAAGAAACCTAGACCTTATTGGTCTAATGGTGGGGTCACACCTGTTGTGTGTGAAGTGGGGAAAAACATCTTAAAAATGTATGTATTCTTCAGACTACATGAGGTTGTGCTGCACTGACTGTAGACATAATAGTACATGCGAACAGAGCAGCACCAGCACTACACAGTCCTAAGCCGTCCCTCTTAAATCTTTTATTAGTCAAGCTCTGTTTTACTGTCAGTAAAGTGCTGTTGTTTATATTGTGCAGTTCATTTCTGGTGACCCAAAAGGCCAAAAGACTTTCCTTCACTGTGACGGTGATGAACAGAAAGGAGAACGCCTACAACACAAGAGTCTCTGCACACTACTCCAGCAACCTTTTCTACTCCTCTGTTACACCACCTGTATGTATGACCAAAATCCAGCCTTTTTTACCATATTTTATCAGGATTAATATTATATTCTCACTACACTGTAAACAGTTTACTTTTGAACAAATATGTAATGTAATGAATAGTAATAAATAGTTATAAATATAAGCAGGTTTTTAATATCACAAATATTAACTTTTGGTCCTGAACTTGTGAATTTATGTAAAGCTTTACCCTCGGAATAACAAGTTAGTAGACCTAACTTGAAACAAATTATTTTACTTAGTTAAGTGAAGAAATCAGTTTCCCAGTGTGTTTTTTTTTTCACACAAACGCAACATTTAGCGCTGTGACACACTGTAAATGTAAAACACTCCTATACATTATGTATAATCCTTCCCACATAATATTTGTTTACATTTTCACAATGTTATATGGACAGAAATGCATCAACTCGTGTCTATGACCCTTAAGGTGTGTGAGTAGCCACATGTTTTTCTGCTTTTCAGACCGATGGTACAGAGGTCAAGTGCACCTCAGCCAAAGATACAGAAGTGCTGACATGTCAAGTGGGCTACCCGGCCATCAGAACTGACCAATCGGTGAGTTATTTAGTAATCAATATATTTAGTATTCAGTACTGTGCAAAAGTCTGAGACCATCCTTATTTAATTTCTAGTAAAAAAAAGATCACGTACAGTTTATTCATTTCTCAAGAGATATTGCTGAGATTAGATATAAGATAATCCACCTGCATAAGGGAACTTCAAAATTTTCCATATTTTAAATATATATATATAACTGCATATATCCCAATATACAGTTTGTACAGTAATATAAGTTATGAAATAAAAGCTATGATATGTACAGTTGTACACTTTGCCATATATGCAATTTGTGAGTCTGAGGTAGATAAATGAGATGCAGGGTACAGAGTGGATAGAGTATTGTTGCTACATATATTGCAGATTATACAAAATATGGATAGAAGATGTAGAAGATGCCAATCAATATGTGCAAGTATAGATTTGCTAGATTAAAGTTACAGTAAGAATGAGATGTGGTCACCAACTTTTTACAGTATTGCAAAATTACATTGTTAGCATATTTATATGCTCAAGTATTATATTAGTAATTTTATTCTTACATGTGTATTATGATGAACAAAAAAAAATTATACATGATATGACATTGTAAATATAGAGGATATTATTAATTTGTTACAATTACAGCAGTGATTATAGCAGTAGTTTAGTAGTAACAGTGTTGTGCTTTGATAGAACGTAGGCCATTCCACTGTCACTCTCTATTTCAGGTCACATTTGAGATCCATTTTGAATTTAATTTGGGCCAATTACAAAAAGACGTCCAAGTTCGCTTTGAAGCCCAAAGGTGAGTAAAACACAAACCCATGCTTGTTTGAGCTGTTTAGAGTATCATTTCTCTAGTACAGTATGTTAATTATGAGTAACTCTCTCTCAATACTGCTCCTTACAGTGACAGTACAGAAGAAACTCCAGCTGATAACAAGGAGACGGTGTCCATCCCTGTCCAGTACAGCTCAGAGATCATTCTCAGCAGGTATGATTTCAAACACATTCCATTCCATAATCCACTGAAAAAGGCTACAGCGGAGCTCGACAGTTTGTGAACCCTTTAGAAATTTCTATGTTTCTGCATAAATTTGACAAGCCGTCCAGGCCCAGATGCAGCAAAACAGGCCCAAACCAGGATACTACCACCACCGAGTTTCACAGATGGAATAAGCTTTTCCTTTCTCCAAACATAACGCTTCTCATTTAAACCAAAAAGATCTATTTTGGTCCCATCCGTGCACAAAACATTGTTCCAATGGCCTTCTGGCTTTATCTTTAAAAACTGCAGACGGGCAGCAGTGTTCTTTTTGGAGAGCAGCAGCTTTCTCCTTGCAGCCCTGCCATGCACACCACTGGTGTTCAGTGTTTTCCTGATGGTGGATTCATAAACATTAACATTAGCCGCTGTGAGGCAGGCCTTTAGTTGTTTAGAAGTTACCCTGGGTTCCTTTGTGACCTCACAGACTATTACACACCTTGTTTTTGGTGTGATCTTTGTTGGTTGACCACTCCTAGGGAGCATAACGATGGTCTTGAATTTCCTCCTTTTGTACACAATCTGTCTGACCGTGGATTGGAAGAATTTGACTCTAATTTCACCTGCCTAATCCTGAAGGTTCACATACTTTTGCCACTCACAGATATGTAATATTTGATCGTTTTCCTCAACAAATGAATGACCAAGTCTATTATTTTTGTCTCATTGGTTTAATTTAGTTCTTTGTATCTACTTTTAGGACTTAGGTGTGAAAATCTGATGAAGTTTTAGGTCAAATTTAATATAGAAATAGAAATGTAAAAAATAAAAAAATGCAAAAAAGTGTTCACAAACTTTCAAGCACCACTGTAAGTAAAAAACACACGGTCAAAGGCTCCAGCAGCCCCCACGACCCAGAAGGATAAGCAGCTTAGAAAATGTGTGTGTCTGTGTGTGTACTAAACTCAGAAAATAAACAGTAACTGTGTATTAAAATGTGCAGAGGTGTGTTCTCTGTAAAGGATGTGTTAACTTCACTTAGAAAATCAACACAATGTCATTGTCAATGCATGTACTGGTGCTATTATTGTTTAGGTTATATTTTAGAAAAAATATGCTAACACAGCGACATGTTTGCCTTCTATCGTCAAATATGTCCACCACTGTTTTGTTTTATTTTGCGGTGCTTTTTTGCAGAGATGCAAATATGAATGTTTATCTGCTGGACAATGAGGATGGTGTTACAACCATGATGAAGACATACAGTGACATTGGCCCAGAGTTCAAGTTCAGTCTCAAGGTCAGTCACCACTCCTGCACAGAAGGAATTAAACACAACTACGTTGTAGTATTTAAAAAAAAACTACTGTAAGCAGCAATAAGGGCCCCATTAAAGTGATGATCCACCTTTTTTTAGACTGCACACTGCACAGGTTAGTCTGGTATAGAACAGTACCGTAATGCTCCCATTTCCTCTCTGTGGTGTCACCCCCTGCAGGTGTCCGGAGGAATTTTCCCCGTCAGTCTGGTCTATCTCGATGTGTCGCTGCCCAGCCGCACTAAAGCAGGAAATCCTCTGATCTACATCACCTCAGTCACCACTGCACCTGTGAGCACACACAATGCTTCTCAAAATAATAATGTAATATATATCAGACACAGTTCATACACTGTGATATACTAAAAGTTTGGAATCGCTTGTCATAGAATAACTGTTTTCAGTAATATCATATACAGTGTAGATTGAAAAATAGTAAATGTTATTCAATATTAAACTGTAAGTATCAATTCATAGTAATTTTCTGATATAAAATTTCTATGAATGGCTATTTCATCTGCAAGATATTATTAGTGCTTTTCAAATATATTGATCAATATAGTTCATTCTCCATACAACTTTCTCAGTTATTATGGAATCATCTACAGCTCCATTCATCAAATTTCTTCCTTTCTTTCTTATTTTATATATAATATTTCACGCTTTTGAATGGGATCAGCTGCAAGATAAATAGGAAAATATCTGAATTTCTAAATTAATGAAGTGATTATCTAATGTTTTTCATTTTGTATTTAACAGGCTGGTGATGTGCAGTGTGAGACCAGCACACTGACTGACCCCTTAAAGATCAAAGAGAAAGCATACACAGCCACGTTTACTAAGGAGAGCTTCAGAGGAACTACTGAACTGGTCAGTTTGTGTGTGTGTGCATACCTTCTAATGCAGTTGATGCCACGTTTGCATGGAGCTTGGAAAAGACTACATTTGAATTAAAATCATTCACATTAATAATAAAGCTGCAAACAGCAAACTGCGGGGTCCAAGCACTATTTCATAAGCAGGCAGAACTTTGCAAATACTGTTATAGTGCACCCTGTTATCTGTGTCCACCAATCTTTGAAGGCTGTTTCAAAATGACAATAGGAAAAAAGCATTCCTTTTGATGTCCTGCAGGAATGAAAATGACTATAAATCAAAACAGCTGATAGACTCTGCACTCCAGCTAAATACAGATATAGGTAATTTGATAAAAATCAATTTTTGTTTCTCCGTTGTAAACAGAGCAAGACATGTTTTGATTACAGAAATCTGGGACATGATAATAAAACAATTATAAAACTAATGCCTGTTTTGGCAGTGACAATTTTAGATAATTTTGCGCAGAACTCAAAAACACTAGCCAGTACATAATTAGCAAATACAGCTTTGAACAGCTGTAAAAAACAAATCTAAGCGTAAAACCTAGTATTTTTCATTAAAACACTACAACTTTGATTAATTGCAGAAAATGTGTTTCAGGAGTGACAATTCTTAAGGTTCACCATTGATTTTCAGACTTTCTGACAATTATTTCAAAAGAAAAGGATCTAACTGCTCACCACGTGGCCATGAGGGACAGGGATGCAGTCTCTCTTCCTGCTGTAGAATGCAGGGGCATTTGAACTACAACTTGTGTTTCAGTAGTGATATGAAAACATAAAACAGTATTTTAATTTAAAAATTAAATCTTTCAACTTCACTTTAAAAGAAATCATAAAGATCTTTAAAAAACAAACCTGAAAATAGTATTATTTTCACAAGTGTAAATTTAGCGGTTAAGGTTTCACAAAGCCACCTCCCAAAAGAAAGTACCCTGTAAGTGATGATGTTGTATATATTTAGTTTATTACTATCTTTATTAATGCATTAGGTTTAAATAGATCATAACAAATGCCTTGTAATGTGTAAGGTCTGAACTTAATTGTTTTTCTTAATAGTTTTTTTCTGTAAAACCACTCTTTGAACTAATACTGTAGAATGGTCCATAATTATGTGTGAAGTTTGGTCACGATCAGACAATGTAGAGGTAAGCTACTGAGTCGGACAACCCTAGCCACAGTGACTGGTGTGCTACAGTCATACAGAATTCATGCTTGGGCCCCTGTTTATAATATTCTCAAACTAGAAATATATGAAATATGAAATTTCACTGAACATCTAACATTACACGTACTGTCTCAATTTGCTGATTATTATCTACATATTATCCACAGAACTGCAAGACTGCAACCTGTGAAACGATGAAGTGTGTGCTGAAAGATGTGAACCCGAAGAGTGATTACTGCGTGAATGTGACGGCGTGGATATGGAACGGCACGTTTGCGATGGTTAGCTAAGCTGTAGTTCTCATAAAGCCACACTGTCTTCTGCTACTTGACTACATGTATTTGCTTTTAAGGGGCCCATAGCATGGAAAACAGGATCTCTCTTTTTTAAATAAAGGTGTTTGAAGTAATATGTAAACATTGTTAATGTTTCAAAATGTACTATTCACTCCACAGTCCATATAAGAAAATACGCTGTAAAAACAGCCCATTTTCAATTCATTGTTTCTATGATGTCACAAGAACCAACTCATTTACATATATCCATGTATTCAACCTTCAGCTGTTTAGCTCCGCTCATTCACTGTGAAGTTATACGAAGTGTTTCAGCTCTTTGTGCTTTTTGAATAAAGCACAATGTAGGACAGCCAATCAAAACAGAGCTCATTTACATATTACTCTTAAAGGCATAATAACCAAGCCAGCTTTTTTAATTCTAAGGAATAAAGAGAAGTTGGAAATGGTCATGTAAAAATGTAAAAAAGAATTACGAACATTTTTGGTATACAAAACCAAACACATTTTATAAGTGGACCTCAAGGGAAAAAATATAAGAATATTAGATGTAGGATATAGGCCCTTTCTCCACTTGGGCATCATATCAGTACAATGATCTCATCCATAAGCATCATATCAGTACAAAGATAATGTGATGTTTAATGGACTACAACAATAATTGTGTTTTATCAGGGTTCTAATATTTAATATCTCTGTCTATTCATTTGAAAGGGATAGCAGAGCTTTGTTTTCCCTCTGGCTTTAGAGAAAATAATTATACCACTATGTCTCTCATCCTCATTCTGTCTCTCTCTGCTTAATCTGTGCAGGCTGATTTCCAGTCAGTGGTGCTGCCTGTGAACGCTCAGATCGAGACATCTCAGCCTGATCTACTCGTCATCACCCACAAACAAGCACAGGTACTAAATACTAATAATCAAAACTGCTGCTACGCTTTTATAACTCCATCAATGATTTGACATCATCTTCAGACTTTTTAACTGCAGCTCAATATGCTGTATATCAAGGGTGTAATGGCACACATATTTTCAGATTTGAGATTATTTTTGACTCAGAGGTAAAGATTTCATTATCTTCTCGATATTTTATATGCTAAAAAAGTCTTCATTCAAAACAGCTTTTGTTTGGCTTACTACAGAGATTATTTTGTCTTAGATAAATAAAGGTAGAACTGAAGCAAAACTTCAAGACCTGCTGTGCTGCCCTCTAACAAAAGAAACCACAAGAAACACAACCTTTAGAAAAGAGGTTCCCGCCCACTTTACTGTAATAGGATGCACCCTGATGTCTAGTTTTGATTGCTGACAGTGATGAAAGACGCTTAAAAGAGACAGAGAGATACTGACAACAAAGGTTTAAATTTAGATACACTGTTTTGAATGTAATTTTGTTTAAAAATTTCAATACTGTATTAAAATCATTAAACTCTTACCCCTCATTACACTGTATGATTAACAATGACCACTTAATAATACACCATAAGGCAAAGCACTAGACAGGTCTGTTGGGCGTCTAACATTATTTTGGCATAACAGACAGTATTCTTTGTAGTGGATCCCATCCACTATGGAACTGTACTCTTCATAGCAAACATTCAGCTAAATCAGGAGGCGTCCTGGAGGGCCGATTTCCTTTGGTGATTTTCCTGCTCAAACACAGCTGATTCAACTCATCGGTTCATTGCCAGGTTTAGATGAAGTGTTGGAACAGGGATAAACACCTGACTGTGCTGGACTCCGGCCCCCAGTTCCCCATGCCTGAGCTAAATTGTGTTGTCTCAACTTCAACTCCACTTTCTACCGCAGGTTGCTGTTACTGTAAGTAAACCCGGAGCCAAAGCAGACGTCCCTGTTGGCGTTATTGTGGGCAGCATCATTGGAGGATTACTCCTACTGGCTCTTGCTGTTGCAGCACTTTGGAAGGTATGATTGTCTCTGTTGTTCAAACAAACCAACTTTTAGCCTGTCGCCACCAAAAAACACTGGCTGCAAACGTCTTTGTGAGAAATGAGGTAATTCATGCAGTTTTTGGAGACTTGCTTTTGTTCATAAATGTTCCCTTGATTGACAAAAATAATCTCTGGGCTGCAAAAAACTTTCTTAGGAAGTGGAAGCATCTTAAATGTAGACAACATATCCAATATTTCTTGTTCTTGACATTGATATATAAGATTTTTAAACATATTTCTAGATACTTACTTAATTTAAGATGACTTAACTGAATGTATATCTTGAAACAGGCAAAATTATCTGGCTGTGCAGTAAGCTGATTTCACGGAAATAAGTAAAATAGCATCAAGAAATATGCTGAATAATCTTATAATATTCTTTCAACGATCTCATAAAGTAGAACATTTTATGTACTGCCTACATTTAAGATGATTTCACTTGCCTATTTACTATTTTTGCACTGCAGTAGATTTAAATGCCTTTTTTGTGATCTCTCCAGGTGGGATTCTTTAAGAGAAAATACCAGCAATTGCAGAAGAATGACGACAGCCCAGAAACAGAAGGACTGCAGGGGAGTGCAGCACAACCTTGAGACAAAAACTGATCTTGGAGCAGTCCAAAGACTGCAGGCCAGAAATGCCTGAGCCAAAAATCCAAAGACCCAGAGACGCAGATCAACACAAGCAACATTAATCTCACCAATGCACACCCATTCACCAGCATAAAAAACAATTTCAGAACCAGCATGGCTTCCAAAAAGATCTTTAGACCTGCCATGTCCAAAAAAAAAGACAGTCCAAAAGAGCTTCACTGGGAGCAACAGGAAAGGTGTTAACAGCTTCAGCAACACAGGCCTAAAGAGCTTCACCACCAGTAAGACTGTCCTACAGATCTTCACCAGCAACAGAACAGGCCTAAAGAGCCTTACCAGTATGAGGATAAACCAAAAGAGCTTCACTGGAACCAGCAGGACAGGCCTAAACAGCCTCACTACCTGCAAGACAGGCCTGAACTTCAACTTCATGTGAAGGAAAACAGGCATAAAGAGCTTAATGAGCAGCACAAGCCTCAAGAGCTTCAACAAAACCAGCAAGACTATCCTAGAGATCTTTACTGGCAGCAAGAAAGGCCTGAAGAGCTGATATTATGTGCCCTAACAGGCGTAGAACATGGCGCAATCTTGTGTGTGACCTGTGAATTGGTTTGAGTGAGGCAAGCAGAGCGTTTGAATACCACAAGGGGCAAACAAAGGAACTGTTGTGCCGACTTGGAAAATTCACCCTTCCGCTGTTTTTTCACGCCTGCTTTAATCAGTCTGTAGAATCTTTCGTTTGGGGGATTTTTCACTCAGCATTACTATCCTTGAATCTGACCAGCGATAGCACAAGAAATAGGGAAACACAGAAATGTTGCAGCTAATCCATTTCCTGCCCCTTTTCTTCTTTATCCTTATTTTTAAATACTGTAAATATTGTTAAATGACAGCACAAAAAAATGCAAATGACCAAGAGATCTGCCAACCACTGCGTTGGCAGTTTCTTGTGTCAACAATTTCCTAAGTCGCATATGGTGAAATGCCACTAAACACAGTAAGGAGAACTTACAGGGTTTATGGTTTATTTACTTGAATGGATACTCATTAACATTCCAAAGTAAATACCTTTTACAAAATGAACAATTTTAGAACCTTGAACCTTTAGAGCAAATATTTAAATAAATATTTCTCAAATTTCTACTGAAAAACCATTTTCTACCAATTACACTGGGGATGCATGGCCAGTAGCAATTTGCACCATTCAGAACAAAAATGAAACTGAGATAAAAATCTCCCTGTAATTGTAAATAAACATTCTTTTCGGTACACATGTAAAGTGAAAGTATTACACAGATCTAGAGGAATGTGGCTCTATAGCTCCATCTTGCAGTAAAGAACATACTCTACTTTCCCTTGACTTTAAAGGCAATTCCACCAATTTATAAAAAATTCTGCATAATGCACTCATGAAGATTCAGAGTGGTTTGGTGTGAAATGCTCCGTTCTACAGAAACTTGCTGAGCCAGAATCGTTCACAGTGGTGATACGAACCACACATCTGTAGTGAGACATATTTTCCAAAATTTTGATAAGGTTTTGGCCTGAAACTTTTTTCTTTATCTATTTATGGCAGAAAGTTCCGTGCAGGGAGTCCATGAAGAAAGCTGTTTTAGATTTATCACTATTTTACCATCAACATTACATATAAAAACTTGTGTCCACATGTAGGTTGTCTTGGATAGTAAATAAAATTGCTATTTTTACACCACCACTGTAAAGAAATCTGAATTAGTATGTTTTTCTACAATTAACCATTTCACATCAAACCACTCTGAGTTCATTGGTTTACATCTCAACCATTAAAATGGATGGAATGCATCTTTAACTTTTAATCAGAGTCAATGATAAGCAGAGTAACATGCTGACTTTCTCTGTCTCAGGAAAACTGCACATTGACATATTATACATTGTAGTGCATTATTTAAAGACTACTAATAGACTGTAATTTCAATATGCAGACCGTAAACTATAATAACAACCAGAGTACTCATAAGATTCATAGTGGAACCACATTTTACCTCTTCTGGTGCTTCAAACCTAATTTGCTTGGGACCTTTGTACATTTCAGATTCCTTATACATTATATTGTGCAAGCTTACTGCACGTTTCTAGATCCAGCCTACTTTTTTAATGTCTACGTCCAGCACTTTACCAGCTGTAAAAAAATAGTTTCATACTTTTTGGGGTTTTTTTGTTTTTATTTTTGTTTTTTTTTGTCATGTTTGGTACAGTACACTGAGATGCATTTGAACTGTACAGTTATGATTAGTTTAACTCATTCCTGTGCATTGAACATACAATCAGAGCCCTTTTTGTGTAGCATGTATCAGAGGAAATGTGCAGAACATTTACTGTAGTCATTTTTCATTTTTCTCTTCAGAGTAAATTAAATGACCTAACTAAGTAATGTGTTGATACAGATTTGTTGGCCAAGGCTCCTGCACTCACAGAGTGATGTAGCATGTAAGGGAAATGATCAGGGGAGAGAAATAGAAATGCACAGAACTAAATGTAAATGTTTACATAAAGAATATTTGCACTGGTACATTGTTTGCTTTTTTCATAGAAATACTGCAAATTCAATATTACTTTTTTGTTACTTAAGGCTTTATTGTAATTCATTTATTGATAATAAAATCTTTAAAAATGTCTGTGTTGTGTGTCGGTTTTCAGTAAAAACACATATTCCATGCTCTGGGCTGTGTAGATTGGCTGTGGATAAGACATTAGATAAAAGCACTGCGGCTCACTGGACAGTTCAAAGGTCAGCATGCTTTGCTCCAGCCCCACTTCCTGTCCACAGACACTCCTTGTTCTCTTTCCAGCAGGGCTCCTCTGATTCATAAATCTCCTTAAAAAGGAAAAAAACATAGGCAGAGCACAGTTGAAGCGGATTTTTTTCTGCATAATCCAACTATTAAGATGTAAACAAAGTCATTCAGAGTGGTTTGATGTGAAATTAAGTCAGACTTGTCAACAGTGGTGATAAGAACCTGGTGGGTTTTAAACAGTAAATAAAATGGCTATATTTGTGTTGCAAACATTGTGACCGCAAGTTCCTGTCACCACCACTGTAAAGGAGTCAGCTTTGCTGAGTAAGTTTCTCTACAATTAACCATTACACATCATCTCAATGTTTAAATTATGCAATCGTTTTGGGAAACTGGTGGAATACTCCCAAAAACAGGATACATTTCTGGACTAAATTCACTGGACTAAAAATAGCTGAACAGCACTGAGGATGTTCCACAGATAAGAGAAATGTAATGTTGACACAAGATTAAAGTGCTTTTCAAAGGCCAGATGTAACATACCTTTTTCCAAATTGGGACAGTAGCTTTCAGAGTGTCTATGCAGTACTTCACAGCCTCCAGTGAGTCGCTACGGTGAGGTGATGAAATACCAATTATAACACTGGCCTCTGTAATAGGAACTGCACTGTAGATAGAAAAACAGACCAAATGCAGTTAATATCCTGATAATATAGACAGCTTCTGTTTGGCTCCAACTCTTGGCACAATAATACAGTAACTAAAAATTACTACTAGAAAAAAAAGAAAAACAAACCACAAATGGTTATCAAACTTTTCAGTGTTAAACGACATAATCAGAGCATTTTTTAGTTTTTTTTTTAGTCATTATAAATTTGAGACAATTTAAAGAGATTACATCTACAGTCCATTTTCGTAAAGTTGATGCTATAAGTCTAAAATATAAATATTAGCCCAGGGATGAATTATGGTTAAGTTAGCTCCCGGGCTGGACTTATTACTAGTTTGAGGGTTGAGGTTACCATTATGGTTTCAGGCACAAGTTCAAGATTTTTAATCCAAATCTAGTTACAGAGAATTTGGAAATTGGCTAAGTATGTATAATTTACCTAAATATGACCATTGAAATACAGTGTTAGCAAATATTACAAAAAAAACAGCAGTCAGTCCAGAGTTTTCATAATCAGTGTACTGCATAGCACTTTACAATAAGACTACCCATACAAAGCTTTACTAATTAATATTAATGATCAATAATTAACAAATTAGTCTATTAATGGTTATCAATTAATCATCATAAACACATTACAAATCATAAATAAGCATTTATAACGCATAATTAAAAAGAGAAACAGTGATCTGTTGCTTGCCAAATAGTGAGCCCATAGTCATTTATACTGTTAAAGCTCACATCCTGCCATTTACTGATCTTATTTTGTCTTCTCCATCAGTCAGCATTAAACCTGTCACATTCATATTCATCAGATATAATGGCTTGACCTTTTTATGTTATAATGTGTGTGTGCATGTGTGAGTGTTAGTGTATGTATGTATAATGTGTGTTACAACTGCTTATTAATGATTTTTATATGTTTAAGACCTTAAGACCTAATTTATAACTATGAATGAACTCATTTTCATAAACACTTCATAAGAGTAGTCTTATCGTAAAGTGGTATCCAATGCATTGCCATTTTTCACATCTGCTCACCCGAGTCTGTGATGGATGCAGATGTGCCGGACACTTGGCCATCTTGCTCTAATTTCAGTGCATACTTTTTTCAGCTCTGACTCCGCCATGGGCACATATGCTTCGTATTCGAGCCGAACTACCCTCTTCCCCTCAAAATTATCTCTTGTCGTCCCTGCAATAAACAGGACAGTCATACTCACTTTTTTAGAGATGGCAAATACACTGCACAACAACATAACAGACAGAAGTTAAATAACATGCCCTACCAATAAATAACGAAATAGCTCCACAGGAGGAACATCTTACTGAGTCAGATACAGTATCAGTGGAGAGCTTATCATTGGTGAGTTTAATCAGATCTAGAGAACCTCCTCCATCCTCAGCCATGTCTGCAAGCATACAAAAGTTTGAACAAGGTTTGCATTAAAATGTGCTGAAGTGTGTTCTCTGTAGAGGGTGTGTTAACTTATTTTTAACTAGACAATCAACAAAACATGTAATGTGAATGGTAATAGAACATAACTGTTCCTAATCAGGAAAAGGTTTGAAGGAAATACAATATCCCCTTAATTATTAACACAAAATCAGTTCATTTAAAGAGAAATTACAGAAGTCAAAATATTAAATGAAGTTCTGTACCCGCACTGAGGCTCCGTCTAGCCTCCACTGAGTGGTGGTATGACCGCGACCTCGTCCCCCTCCCGCAGGATCACCTGCTGATCACCAACGGCCACGTACTCCTGACGCAGTGCCAGCACCACGTGCTCACGTACAGCACTCAACCTGATAGGAGATTTAGTGAAGAGAAAGTCAATGAATTTAAACAAACAGTTTCAGCAAAAAGCTATCGGTTTTATTTAAATGTTTTTTTATGACATCACAAAAACTAGGAATTAAAAACGAGCTGTTACTGCAGTGTAGTATCCACATATGGACTGTTAGGGGGGGTGGGGGTGAACAATACATTTTGAAATGTTTACACACTACATAAAACTCTTACATTTAAAAAAAAAATCTGATTTCTCATGATATTGCTCCTTTAAATTAGTGGTGGTAAGTTTGGTATAGTTTACCAACCTGATTCCTTTCAACTGTCCATTTCAGTAAAGGCCCAATACAATGATTCTGATTCACAAGTCAACTCATCTCCTTCATTTTCAACGAGACTGAGTTCAAGTGAGTCACTATGAGTGGTTAAGTCAACTTACTAACAGAACTTGGACCGCACAACAGACAACCCAAAAGCACTGATTCATTCACATCAGTACAGCGATATGGAGATTCAATAGCAGAATTAGTCACTAAACTGAGATGCTTTTGCACTTCTCATACTTACTTTGGATGGCGCTTCTCCAGTTCTTGCCAAAGCTGAAGGGTGGTTAACTGTGACTGCAAACTCACAGTCTCAGATTTGAGCCCTGTTAATTCTGCGCTTTTTGCAAAATACAACACCAACACCTAGTAAACATAAACAGCACCAACATTAATTACAGCACCTACTGTATTCACTGTTACTCAAAATATTCAGTTTACACTCACAACGAAAGATTCAACCAAATACCAGGTGTTTGCTGATACTACTACTGAATAATAGACCAATATTAACGTCTTAAGCAGGCACGTCAAACTGGGGACCTTCCAGGCCAAAGTGCTATGGAGATTAGAGCTTACTCTCATCTGACACTCTGAATTCAGTTCATGAAGACCTTGCTAATCAGCTGACGAGCCAAATCAGGTATGTTTAATGTGGCTGAAGTCTGCAGTGTTTTGGCCCAAGAGGACTGGAGCCTGACACATCTGCCTTAAAGGGATCTAAAACTAGCAATTAATACGTTATTAATATTCTGTAGCACTGCCTTGTATCCATAAGCCTTATTGGTTTGACCAAATTCACAATTTTGTATCCTTTTTGTGTTTTCATCCATCAGTGTACTCTTACTACAATACCCAGAATACACCACGCAAATACATTGTACAGCTACTGGGAATCCTCAAATCACAAAGAAATCCTGACTGCTACATAGCTACTGATGTAGAGACTAATAAAAACAAATGTGATATTCAGCTTCCTAGTAGCAACGTTAGCTATCTGGCGTCCTTCTGCATTTACACGTAAGTATCCGCCCTCAAAGGACATGTAGTTTTTCGAAAGTTCCTCCCACCTTCAAAATGCATCATCAGACCACGCGTTTCCTACTCTTTAAACTGGGAAATTTCACTCTAAAGACTATTGCAGGGTTATATGGTTCTATACAGAACCTTTTTGAAAAGGGTTCTATATAGCACCAAAAAGGGTCTTGACATTGTAACAACAGAAGAACCTTTTTTGGTGCTATATAGAACCCCTTTCAAAAGGTTTTATATAGAACCACAAACAACACATTCTCCATCAACATAGTGATCCAAATCACACGAAGAGTTCTTTGAGTGTTCATGGTTCTATATAAAAACTAATCTTCTTTATTAAAGAATCCTTGAAGAACCACCTTTTTAAGAATGTAGGCATGTATGCAGCAGTGAAGGTTAAATTACTAGTTTTGGTCAGCATGTCCCTTTAAGTTTCAACATCTTAGGTTCCTGAAGTCTTCGTTGTTTTCTCTACAGTGGAGCCTCTGTCTCATTATCCATGGTCCCATTACAGAGCGCTGATCAGGTTCCTCTTACTGACAAATATGCCTAAGCTTGGACGGTAAGGTCAATTTAGACAAACAATAATCGCTTGTGAAATTATTCCCATTTAAATTCAGTTAGTACCACAAGTGAACGTTACAGTCGTACTCTACAGTTCACACTTTCTTAGATGGTAATATAATTACCATATGATTACACAATAAGGCTAGCTTCTGATATCACTTAACATATAATAATTATATTACTTACATTTTTATACATATTAAACAAACTGTCATTATAATATGATCATTTATGATTATACGTATATACTGCACAGTTGGTTTAGTCATTTGCATGTGCCTCAGCATTCCAGATGGAAATCATATGTTATAATCTTTCCAAGCGCCATTTAAAGCATGTAGGTGTGCAGTTTATTATCTGGTGATGTTCTGGTTGTACAGCATATAACTGTGTTTACATGTTAGAACACACATTTTTACTACAGATTAGAATTACTGTAAAAGAGAACTGTTAAAGCAAGGTGAAGCAAATGGCACCTGAAAGAGAATGATAACCGCTACTTTGCATAATATCGGCAATTATTTAGATTATCGCGATATTCAATAATACTGATTACTGGCCCAAGGTTATACCTTGTGTTATGTCTATTCAGCGAGAGAGTAACGTTCATCTAGATGTATGTAGCCCTGCACTAAATATCACAGAAGAGTAAAAACAAGAAATACATCCAACTAAAGTGTATCCAAAACAGTTAAATGACAATAATTTGGGATTTCGGAACGAAGCTAAAGTCAGCTTCTTATTCGCCAGCTTCTTGTGCGAATTTTCTCGTTCCACCTTAAATGGCGCAGCAGTTATAATTGTAACGCCTCAGGCGCCAAAGTTTAACCGTGGCACCATTTAAGGTGGAACGGGAATATTAGAACAAGAAGCTGGCGAATAGGAAACCAACTTCAGCCTCGTAACTTCTCATGGCTTAAAGGATTTAAATGCACACTGTCAACCGTAATGTGTGGCCAGTAGTGATGAAACCTATAACAGAACGAGGTTAGAGAAGCTAACAAAGAACAAGCGTCTTCACACTAATCAGTAATACCTAGGTTACCGTCACACTGTCTACAGTGTTAAGTTACATACACCGTGTCAACTTTTATAACATCCAACAACAGCTTACGAAAAGTACGCATAAAATGATTAGTATTTTGTACAACACATGCTCTACTTTCCTTTCAAAAAGCTGAAAAGAGTGTAAAATCGTACCTCGGTAGTCATGAATGCAGCCTGTTTGGAAACACATGACTTGGATCTTTCACACTGTTTTCTGTGTGAACTTCCGCGGATCTGAAATCTGATTGGTCCTGCTCTGAGTCAGCTGACCGCGGTTCAGGAACGCCAGGTCAACATCCAATCATAATCCAGATTTTTTTTTTGTGTTGTTTTTGGGTTTCAGTCTGCATTTGGAAAGCTCGTCTACTTTGGATAACAGGAAACTTAATTTGTGTTTCTAATGATGACGCGAAAGAAAAAATCACGAAAAGTGCAGCGGGTTTGAAGCTCTCAGTACCCATCACCCACCAGCAGATGTCGCCCGTCCCTCGCTGTGCTGAGCTGGGTTTAATTTCAGACAGGTGGAATTGTTTGATTTTTCGTTTGATTGAATCAACGTGGCTGTAATTTTTAGTATGAGGACAACATGCATTTTCTCAGCTAACAGGATTTTATAAGAGGGGGCTGGATGCACATTGGCCAATTCTGAATTTGAAACAGCTGACCGGGAGAGAGAGAGAGTGAGTGATTTAGGGAATAAATGAAGGAGGGAGGGATCGAGGGAGGGAGCGAATGACTGAGAGTAAGTAAGTATATGGGTGTTCTGAAGCAAAATAGCCTTCAAAGAAAACATTATAACCAATATTTTAGCATCATCAACATTACTTCGAAGAACAAAGGAAACACGTGTAGGTTCACTACGCAGCCCTACTGGTGACATCCCGTATAAATAAAAATAATGTGTATGTTGTATTAACACGTAGGAACAAGATCCTAATGCATGGCCACGACTTAGTAAGGCTTAGGAATGAGATAATTAAGTCGTGGCCATGACTTAGTAAGGCACAGAATAAGATCATGTCTTATTAAGCTGTGGTCAAGGTTTAATCATCTCATTCCCAAGCCTTATTAAGTCATGGCCATGCATTAGGATCTCGTATCCACACCTTACTAAGTCGTGGCCCCGACTTAATTATCTCGTTCCCATGCCTTATTAAGTTGTGGCCACGCATTATTTATATTTATAGGGGATGTCCCATATAAATGAAAATTATGTGTACATATTAACACTTGGGAACGACATACTAATGGCCACGACTTAGTAAGACATGGAAGCGACATAATTAAGTCATGGCCACGACTTAGTAAGGCGTGGGAACAAGATCATGCCTTATTATGCAGTGTTCAAGGCTTAATTATCTTATTCCCACGCTTACTAAGTTGTGGTCGTGCATTAGGTTCTCGTCCCTATGCCTTACTAACTCGTGGCCACCATGTGTTAATATGGCGTGGCCATATATTATTTTTATTTTTACAGTAGGTCACTAGCAGGGCTCTGTATTATTAAGCTGTGGTCAAGGCTTAATTATCTCAATGAAATGCCTTACTAAGTGGTGGCTACTCATTAGGATCTCATTCCCACACTTTACTAAGTCATGGCCACGATTTAATTATTTCATTCCCATGCCTTACTAAGTTGTGGCCGCGTATTATTTTTATTTATACGGGATGTCACTAGCAGGGCTTCGTATTATTAAGCTGTGGTCAGGGCTTAATTATCTCATTGCCATGCCTTACTAAGTCGTGGCCACGTATTATTTTTTATTTATAGGTTATGTCACCAGCAGGGCTCTGTATTATTAAGCTGTGGTCACGTCTTAATTATCTCATTGCCATGCCTTACTAAGTCATGGCAGTGCATGAGGATCTCGTTCCCACGCCTTACTAAATCATGGCCACAACTGAATTATTTCGTTTCCATGCCTTACTAGGGCTCTGTATGGGTGGTTTACTGGTCATTCTGGAGATTAAATAAAAAGGCTATATTTGTGTTGAACCAGGTCTCTCCTGGTTCCTATCACCACCACTGTAAATACATCTGAGGTAGTAAGTTTCTCTACAAAGAACCATTTCACACCAAACTACTCTGAATGACTTTGTTTACAGCCCAGAGATTAAACTATCCGGAATTTTTGAAAGTTTGGCAGAATTCAGTTTTACACTGTGACTTGTATTGCAACGGGTGACGGCCAGTCTAAGTGCAGTACAGCTTGTCTACCGATAGAGGGCAAGCGAGGCCACATTTTCACCACTGCACTTTCTGAGATTGGCCCGGTTTTCCTGCGGAGCAGCTACCTGTCATCCAGCAGACGCGCAACACTCTTGTCTGAGTTGAGCACTCAGTGCTGTCTACTGCGTCTGATGTAATCCAATCCCCAACCCAAGAGGCTCCTTTGAAGCAGGATTTGTTGGTCTATATTTGTGCGCTCGACCTCGGGGGAGGACCAAACAACTGTCTCCACTATGACCAGAATGACCGCGCGTCTATTATTATCGCTTAGAGTTCCCTCTAATGGAGCACTTTAGGAGATTAACGCGCTTATATGGGCGACTGAACTTTGATGGAAAAGCGGCTGTTATCGCGGATCTGTTCAAAGCTGAGAGCGACAGTCCAGTGTAGTTTCAAACACAGTCCTGTATAGACAGCAATAGTGCTGAGCATGAGTTTAACATAAACATGGAAGTATCCAGAAATATTTAACACTACAAAAATCAAAGAACCTGCAGTGAATAATACCAAATTATGACCAGAAGCCCTTTTCAGAGGATGATCTCTCATAGACCTCTGTAACCAAAACGCACCGTGGTAAAATCGTCTGGTGAAGCTGCTTTGCGCCATTATGCGCGCCATTCTTTGCGCAAAAGCTGTCTTCGATTTCCTCAACAATGCTGTCAGGGCTCGAGGAGAGAAAGTTTCTCAAGCTCATAAAACGTCACCTGACGAATCTCCTTGGTGGTGAGCGAGCCGTTCTTCCAGTGTCCCCACCCCCCTCAACTTTTTGAAGCCCGCCCACCAAAAGGCGCTCCACTCCAGAGCCTCATAGCGATTTAAAACGCAAGACTGGCTCTCTATGACAGGCACTGGGTGTCAAGCACGCTAAGCATCCCGTCCTACACGCCTCATCCACCCGTCCTACATCCGGCCCTCCTCTCCAAGGATGCTCCAGCTGCTGCAGCTTCGCCAGGGCGTGCTCGCGCTGCTCATGTGGCTCGCGCACTTCATGGAGGAGCACCGAGTTCAGGGTAAGAGCAGCTCGTCTTTGTGGTGTTCTCCGTGTAGTTCCATTGGAGCTGGAGGCTGCGGGAGTCTGGAAGCGCACTGGGGCTGAAGTGCGGTGACGATTGCGCACAGTTATTGCTGTGCGTAAAAGGGGGGAAAGTGGAGAAATGGTTGCGCAGCTTCAAAGAAGTAGGTTTTTGTTGAACAATTTTGAGGTTTTTGCTGTATTTTTGGTGTACACCGTGCCGTTGCAGCTTAGTATGTCATTTGGCCATTCTGGTACTTTACTGTGAGGTGTTCTGTTTTTGTTTTGCATGTTTATTTTGCTAGTTTGTCTGTTTTTCTGGCCCACGAATGGCATTTACTGACACTTTATGGCATTTTTATTACTTTTATTCCACGGTCTTAGTTAAGTATCTCGTGCCTCTCGAGCGAGGGAGCGCACGGTGACTAAGCCTGCCCTTACACTTCCTTACAAACAGCTCTCTTCTAGAACTTCTAGATGGTCCACATAAGCCTGATTCAAAGAAGTACCCCAGCAATTTTCAACCAAATCTCTTTCTGCTGCATCTGATTACCACACACAATCATTTCAATGCGTTTCTCTGTTCTCAGTAAAAGAACAGAAACCCTTCTTGCTTCAGGACCTGCCTATTGGCTTCTATTACAAGCACATTTTGAGTCAACTGGTTTTGTTTTCCCTTCTAAGCACTGGAAAACATATCAGAACTATTCTCTGTGGTAATCAGCCATACAGTACACAAGAGGCAGATAGAGAGAAGGTTGAAAAATGCTGGACTATTTCTTTAAATATATCATACACTGAAAGTTGGCCATAAGTCTATGCACTGTTAGAAATAAAGGTGCTGTGCAGGTACATTTTTCGTTTTTATCAAGGTACAAACAATATAACTGTTCCCTCAAAGGTACAACAATGGTTTTAAGGTCCAATTGTGAACCTGAAATAAGTTTTTTCCAGGTGAAAAGTACATATTTGTACCTTTTCATAACCTGATGTTTTAAAACAGAACAATACAAATTAAAAAGCCTGGAGACGAGACGGGGTGTGTGGAGTCAATACAACTTAAAAAAATCGAATTTCAATGGATTATGGTACAGTTATGTTCCCTGACTAAAGGTACTGAGATGTAGCCTTGAGGGTTCCACCCCAGTGACAAGAGGGGCACTGCCCCAGTGACAGTTTTGTACTTTTATTTCTAAGAGTGTGGATACTGTGTAGGTTTTGAAAGGCTCAGCTTGTACAGGGTGCTAACAGGGCTGATTCTTTCCAGCTGGCAACTGCTGGCTTGAGCAGGGGAAGAACGGGAGATGTCAGGTCCTCTACATGTCCGGGATGAGCCGAGAGGATTGCTGCAGAGGTGAACGGCTGGGCACGGCGTGGACAGAGGAGGACGTGCCCAGCAACACCTTATTTCGGTGGCTGCTCCTGAATGGTGGTGCTCCCAACTGTATACCATGCAAAGGTATGTTGCTGATGCAGGCTTTGCAAAAAAGAATGAAATGTAAATTAACTTTATAGTGGTCACCAACCTGTGCCTAGAGATCAAGGGCTAATTTCTGAGGCCCAGTTTTAGCCTAACCCTAAACAAGGAGTAGTTTCTTGGATTGTGGACTAATTGTAATGACAGTATTGCTGTTTAACAGTTAAAAATCCAATTTAGCCTAGGTTTAGGCTTAATCTAGGTCTAGAAACCTAAGTGGTGAAATACTTTTGGCATTGTTGTGCAGCCCAAGACTAAGCTTAATTAATGTTCAGAAAACTAGACCCTAGAGTTTAGTGTCAGCTCCCTCTGATCCACATTATCAGTTTACTTGACTTGAGTTGGAGCTAAATTCTTCATTTGGATTAGTGCTGATATTGGTTGAAACCTGCAGCAGGTCTCGTAGGACAAGGTTAGTGACCACTGTAATGATACAGTCACATGCAAAAGTTTGAAAACCTATCCCACTTATTAGAAAAAATAAAACTATAAAACATAAAGGGTGCCATAACTTTTGCATGTTACGTTTTTCCCCCAGTATGTTACCTTCAGCAAATAAACAGTAATTGTGCATTAAAATGAGCAGAAACGCCTGAACTTTTGCTTACGACTGTATATTCAGATATATAGGTCAAACTGACACTGTTTGACTGACTGATTGGTTGGATTTGTTAGAGACGTGCGATAATGTGGACTGTGGTCCTGGAAAGCGGTGTAAGATGAACAAGAGAAACAGGCCGCGCTGCATTTGCGCTCCAGACTGCTCCAGCGTCACCTTCAAAGGACCTGTGTGCGGCTCAGACGGGAAGACCTACCGCAACGAGTGTGCGCTCCTCAGAGCCAAGTGCAGGAGATACCCCAACCTGGTGGCCCAGTATCAGGGCAAGTGCAAGAGTAAGTATGAAATACTGTATATTTTGTCAGTTCAACCTAAAAAAAATGTACTTCAGGCAGTATATGTTGTTCTAATCCTTTGATTAAAACAAAGCAAAGCAAAATAACAGTTCACATGCACAATCAGTCCTTTTCCATTTTTTCCAACGCATGGAGTTTGTTAGATAAATAAGTAAATAAACTAATGTCAAAACATGCGTCAGAATTAAAGTCTATGACCCAGACTAGCCAATGCTGACTCTTACACAAACTTTCAGGGCCATATTCAATGATCAGTCCAGTTGTTCCTGACAGGACTCAACACTAATCATAGAGTAGAATGTACTTTGCTTGAAGTCTATCCATTTGAGAGTCTAATTTACTCCCACATTTCTCCTTATCTTTGCCTAATCCCTGTCCAGGAAACCCTGAGAGTCATACTTAGTCCAAGGATTGATCTTGTCTTCATTACATCAGGATTGAAGACAGTCCAATCAAACATGTTTCAAACCAAAACTATTCTTAGACTGAATCTTAGAAATTAAGATTAGGTAAATTAAGTGTTGTTGAGAGTCCCTGAGAGTCTAATCGATGCCAAGGTTCTGTGCTCATTAAACCAGCCTAGCAGTGAGAACCTCAAACATCTGTTTCTTAGGCTCAGTCTGAATCTCAGAAACTAGGATTAGATCAGTTAGATTAAGTAAGAGCATTAGTCCAAGGTATAACTTGTGCCCATTAAACCTAGTGTAGAGAATGCCAGTCGAACATTTGTTTCAAAACAAAACTAGCCTCACTCTCAGAAATTAGGATTAGGTAAAGTGAGAGACTCTAAGAGTCTAGTGTAGTCCAGGGTTTAATCTGTGCTAGTTAAACCAGACTAGCATGCAGAATCTCCATTCAAACATTTGTTTCAAACTAAAACTAGGCTTAGTCTTAATCTTAGAAATTAAGATTAGGTGAACTAGGTGAAGCATTTAAAGGTCATCTTCCTGGATTCAAATTAAACCTAGTTCTGGATTTAATTTTCCTTTTAGTGGAGAATTGCCATACAGAATGCTGTGCTTAATCTCTGTCCAGGAATCTGACCCGGAGAGCCTAACCTATTCCAAAATTCTGTTTAATCTGTGCTTATTAAACCAGCCTAACTTTCAAAACAAAACTAAGCTTAGCCTCGATCTCAGAAATTAGGATTAGATTAAATCAGCCCAGTGTGGAGAATCCCAATCAAACATCTGATTAAAAACTAGGCTTCGTCTCAGTGTCAGAAATTAGGATTAGGTGAATTAGGTGAAGTGAGAGTCCCAAAGAATTTATTTAGGCCAATGTTCAACTTTATCTGTGCTCATTAAATCAGCCCAGTTTGGAGAATCCCAATCAAACATCTGTTTTAATGAATCTGTTTCACATCTGTTTAAAAAACTAGGCTTAGTCTCAATCTCAGAAATTAGGAATAGGTGATATAGGTACAGTGAGAGCCTCTGAGAGTTTTAATTGAGAGTCTTCCTCTCTAGGAGTCATGGACTTAGATTAAGGGTTAGTTTAATCTATGCTCATTAGACCAGCCCAGCATTGAGAATCTCAGTTCAGGCATGTGTTTCAAACCAGAACCTGAAACAGAATTCAGTGAAAGGTCACTAAAATCTTTGCAGAGGCTTTATTGTCACATGTCCCAATTTTGATGCTTTGCAGAAACATGCCAGGATGTCCGCTGTCCCGGCACCGCCACATGTGTGGTGGACCAGGTCAACAACGCCTACTGTGTGACCTGCAACCGCATGTGCCCCGAAGCGACTTCTCCCGAGCAGTACCTGTGTGGGAATGATGGGATTGTTTATGCCAGCGCGTGCCACCTCAGAAGAGCAACGTGCATTCTGGGAAGATCTATCGGGGTGGCCTATGAGGGCAAGTGCATAGGTGAGAACTCTGCCTTTTTGTATCAAATGATTACCCAGAGGAACCAGGTTAGAACCCAGCTGATCTGCTTTTAATGGTTACTTTTACACTGCTGAACAATGCGGACGTAAACACTGCCGTTAAAGACTGTACATTTGCTTCATCTTTTTCTTACGGTTGATTGTCTGCATGTACTGTGTCTACTGAGTGTCTGCTGCTGTTTCGTGTTAAATGCAGCGTGGTTCCGAGAGGAGCTATATTTCATTAATCACTCAACACCTGGCTGTAATGACGAGTGGCAATAAAGCTCAACATGTTCTAGGATTAGCACTTACAGTCCATGCAATCATGTTCATTAGGATAAAACTGGCAAAACCGATCCTCGATCAGGCCCAACTCCAACCCTCAAAGCTTTGCTTATATAATGCTCTCTAAACATGTGGTCCTCATTAGTTTGCTGTGGTGCAATAACCCATGATTCCATCATCTGAACACTGAGCCTTACTACACAGTTGTTCGGGTATCTCAGATTGGGTGAGTGGCTCCCAATCCCAGACTTGGGGACCCCTTGTTTGCGATATTTTTTTACTGTAACACACCTGACCCAGCACATTAGGGGCTTATTAACCCCTAAATTCTAGAACATTTATATGGATTCACACTAAACCACTAACTACATCATTTACAGAGTTGGCTGGTGATGAAATACATGTAATCTAGATTACAACCATCAAAAACTTGTACAGGTTCTGTAATTCCAGTAATTTTTTAAAGGTTAATAGTTTTAAATTCTCAATTTGTTTAATGTGCTCCCAAACTGCAAATAGCTTCATCACAATGACTGATACCCTCCCGAGAGAAAGACGGAAGGGTATACTTTCGAGAAAGAGGAAGGAAGTGGATATTAGTCCTGTGTCTTCAGATAGTTCAAACTTTATGAAATGAGCTAACAGACTATGGTAACAGCTTAGACAGTTCGATCAAAAACAGTCCAAAAGTAGTTTGAAATTAAGTTAAATTAGGTTAGATTATATCTTTTAAGTAATGTATAAACTACATACTTAATCTACTGCTAGATAACATTCCCAAGCAATCTATTAAACTGCCTATTAGTTTCATAGCAGTTACTGAAAAATTATAGAAGACACTGAATTTATAGTAAATAATGAAGAATTCATAGTACTACCTGAGTAATTTATAGTAGATACTTAATTTATAGCTGTCACTAAACATTTCATAGTAGGTACTGAACAATAAGTCTTAAGGTTAAGCACTGAATAATAAGCTTACACTACTAAAAAGAACATGGTTCTTCAAAGGTTCTTTAGTAACGAAAATGGTTCTATAAAGAACCATGAACACTTAAAGAACCTTTTGCATGATTACAGGGTTCTTTGCATCATTAAATGGCTCTTCAGATTAATGGAGAATGTGCTGTAGATGGTTCTCCATAGAACCTTTTTGAAAAGGGTTCTACATAGCACCAAAAAGGTTTGTTCTATTGTTATTATGTCAAGGCTGTAACAACAGAAGAACCCTTTTCAAAAAGTTATCTATACAAAACCATCTTTTTTTAATTGTGTAGGGATTGAGGGGTTAATTAGTTAATGAGTTGAATCAGGTGTGCTAGCTAGAAAACACAAAAATGTGCAGAATAAGGGGTCTCACTAAATTCAGTTGACCCCCAATAGTAGAATGGAGACACTTTCTGACCTTCTGTTTCTGCCCTCAGATGCCCAGTCATGTGATGACATCCGCTGTCCCGAGGGGAAGCGGTGCCTGTGGGATGCAAGGACAGGACGAGGCCGCTGCTCAGCCTGCGAGGACGACTGTCCGGAGAGCCACCCCGGAGACAGCGTGTGCGCCAGCGACAACACCACCTACCCCAGCGAGTGCGCCATGCGGCGGGCCGCCTGCTCGCTCCGCCGTGTCCTGGAGGTCAAACACGCCGGCTTGTGCAACTGTAAGTAGAGGATGCTTAGACCGGACATGCAATGCTGGCATTAAGAACAGCCGTTAATGTTCCTGCCCTCCTTCACCCAAACACCTCCACCTCCGGTCTATGCTATGCTATAGTGCAACCAAAAGAAACAGCAGGATTCTGGGAACTGATGATGTCTTTGTTTTCTCAGCCCTCCTGAGACAAATACAGCCATATGCTGAAGTTTGAACACTCCTGGTCAAATTACATGTGTTGTTGATTTTTGATGAAGTGAAAATAAGCTCACACATCCTCTACAAAGAACACACTTAAATATGGCGTTTTTGTGCATAATTTCTATTTTTTGCTGTGTTTAACGTACTGAAAAAAAGAATATGTGGCTTAACTTTTTCAGAGGCTATACTTTATTTTGTAGTATTTTTTCCAATATGTTAAATTCAGCAAATAAACAGTAAAAGTGCATTAAATGTGCAAAGTGTGTTCTCTGTAGAGGATGCATTCACTTGTTTTCACTTAGAAAATCAATAAACCATATAATTTGACCAGGGGTGCCCAAACTTTTGCATATGACTGTAGCTGTTGTACCCCTGAGCTTATTACATTCTAAGGCTTATTATTCAGTTAGTACAATGTAAACTGACTTAAGTTATAGAAGTCTGGACCCACCAGCAGCTTCTGGGCGTTTAAGGTTTAACTGAAAAGCTGCAATGAGCAAAAAATAATTCACTGAAATTAATTTCATGTGCTGGTGCATTTCGCCCTGTTGGCTTCACTTAAAGGGTCACGCCACAGTTTTTCCCACATCAGGCTTATTACATCTTACTATTGTCGTCATATATTAGTGTGAAATCTTTGTACAGTTTCTGTGCTGTGATTGGTCTAAGCTTTGGCCTAGTCTGCTGGGCCAGTGCTGAGAATAACCAAATAACAATTCAATTTGTTCCAATAACAATGTAATTTGGCCAAGTCAAAGACCTGCCTAATATATGATATATTTAGTCTGGGACAGCTCCAGTTCAAATCACAGGTTATGAATTTATCATCTTAAACAAAAGGTCACATTGTTGATCCCTTATAAAAGCTAGATTACTGGTGTAAACGGGTCACGTGGAGAGCACACAGGGACATACATTCACTTTCCTCTGCTGTGCTTGTGAATCTGTTGCTTATGCCTGTGGCCCTGGCACAAAGTCACAGTGAGGATCATGAGATAAACAATTTAGCTTGTGCATGAGACATCAACACAAGCTGACCTGAGCATGTTCTACTCTGCCATCTTAGATTCTAATCAGATGCTTTCTTTAAATCGCTTGAAAAAAAGCATCCTGGACTCCCATTTTGGATTGACCAGGATCAGTTTAAACATTAGAAACAACAGTAAATATGCAACTTTTTTGAAAATTCAGAGCAGATGGCTCATTCTATTACATACACGCACACACATATATAAGTATATAATTTATGTGTATACTGATTATAATTAAATTAATATATACAAAACATGTAATTGCACATGTACTTATATACTGTGCCATCTTTCATTCATTTAATTTCCAGTCAAAACAGCCATTAAGTACAACTCATTCAATTTTCAGCATCAGGGGGAAAAAAGTAGAAAACAAAAAGCCAGAACGGCATCAGTTTTTTTCAGTATTTATTGTGTCCACTTTATTACCTTTATTACAGCTTCCATTCTTTCAGGAGGCTCTCAGTTTTTCAAAGAAATTTGCAGGGATATTTTTCCATACCTCCCAAGTTCAGTCTTAGAAGTTGGTTGCATTTTCTGCTTCCCGCCATCTAAGCAATATATATATATATATATATATATATATATATATATATATATATATATATGTGTGTGTGTGTGTGTGTGTGTGTATATATATACTGACTGATATACACATGCATATACACATATATATGATATGCCCATATGTGTATATATGGGCATATATACACAATTAATGTGTGGGAAAATTCATGTGCGAGTGCAGTCCACCCTTTTGTCACATCTTGGCAGCACTTTGGCAGTGCAGTTTTCAGTATCGGGTTTGTTTTGACTTAATAATGTCATATAAGAGTGTGAATCTTTTCAGTTGAGGAGGGGCTGGGGAAAAAGTTATTGATGTTGGAAAATTGCGAGGCTTCCCTTTTCGCTAATAATGCAATATGGGCTTTTCCATATGCTTATTAAGCCTAGTCCAGGACCAGGCTTAATTTGCATGTGGAGACTTTGGTGCTAAAATATGAGGTAATGGCATTGTTACTAACAACGCTCTGAAGGCTTTATGTGCTATGAAGTGTCTATAACTGAACTGTGCTTATTGTTTTGTGTTTATGTGTGGCAGTATTAAAAATGTGTCTTCCAGAGCTCATTACAGTCAGTTTATCTGAGCTTTAACTTGTTTTAACCCCTTAAACTCTGAGACTTACAATACTCATGCTCATAACTATGTGCCATAAGTTTCTTAATAGCTACTGAACAATAAATACTAATTCATAGTTGTTGCTGCATAATAAGCTTTAATTACACAATAAGCCTGGAGTTTAGGGGGTTAATGAATATGATTTGATTAAGACTGCAAATCTATGTTAGTAACCGAATGTTCCTTTGAGCCATTCGGCCTTTTCCAAGCCTGTCAAAAATGAAAGCGCTTTTCTTTTTGCTTCCAGGCGTAGACCACTGACCTGTCCGAAACCCCTGACCCCCCTCTCAGTCCCACCGCACAAGGCTGCCCGCCCGCTTTCTTGTGCCAATCAGAAAAAGCATTATCATTTCAGATGCTTTGCTGGAAAAGAAGCAAAAACCAATAACCATTAACCATTAATGGTTCTTTAAAAAAAAACAAAAAAAACTTTTGTTGTCCTTTCAAAGCCATGCGGTGAGTTTGTGTGCTGTTGTGTTTCGTACTGATGCAACAGCTACTGTGTTCCTCCGCGTAGCCATCTCGGAGCTGACGGAGGAGGACGAAGATGATGAAGAGGAGGAGGAGGAGGAGGACGAAAATCAGGACTGCACGGATTATGTTCACGTTTCTCCGATACTGACGGGGTGAAGCGCCGTCAGCACCGGCACTCGACGTCAGTGCAGAGTCAGTATTCATACTGTACATAGAGATATGCTTATTTATTTTCCAGGGAAAGAAAGAAAAGAGGAAGATTTCATATAGCTCTGTCTTCTGGATGTTTATTTATATATTTTTGTGTCCATTTATTTATACATTTATAGTGTCTGACTGACTATCTTTTGTCTTCTGTATATTATCCTCAACACTATTTATTATAAGGTGCAATGTGTTACGTAAAAGCGTGTTGATTTCGTGACCTAAACAGTATATACGTCTCATTTTCTACAGTGCCCAAACACGAATATCTGCCTGAACGTTTTGTATATGTGTGCGTGTGTGTGCGCTAGTTGGAAACCTAAAGCTCACTAATAAATGGACTTCTAAGCGGATCTGGTTTTGTTTACAATCAAAGCAGACTTAAACAGCTCTGCCGTTAAAGTCTTTATAAGCAATTTATTTCTGTCTTCTACAAACGACATGCTATTTGATGTGAAAAGAATAATGTGAGAGAGTAAAAAAACCATATGGACATTAAAATGTGGGCTTTTTTTCTACATTGGAAGGTTTTTTTGCTATATTAATGCTTGAATGCCATTTTTGTTGCCAATATTCTAATGCAGTCAATGGTCTTTGTAGAAGGCTCTACTTTGTTTTATCACAAAATGTATAGGATTAACTATATCAATGATCTTATAATACTTTTGCTATTTTTTTCTTTTTGGTTTGTTATTGTTGATTATTCTGGAGATTCAGCTGTAAGTATATAGTTCTTTTTTTATTGTTCAGTGTACATAAAGATAATGATGCCATTTGTAAACATGCAGTATGAGTAAAAACTGGTTAAAAATATGGTTGTTTCCTTCTCTTTTTGTTTTTTATTAAGCTTTCTATGACTCAGAATGACTCGACATATAGTGACGTTTCTTCCCAAGAATGTGTGGGTTTGGAAATGTGAGACCTCGTACAAAAATAATATACACAGCATCTTGTCGCTGACCAAAGAAAAACATGTTTTTTCAGTGTTTACTTTTCTTTGTCATTTGAGCACAGCAGTTGTCCTTTAGGTTTTATGATTATTTGTTTATTATGCTCCAATACAGCTTGGAATAAAATCTCTTAACAATAACTGACACTGAAAGCTAAGAACGTTTTTGCCTTCTCCTGTAAACTTACCATTTTGGAGATCATATTTCTTTAGACAGCAACGATATACTGTACTGTGCAAAATTCAGAGACCACGCTACATTCATTTCCAGTCAAAAGACGTGACATTATCCATTTTTCCGTGCCAGGACTAAATCTAAAAACTTCACATATTTGATGAAAAATTACGCAGAAGCCTCATAAACTAAATATCTAAACATTTCCAGCATTTAGTGTGTCCACCTTTTACCTTTATTACAGCTTCCACTCTTTTCCAGAGACTCACTTTCAGTTTTTCAGAGAAATCTGCAGGGATATTGTTCACACCTCCAAAGTTCAGTCTTAAAAGTTGGTTGCACTTTCTGCTTCTGACGATTCAAATAATCCCAAATGTTTCAGTAGTTTACTGATGTTGAGGTCTGGACTGTTGGGTGGTCAGTCTACCAGCAGCTTCTTTGTTTGATTTGCCAACTTTATTTTTTTGTTTATCTTTGTATATGTTTTTGACTCCAGTTCTGGAAATCCCTGTTTTTTTCCACTTTTTTTTTTTTTACTTTCACTTTCCCCTTCCTTATGCATGTGGATCTTATATTTCATCTCCTCAAAAACATCTCCTGAAAGATGAGAAACTAAAAGACCATTCTGATTGAAAATTAAATAAATGAGGGGTGGTCTCTGACTTTCACACAATACTGTCTTACAACATATTTCAGTTTACACTGAAATTCCTAATTATTCCATTGTTGGGAAGGATTCAGGAAAAGTGTTTTTGTCTTAATCAGAGCTGTTGTCTTTTCACTGGAAGTGAGTCACACAGACATACTCAGAGCCAAATCCTACAGTAGCCACCAGAGCTGTCTGGACCAGAGCAAGAAAACTAATTTAGCAGGAAGTTGTACAGACAGGGCTAATTGGCAGAGGTAGTGGTGGTACCTCCTCTTTCAGTGCCCCTCCTGAGTCTGTGTGGATGCTCAGCGCCTCTCAGGCCTGTGTGTGTGAGCACATCTCCAGCTTTCATTTCTTCATTAGACTCTACACACACACACACACACATAGAGACACACACACACACACACTTCCTTCCTTTGAATGGCTGCTAAATTAGGTTTAATGCCTGGAATTCTTCTTCTAAATTCCACTCACAGACCTGGGCTTATGTCCTCACATGTCTGCGACACTGAAGTAAGTGAATTAAGCACGTGAGCCTGTGAGTAAGTGTATTAAATGAGGTGGTCCTGGCTGGGTGAGATCAGAATAGTCCCAGTGTGGCTTACTCTAATGTTGTAGTCGAGATCATTAGAGGTGACTTGAGTCAAGCAGGTGACTTTGCAGTAGCTAAGTCCAACTAAAAAGGGTCACGTTTGTAGTAGCAGATTTTGAGTCATGTGGGAGACTTTATATTAGCCGAATTAGAGTCAACTGGGTGTCTTTGTAGAAGTTAAGTCTGAGTCAAGTGGTCGGGTCAGGTCAAAGTTTATTTATATCACGCTTTTTACAACAGCTTTTATCACAAAGCAGCTTTACAACTGGGCAACTTTACAGTAGCCGAAACTGAGTAAAGTGGGTGACCTTGTTGTGGCTGTGTCGAAGTAAAATGGGCAACTTTGTAATAGCCCAATCCAAGTGAAGTAGATGACTATATAGTAGCCAAGTCCAAAACAAGCTGTGTAAAATGGGCAACTTTGTTTCAGCAGCCATGTCGAAGTAAAGTGGAAAATTAAAAATAGCCAAACCAAGTTAAGTGGGCCACTTTGTAATAACTCCAAGTCAAGATAAATAGGCAAATCTGCCTTTGCCAAGTCTAAGTCAAGAGAGCAGCTATGTAATAGTTGAATCAAGTAAGGTGGGGAACTTTGTAGTAGTCTTGTCAGAGTAAAGTGGACAAATTAGTAATAGTTGAGTCCAAGTAGGTTACTTCACAGTAGCTGAGTCTGAGTAAAGTGGGTAACTTTGCCTTAGAAAAGTCCAAGTGGGCAACTTTGTAGTAGCTATGTCAGAGTAAAGTGGGTGAATTTGTAATAGCTGAGTCCAAGTAAACAGAATGACTCTAGTAGCCATATGTAAAAGTGGGCAACTATATAGCCAAGTCTGAGTCAAGTAGGTGACTGTAGCTGAATTTAGATATTGAGCAGTGAGTCAAGTGGGCAACAGTAGCTCCAAGTGTGGAGTCCAAGTCAAGTGGGCGACTTTGTAATAGTAGAGTCCAAGTAAACAGGGTGACTCTCTAGTAGACACAAATACAAGTAAAGTGGGCGACTACATAGTCAAGTCGGAGTCAAATAGGTGACTAAGAATCCAGATATTGAGGGTCCCATGTGTAGTAGAGTCAGGTGGCAGACTTTGTGTCAGCTGAGTTCGAGTTCACTAGGTGACTTTGTAGTAGTTGATTCGAAGTCAACCGGGAGACTATGTAGCAGCTGAGTAAAGAGGGCAACTTTATAACAGCTGAATACGAGCCAAGTGGGCGACCTGACCTTAAATTGGTCCCCTACACAGACTGGGCTTCTAGCAGTGCTGAGACATACACAGAGTTTGTTTTGAGTGTACTTATGACAGCATGTTCAGCAGTAGTATGATTTTAATTAGTTCTTCTGTCATTTAAAGCATACTGCCAGCTAAACTCACACTCTCTCTGGGGCAGCCCTGGTCCTGGAGTCCCTCTGCTCTGCACATTCTGGTGTTTTTTGTGCTCTAACAAACCATATCCAACTAACCAGCTAATTAACAAGCTCTTCCTGAGTGGAAGTGGTGCATGCAGAGGAACATTTGAGCACCACTCTCTCTGAGGGAAAGAGCTGAATCAGCAGTGGGAACGGGCTGTCCTGTCTCGGTTGAGGCTTCATAAGGGAATGCGGGCAGAGGTGTCCGGCTACTACCTATTGAGCAGCTTCTGTGACAGACAGGAATGGTGGGGTAGAGAGACAGATAAACATTGAATAAAAATGATAGAGCATATCTATCTAGCAGAATGTGAGAGAGGAATAAGCAGAAGGGTATGGAGTAGAAAGACAGAAAGAGAGAGTAATCGTATTTGACAAAGATTACTGCAGCAGAGAGATTGTAATCAGGGCCTGTGTGTGAGGCTGTTTTGGAAAATGGAAGCCAGCCTCCATAACTACGTTAAGGAAATGCTGACATGACGGTCCAAGCGAAGAGCGAGTGTTTTTCCTCACACTGCAACTGCTGTGACCTTCACATTAGCAGGGAGATGTTTCTGATTCTGGTGACAGATCATTGGTGAAGAGGAAAAAAAGTCATTCTTTCAAGATATGTCAAAAATTCCTGTAGAAGGTTAAGCGAGGACAAGTCATTTATGACTGCCGGTCATTCATGGCTGAGGCCAGAAAAGACAAAGACCAAAAAAAATAAAGCACAACAAAAACAACAACAACAACAACAACAACAACATAAAACCCTCCATAGCCCGTAGTGTAGGGCTATAAGACATGAAAAAATTACTACAGACTGTGATTGTAATATGGCTTGCAATACATTAACCCTTTAAATTCTAAGAACCAGTTTCTCAGACCCAGATTAAGCCTAATCCTAGACTAAAAAGAACTTCAAATGGTGATTCCAATTAAGACCAAGACTAGGCTTAATCCATGTCCAGAGAACTGGCCCCATATGTGGGCCCAAGCTTCTATTCCTCCCTCTCATATCTACTAGGGGTGTAACAATTCAGAACAAATACAATTCAGGTTGATATGATAGTCACGTTTCAATTCAATACATTTTTCAATACAGCAAAAACAAGGGCCTCTTTTTCACTATAGGGCCTGTTGGTTCTAAGCATGGAGAGTAACCGTGTTACTATATTAATGATAACCTTATTATTATATGTCAACTCAGACCTACATATAGATATTCATATCTGCATATGTAGAGATTTTCAGCTTAGCTCCTTTCACATTGGCCCTTTATTATTCTGTTCTATTTATTGTGTTTATTTCATTTGTCCTTTAAAGAAATATTTGCCACTAGTCTTGTCTATTTTGCATGTTACATGTCATACATGCGTGCACTCACCACACACAGCATGTATAGCATACTTGGTGAAAAAAAAGTGATTCTGACTCTGATTCCAACCGTTCTAGTGCCTTTTCACCTGGACATGGCTCGACATGGAACGTTTACAAACCATGCTTAGCACGGTTTTCCGAACAAGGTTAGCTATAGCCTCTTTTACACTGCAGCGTGGAATAGTTCTGAGCTGGAGGGTTACCATTCCAGTGGCGTTTCCACATGGACACAGTTTGACATGGAACACTTAAAAACCAGGCACAGCACATTTTCTCCACATGGTTAGCTAACTGTGTTCAGGGCCACAGAACCTTTCACTGGGATGATGTAATGACATAGCT